TAGGTTTGTTTCCATATTGGCTAGGTTCTGAATGAACTTTAAACAATGTTTCATTTCTATATGTTTTGTTGAAATTTAACCTTTTATTTTCACCGAGTTCATCCAAAGATTGAACGTTATATGCTCGTAAGTAAAAAGGATTGTTGTATTTGTGTACATTATCTTTCAGTACTTCCATTCTATGCTGGATATTTTCATCTGATGTTGGAGTCTTTTGTATGTCGGCGAACATTTTTCGATATTCTTCTACTATGTCAGCTGAATTTTTCTTAGACTCTTGGAAAGATTCCATATTCTCCGCATACTCTTGTTGAGGGTCAAGATTTTTCGGCTGTTCCAAATCTTCATCTAGTTCTGTGAAGTTAGTTTCCAAAGGAGGGACTTGTTCGTTTCCTTCTGGCTCTTCTAGCTGTTGTTGCTGAACTATTTCTTCCATGTCTGGTTGTATCTGAACTTCTTCCTGGAGTTTTCTTGTACCTCATCTGCTGGCATTTCATATATTCCGAGACCGTTTTTAACAAGTTCCCTATTTAAGCCATCCGCATTCATAACCCTTTCTTCTTTCGTTCCGTCTCTATTTTTTACGCGTTTCATGAAGATAGTTGAATTATCATTTATCTCTGACACCAAATATCTCGGAGTAAATTCAGTCATGTCATTTGGATGATATGCTATTAAATCATATCCCTTAGCGAGCTTGTATTTTCCAGGTTTGAAATTATATCCCATTTGGTGCTGAACCATAAGCTAAATAGGTTCGGGTCAGTATTTCCTTCCTTGAACTTTCTAATAGCTTCTTTATATCTGTCACTAAAGTCAAGAGTATCTGGGTAACCATAATTTTCCTTAAGCATTTTTAAGAATTCTTGGTTTCCTTGTTCTCTACTTCTTTTATGTCCTTGCTCTGTTTGTGGTTGTTGCTGTGCAGTGTTTTGAACTGTTGGTTGTGGTGCAGTGTTTTGAACTGTTGGTTGTGGTGCAGTGTTTTGAACTGTTGGTTGTTGTGCTGGTTGTTGTGTTGGTTGTTGTGTTGGTTTTGGTGCATGCCTGTGTCTGTGTCCATGTGACGATGTAAATGTTTTAGGTAGTCCTGGTGCAGGTGCTTCTCTTGGAGGGTTTGGTGGTATATAAGTTCCACTAGCTAGTATATAAGTTCCACCAGCTGGTATATAAGTTCCACCAGCTGGCACATATGTTCCATCTGCAGCATAATGTCCTACCTGACTTTTCGTTCTTAAGAAAGCATTTACTAGGTCTGTTTTGGTCTGTTGTAACTCTTTTTCTTGACTTTCCACAACAGTTGTTCTAACGGCGTCATAGGCACTTTGAACTGCCTGTCTCGTTGCTGCATCTGTTATTTTCGTCATATTTTGTGCTACTTCTCTTAACTCTTTGTCGAAACCTTCAGACTTCAGTTTCTTTCCAGATGAGAAGTCGTTCACTAGTTTCACCTTACTATGAAGAGCTTCGAAGGCGTTCTTAAAGTCAGCATTCATTAAAGCTTCATTTGAACTGTCTTCATCCGCTTGTATTTTTGTCCTTATTGACCCTATAAGTTGGGCTGCTTTAGCGTTGGCTTGGGCATCTAACCAGTCATTATTAGCTTTTATATATTCTGCACTTTTCATTGCCTTTTGCATGGCTGCGTCGTTATTTTTACTTTCTTGTGCTAAGTTTTCATACTGTACGGTTTGGTTTTGCAACTGTAAAAGTTTTTCTGCCTTTACATTTGCTTCAACTCTCGTAAACGAAAAAGAGGATTTGACTGCGTCAAATCCTCTCTCTCAAAAAGTGGACTTTACATGGCAAATTTCAAATGCATGTAAGGTCCACTTTGATCAGTTTCAGGATGGAATTGGAGGCCATGAGGTACTGACATTGCATCAGTATCTCATAGCCTCCAATCCCTTCAAAAAATGGGAGAAACTTTGGTCGAATAATTTAACATTCGGCCAAAGTTTCTCCCATAATTAATGAGAATGAAAGGGTAAGAGGCATATAGGGTCACTATATACCTCTTACCCTTTCATTTTCATTTGGAGGTCAACAAACCCGGAGTTAATTGCAAACAATTAACTCCAAATTTGTTTATGTTAAGGAAGGAATTGGAGGGTAAGAGGTACATAGTATGAATATGTACCTCTTACCCTGCAATTCCTTCTAGAAAGTTCCAAAACTTTGGGTTAATTGCAAACTATTAACCCAAAGTTTTGGAACTTTCAAGTGGAGATGGAAGGCTTTGGGGTATACATTAATATAATATACCTCAAAGCCTTCCATCTCCACTACAAATGGGAGAAACTTTGTTCGAATAGTCTAACATTCGGACAAAGTTTCTCCCATCTTTCAATGTAATTGCTACCTGTGAGGTACTGACTTGAAGTCAGTGCTTCACAGGTAGCAATATCCAAAAATTTAAAAACATTTTATCAGTTCTTTAGAGAACTAGAGCCTCCTAAGTACTGAACCAGAATCAGTGCCTAGGGGACTCTAGTTATCTATATAAATCTGAGAAACTTTGAGGAAATTGTTCGACATTTCCTCAAAGTTTCTCAGCAATTTAGCGAGGAATGTTCGTTATCGTGTAGATATTTATAATATATACATGATAACAAACATTCCCCGCTAAAAGATGTAAAATCTTATAAGAAATAATTGCAAAAGAATAACAAATTGCAACAAATTTTATATGAAACTGAACCTTATGAGGTAGTGATTCAAGATCACCACCTCATAAGATTCAGTTTCAATCTCAAGTATCTCAAAAGTAAGGCTCTATTTTTTGCCATGTAAAGTGTCACTTTTCTGTCAAACTGTTTTTATCGTTTTCGTTTACAACACAACTTCTTTTTTATACTCATCGCTATCCATATATGTCTTCAGGGCTTTTTGTTTTATCTCTTCATCTTTCAGTACTTTATATTGAGTAGTATGGTTTTTCAAATTTATAACATCTTGTTCCATTTTTGCTACTTCTGCTGCTTTTTCTGACACTTTTTTCGCATATTCCTCTGTACTTAGTTCTTTCAGTTGTTCTTCTTTCTTCTTTTTCTCTACGTTTAACTCATTGAGTTTCTTTGTGTGTCTGTCATATTCTAGTTTCTTTTCGTTTTCACTTATTTGTTTCTGTATGTCTATGTTTGACTTTTTGACATCTGTTATTTGATTTTTGAGTGAACTCAAATTCATTTGACTTTGAGGGTTATAAGCTGTTCCGTCTGCAGCTCCACCATAGCCTGCCATTTTCGCTAAAAGTGCCGCTCTTAAACCTCCACTCTGTGCACCAATAACTCGGTTTAAAAGCATAGGGTTGCTTGACATTTGTTGCAACATAGTGGGGTCATTCATAATTTGTTGTTGCAACTGTTGTTGTGGTGTCAGTTTTACTATTGGATGTTTCAATGCTCTCTTCCTCTTACGTATATTCTTACGTAGCTTACGTGCATTTTAAGTGAAGTTAAAAAGCGGTTTTTGACAGATGTTTATATGACACTTTTTGTTCAGCTCAAAAAACTACTCGGTCAAAGTGTTGTCAGTTTTGTAAAATAACCGTCTTATCTCATTCTATAAGGGGGAAAAGGCTTCTCAAAGTATACTTCCTTGGAACGCCTGTAACTTTTCCTGTAGCGACGATAGACCCTTACTTGTCCGGACAAAGTTATACTAAACTTTTTATGGGCTAGAGGGCACGAAGTGCCTGGAAGGCCATCCCAAGAAAAAAAAAAAAAACTTCATTATACTAAACATCTTCAGGGCTAGAGGGCACGAAGTGCCTGGAGGCCCCACTACCTTTTTTTTTTTTTTTTTTTTTTTTTATATTTTCATAATTATTATTTCAATCATAATATAAATGAAAATAAATTTACTTAAATTCCGTAATTTTTTACTTTCTTAGCCAAAGAATAATAACTACTACTGCAACAACAACGGCAATGACAGCTAAGACAGAGAGAACTGCAATAAGAGCTTTCTTCTTTTTAGCTTCCTTCTGTGCAAGAATTCCCTTTGCAGAATCTGTGGCAACAGCATCTTGATGAATGGTGATTGTTGAAAATTTTTCGGCAGATTCATTTGGTGTTGTGACCTTAATCTTGATTTCTGCTGATGTATTTGTTTCAGTTTTAGGGATCGTTAATTCGAATGGGACTCTAACTAATCCTGCTTCATTAGATGATTCTATTGTCTTCTTAACTTTATCATTATAGAAGAGTGAAACACTGAATTTGTTATCAAAGTTTGTATCTGGGCATTGATAACAGCTGTGAAATTGAGTTTATCACCTTTATTGTATGTTTTTGTTGATTAGTGGTTCGAATGCAGTTGTGAGAACTGTATTATCTTGGATAACAATTGATAAATCTCTTTGTGGCAATCTTTTTACCATCAGTAATTGTAACTTTAACCTGATATTGCCCAGCTGCTTGCTATATGGATGGAACTTTGAATTTGATGGTCTTTAGTTCTTTGCTATTTGCAATTTCTTGTGTTGCAACCTCTTCATTATTGAAGAAAACCTTTGCTGTGAGTTGTTTATCACCTAAATCTTCATCATATGCTGAAGCCAAGAAAGAAACTTCAGAATCTGAAATGTAATAAACATATTTCAGGAGGAAGAACATACAACTTTGGTCTATAATTAGCAGGGACAGCAGTAAATGGATAATCAACATAGACCAAGGAGTCGGTTCCTTCAGCATATGCATTAATTCTTAATATATACTGGCCAAGTTTTGTAGGTGGTTTGATCTTGATATCAAAGTCCATGAACATCTGTTCTATTGATACAGTAAATTCTCCAAGGCTCTCTTGTTTGACAACTTTACCCTTCTGAATCGATAAATTGCCAATATGCTTCTACACGATCACCTGGAATAATATATATGCAAAGACTCCAGTAATTGGTATATCTTCAGTTATATCTGCTTCTTGATCTGGCAAAACTTCGTCAAGGTAGAGAAACGGTGGCTGATAATCGCCTTCATAAATCATGTAAATGAATGTTACTGACTGGCCAGGTTGAATGTATCTGTTAAGCCATGAAAATGAAAGCCAATGAATTGTAGGCATTTCATCTGTTGCATATAAGAATTCCTCATTGTTTGTGAAAAACTTTGGTTCATCATTTGAACCGAAATCTTGGGCATTGATATCTGAAACCCATGGGTGGTTTTGGAGAACGATTGTAAGATCATTGGAACAGTTATTGTATCAACTTTACTATCTATATCACTGAATTTAAAGGCAGTACAAAGGTCGATTTTCTGTTCTTTAGTACCCTTGTTTGTAATTGTCTGTTTTACAAGTGTATGTAATAAATTAGGGTGATTTTCTATTTCAACTGCATAATCTACTTCTGTTGCTTCATCAATGTTCTTTGTAACGCCATCAATTTTAACTTTTGTCCAAAGTTTATCAATTATTTCGACAGTTTTAGAATCGCTATCATCATAGAGCATATATGTATACTTACCAGTGGATTTGGCTGATACTGAAAGAGAAAATCGAGCAAGTAATATGGAAAGCATTTAAAAAAATGATAATATGATTTTACAAAAATAAGCATTCAAAAAAAATAAAGTAATTCAAAAGTATTATTAGTCGTTTTTCAAAATCATCTTTACTTACGAATCGATAATATTTCAGACCATTGTGCACTATAGTCTGTTTTCAATAGCTAAAATCATATTATAGTTTGTCAAGATGATCCTCTCAATTTTCAATGTTTTGAATTTCTTATATTTTTGTGAAAGAATAAAAAATTAAATTGAAAGTTCTCTGCCAATGTCATTGCATGTATGAAACGCAGTATATATGTTTAAGCACCTAAAAATAAGAACACTATATCTTAATCTTTATGAAATTTCTCCTTATTTAATTATCGCTGTCATAAATAATCTTTGAGTTTAATTATTCAGTAAAAAATTCATTTCAATCCATTATTTACTAAGTTACAGATAGATCTGACCGCGTATCTTATTCCGATTATTTGAATAAAGTTTTTTGTTTCAAAAATTGATAAATATAGGGTGTCCAAAGGTGTGTTTAGCACAAACCTGAATACTGCGAATAGAAATAAACAAGTTACATATATATAAAGTTTATTTAAATATAATCACCATTGGATTCAATCACGCGTTCGCAGCGATCGATCCAGGCTTGAAAGACGCGCTTTAAATCATCATGAGAAAATTGCTCAAATTGCTCTCTTACAAAATTTTCAAGATCATCTGGACTCGCGAATTCGCGTCCTTCAGCTCTCTTTTTTAGCGTGCCGAATAAATAAAAATCAGAGGGTGCAATATCAGGTGAATAAATTGGGTTTGGAACAACTTTGACATTGTTTTCCACCAAGTAATTCATTACCTTATGACTTTTGTGAACTCTTGAATTATCAAAATGAATTGCAAACTTTTGTTTTTGTTGTTTGGATTTCTCAAACTCATCAGAATTGATAATTTGAGTAAGAACATTGTCAATTAGATACTGAGCATTCATCGTATTAGGTTTTTGAAGAATATCAATTGCGATGATGCCATTCACGCCCCAAAAAACCGACAACATCATCATTGGTGTGTCAATTTTTTTCTTCGGGAATGTTTGCGGATTTTCATCCTTCGAGATCCACATGATTTTGGCTTCTGTTGCATATTGAAACCAAGACTCGTCCCCTGTTACTAAAAAGCGAAACTTCTTGGATTGATACGCACCCAATATAGAGAGGAGCTCTTTCGAAGATTGGACTCTAGATTTTTTTTGAACTGAATTAAGGTTGTGCGGAACCCAACGTGTATACGCTAGTTTGTAGTTCAAATAATTGTGCAGATAATAACTGACTGTTGTACGTGGTATCTTTGTCATCTCCTCTATCCTTCTGAGTGATGCTCTTGGGTCTTCATCTAGCGCTTGAAGAATTGCTTTGATTTTTCTTTGATCCGGCGATTTTTTGTCAATTTTTATGATGGGCGCCTTTTTGTTCATGAAGTGATACATCCTAACATGATACGTTACAGTGAAATAGCTAGGAGCATCCATACCGAAGCATTTTACCAATGTCTCGTAGATTTTTTACAGTCTTTGCATTTTTTTGCAAGAGCGAGGATGTTTTCTTTATGATTCATTAAAAAAATGAAAAAAATCCCGCCAAAATTTCCCGCGAAACCGCCTCTTGTCTCAAAATTCATTTTATATCCCGGCATGGCGCCAAAATACAACATACTCATCATATACATATATTCATATTTTTTATTATATATTTATAATCAGCATATATCTCCTTTAATAGTCTCATATAGAGCGCTGTGCTAAACGCACCTTTGGACACCCTATAATATTTTTTATTCCTTCTCAGAAAATTCAAATAATCTTTTCAATCTTTTTACTCCAAAAATAATATTCATTATAAAACTGCTTGGTAATATTTTTACAAAAACCAGAGGCAAAAAAAATCCTCTGAAAAGAATCTCAATATAAGCATCACCGCAGTTGGGATGTTAGAATTTGTAATTTATCCATTATTTAATCGGTAGAGAAAAATTGGTTTCAAAAGATATTAAAAATCTGACACACCTATTTTTGTCTTTTACTTTTAATCACTATTAATAAATGTGATTTGTTTAATTTATACGGAATTTGACTAAATTTTTTTATATTTTGAAAATTAAAGAGTTAAAAACTATTATATTCGTGTGTTTTCCAAATGGTTATTGTGAATATGTGGTGTTAGTAAATATAAATGATAATAAAAAATACCAATAAAGTCGGTAAAGCATAAAAGTTTAGATGTTTTATGAAATATTTACTAATAAAGCATCATATAAAAAGAAACTGAATCAAATTCAGTATATATATACTCCACTTTTCCTTGAATGCTTCAATATTGTTGAAGAAAATTGATTGTGCGGATTTCATTGCATCGTTCAGACTTTTTACTCATGATAATATTGTGATTAAGTAATTTGATGAATTTATCCTATGAATTCCCTAATAAATACAATAAAAAAATCCGTGATTTTTACTTTCTAAACCAAAGAATAATAACGACAATGGCAACAAGAACTGCAATTACTGCTAAGACACTGAGGACGGCAATGAGTGCCTTCCTTTGCTTAACTTCTTTTGTTGTAAGAATTCCTTTAGCAGAATCACTTGCGATAACATCTTGATAGATGTTGATATTTGTTAATTTTTCAGAGGATTCGGTTGGTGTTGTGACTACGATCTTGATTTCGGCTGTTGTGTTTGTTTCTGTTGTGTTGTTTCTGTTGTTGGGATGGTGAAATCAAGTGGAACTCTGACTAATCCTGCATCGTTAGTTGATGTGATCGTCTTCTTGACTTTATCGTTGTAGAACAGAGAAACAGTGAACTTGTTATCGAAGTTTGTATCTGGATCATTGATGACAGCTGTGAAGTTGACCTTGTCGCCTTTGTTGTATGTGGCATTAAGTTTTGGTTCGAAATAGATTGTGAGAACTGTGTTATCTTGATTGTGATTGTGAACTTCTTTGTTCCAATCTTCTTGCCATCTGTAGCTGTGACTTTGACTTCATATTCACCTGCTGCTGTGTCTTTTGGAACTTTGAATTTGAATGTCTTAAGATCTGTGCTGTTTGCAACTTCTTGTGTTGCAACTTCTGCATTGTTGAAGAAAACCTTTGCTGTGAGTGGTTTATCACCTGAATCTTGATCGTAGACTGAAGCCAAGAAAGAAACTTCAGAATCTGGAATGTAATATAGGTATTCAGATGGAACAATGTATAACTTTGGTCTATAATTTGGTGGAACAACTGTAATTGTGAATTCTTCATAAAGCAATGAGCCAAGACCATTAGTATATGTGTAAACATATAATGTGTACTTTCCAAGTTCTGTTGGTGGTGTGATTGACACATCAAAATCCATACTTGTTTGTTTTTCTGAAACTGTAAATTTGCCAAGGCTGCCATATTTGATTATCTTATCTTTTGAATCATGAATTTCCCAACCTGCTTCTACCGTGTATGGTTCAACTAAGAAATAAAAACTTCCCTTTACTTGAATTACTTCAGTGGAATCTGTTTCTTCTGAAATCAGAGATTTATCAAGTTTAAGTAATGGCGGTTGATATGTCTCTTCATAAAACATGTAAGAAAGTGTGATAGACTTTCCTGGTTGGATATACTTGTTGAGCCATGAGAATGAGATCCATTGAATTTCAGGAAATCCAGAGTCGTATTCTAAAATTTTCTCATTGTTCGTGAAGAATCTTGGCTCAGGTTCTATTCCAAAGTCTTGGGCACTGATATCTGTAACCCAAGGATGATTTTGCAGAACTAGTGTCAGATCATTTGTTTGATCCCACCAAAGATAATAACCAAAGTTTGTAAGGGATGATGCTTCAACATTATCTATAGAATCTTTTAAATTCAATGCTGTGCAAAGGTCAATTTTCTTTTCCGTTGAGCCTTTGTTGGTAATTGTCTGTGAAATAATAACATAATCTGAATTTTCATCATTATAAATTTCAACGGAGTAGCCTAAATCAGTGGCTTCTTTAATGTTTTTTGTAACACCATCTATTCTGACTTTTGTATAAGGTTCTTTAATTATTTCATAATTCTCCCTTCCGTCCTTATCATAAATCATGTACGAATTATCCCCAACAACTTTGCCTGAAACTGAAAGAGAAAGTTGTGCAAGTAATATGGAAAACATTTAAAAAAATGGTAAAATGATTTTATAAAAGTATTCAAATATAAATATTTCAGAAACATTTTGAGTCGTTTTTCAAAGTCATCTATACATATGAATCGATAATATTTCATATTATTATACCTTATGATTGATTTTCTATAGTTATAATCACCTTGTATAATGTCAAGATGATCCTCTCAATTTTTTGTGAAAAAATAAAAAATAAAAAAGCTATAAAATTGAAAGTTCTTTGCCCAATGTCAGTTCAAATAAAAAATGCTCAATTTGATTTAATAACTAAAAATAATAGATGCAAATCTGAATGACTACTTATTATCTGTGTCAAATTTAATGATTGAGTTTATTTATTCATTCGAAAATTCCAGTTCAATATATAATTTTAAAAATTTCACATTAATTATGTATGTCAGAAATTTTGAAATAATCTGACATTCTACTTCTTGTCATTTATTTTTAGCCATGAAAATTGAACTATAATTCCTGTATATACACATCCATATGTCATTATATATTGATGGACCCTTGATGATAATGTCAAGAAAAACGAATAAATCTGATGAGTAATGAGACAAAATAACTGTTTTTTTAGCTGGCAGATTTTTTATAGTAACAAACGGGAGTCATTATTCATTCTCCTTTATTTTTGAGATGGGAAGATATCATTGCAGCATTATATACTCATCAATTGGTAACTTATGTTATGGGATCATTTGAAAAAAAATTTATTAGTAATGTTTATTAATTAGATGCTTCATTTATAAAAAAGCTTGTCTTGTTCTATGATCTTTATTCCAAGTTGGCAATTAAGATTTAGTTGCACAACAAGAATTTCACATGAAAAACAATCCTAGATTGAGTAATTTCAACTTGTTGAAAGATAATTTATAAGTAATTTTAAAAAGTGTGTTTAAAGCATAAAATTTAATTTATTCTCCGAATTTTTTTATTTTCTCAGCCAAAGAATAATAACGACTACCGCAACAACAACAGCAATGACAGCTAAGACACAGAGAACTGCAACAAGGGCGGTCTTCTTTTTAGCTTCCTTTGTAGCAATCTTTCCTGTTGCAGAATCACTTGCGATAACATCTTGATAGATGTTGATATTTGTTAATTTTTCAGAGGATTCGGTTGGTGTTGTGACTACGATCTGATTTCGGCTGTTGTGTTTGTTTCTGTTGTGTTTGTTTCTGTTGTTGGGATGGTGAAATCAAGTGGAACTCTGACTAATCCTGCATCGTTAGTTGATGTGATCGTCTTCTTGACTTTATCGTTGTAGAACAGAGAAACAGTGAACTTGTTATCGAAGTTTGTATCTGGATCATTGATGACAGCTGTGAAGTTGACCTTGTCGCCTTTGTTGTATGTGGCATTAAGTTTTGGTTCGAAATCGATTGTGAGAACTGTGTTATCCTTGATTGTGATTGTGAACTTCTTTGTTCCAATCTTCTTGCCATCTGTAGCTGTGACTTTGACTTCATATTCACCTGCTGCTGTGTCTTTTGGAACTTTGAATTTGAATGTCTTGAGATCTGTGCTGTTGGCAACTTCTTGTGTTGCAACTTCTGCATTGTTGAAGAAAACCTTTGCTGTGAGTGGTTTATCACCTGAATCTTGATCGTAGACTGAAGCCAAAAAAGAAACTTCAGAATCTGGAATGTAATAAGTGTAATCAGGAGGAAGAACATACAACTTTGGTCTGTAGTTTGGAGCGACAACTGTAAATGGAAATTCTTCATAAAGCAATGATTCAAGATCAGGATTATATGTATAAACATATAATGTGTACTTTCCAAGTCCTGTTGGTGGTGTGATGGATACATCGAAGTCCTTACTCTTCATTGATTCTGAAGCTTCGAATTTGCCAAGTGTATCATATCTGATAATTTTATCATTGGAAGTATGAAGTTCCCAGCCAGCTTCTGCAACATAACCATCAACAAGGAATGAGAACTTGCCCTTGATTTGAATTACTTCAGTAGCATCAGTTTCTTCTGGGATTAAAGATTTCTCAAGGAAGAGGAATGGTGGTTCATAATCTTCTTCATATAACAAGTAAGAGATGGTGATAGACTTTCCTGGTTGAATGTATTTGTTGAGCCATGAGAATGAAATCCACTTAATTTCTGTGTTTCCCTCTGAATAACTTAAAACTGTCGGGTTGTTTGTGAAGAATCTTGGCTCATCTTCTAAACCAAAGTCTTGTGCACTGATATCTGTTACCCAAGGATGGTTTTGGAGAACTAATGTAAGATCTAGTGTTTGATCCCACCAAAGATAATAGCCAAAGTTTGTAATAGTAGAAGCATCGACAATGTTATCACTATCTGTTAATTTAAATGCTGTGCTAAGATCTAATTTCTTTTCTTTTGTTCCTTTGTTAGTAATTGTCTGTTTAACAATGATATAGTTTGCATATGCCTCATTGAAAATATCTACAGAGTAATCTAAATCAGATTCTTCTTCGATGTTCTTTGTGACACCGTCAATTCTAGTTTTTGTCTAAAGTTGGCTAAACAATTGATGATTTTTGGTATATTTATCATCATAGAGCATATATGTATACTTTCCTGTGACTTTGCCCGAAACAGAAAGAGAAAATCGTGCCAAGAATAAGGAAAACATTTTGTAAAAAATGATTTTTACATTCAATAAAAATTCTTATTCAAATATATAAAATAATTCAAAATCAATTAGACTCACTTTTCTTTATCAACTCATAATGATAAATTAATCGATCATATTTCCAAGTAATTGGCATTTACTATTGAAAAATTGTGAAGGATGAAAATGACATCAAGGAAGAATGACATTTAAAATATTAATGAAATACATGATGAATAAATGGGACATTTAACTTATTAATTATCGGCATGTATCGAGAGATTGAATACAAAAATGGTTTTAGAGTTTTTAATTCGATGTCTGTTTCTGAATATACTCTATCTTAGCACTCATAATATGCAATGTTTTGAAAATATACATTCTGTCAGAATTGAAAGAAAATTCAAATGCGAACTTGCATTCAATTCAAGTATCTATTTCAAGAATTGCATCACATGTATAGATTCATAATTTAATTATGCCCACATAAAAATGCAAATTTTTTTAGTTAAAGGTTTGATTTCGTAAAAAAATAATGTAAATAACAATGTATTATGTGGTATTGTAATAAACAGAAATTCATCAAAAGTGACAGCTCTCAATTTTTTGACATTTGTAAATTCTAAATTGAATGAGAAAAATGAAATAATACTAAGCATAATACAATATTCTAGATTTAATTATAATTAGGAAAAAGTTAGTTTTGAGAGTACTTTTCATAGGCATATAGAATGAAATCTTCTGAAAAATAATATCACATAAACTCATATTATTTTCAAATATATAACTATTTTATATAAAAATCAAATTCAATGATCTTAAAAGCGAATGATAAACCTCAAAATTTACGAATATAATGAAGTTACACTTTGTTATCTTTAACAGTTTTTCATATTTTCCAAAATTATTATAATCTATCGAAATTCTTCATACACATTACACTAATATTCTACACACCAATAGAAGTAACATATGTGTATTTGGATAGTATCTGATAATATAATACGATTCATATTAAACAAAACTTTTATTTTTCCACTTCTCATATATGAACAAGAAGTACATATCCCCCATATCTATATACTAAAATTTCGCTTCTAGATATGCATCCTATCATGAAATATTAGTAATACAAAATGTGCTCAATCACATCATGAAGGTCCGAATCATGGCCCAAGTTTCAAGGTGAAGGTTGTGTACAGATAGTATATGATTGTGGTATATACCATCTTCCTAAATCTTTGTTGTTTAGGAGGCTTCAAGCATGCCTAAGATTTTTACGGGCGTGCAGTATTTTATTTGTATAAGAATGACGGTACAATAAAAATAATTTTTAAAAAAATCTTTTAAAACTCATTTTAATCCAAGAAAAACCGAATGTTTCCTAACTTCAAAGATATCCAAGTTGGAATTTTATTGTTTTTACTGATTTCTACGGTGAAGATCAATAAATTATTTGTGAGTCTTTCAAAATATTCAATGAGTTTTCTTCAAATTTTCATGCTTTATCTCTTTATATTCTTAATCTTATGTAAGTAATTAACATAATTGTTTTAAAATTTAACGCTTAAATTTTGGAAATATAATATTATTGAACATTGTAATATTACAAATAAAATCTTTGCTAAATCACAACTCTTATTCTTATCAAAAATCTGGATTGATTGTGATATAAAATTTAGCCTTACTCAATTTTGCAATTGGTTATGCAAATGTGTTACAATACCTTGAATTTAGTACTTTATAATTTGAATTTTACTTTTGTGTTGCGATAATTTATTTCAATTAATCCCTGACTAACAAATTTTCTCTCAAAAAATTGATTAATCTTTTCAGAGGAATAAAAATCATCATTATTTTAGAATGTTTCTCACACTAGTTGCAAGTGTTCAATCAGTGGAAGCCACTGAAGTTACATTTGGTCCAGGAAGAGTCAACTTCACAGGAATCAATACAACAACAATTGTTCTTCCTAAGAAGACAGATGAAAAGGATGTTTACTTCGTAATCCATAATCCTTTTGCATTTTTGACAGATGGAAAGAAGATCCCAGCTCCAGTTTATAAAAATGTTGAAGAAATTAATCTTACATTCCGCCATCATAAGAAGCCATTTCTTGAATACACAGTCATTGGTATTGAAGCTAACCAATGCGATACAGTTGATTTTGTTTTCGGTGGTCACAAGAATTTCACATTTGGCAACAAGAAGTTCGACGATGTTGAATTAAAGAATAATACAAAGGCTTGCGTTGCTTTTGTAGCCCCATTTGAAACAAATTACACTGTTAAAGCAATCAATGCCTCTGCCAGTTCCTCAAATGAAGCTTATGATTACAACTTTGAGAATGGCCAGACAGTTTTAGACACAACAACAATTAATACCACAACAATTGTTGCTCGCCTTACAACAACAGATGCTGCCTCTGGTTTGTTCATTGTTTCTCAAAGACCAAATTTCCCACATCCACCACATAATGGAACAGAGAAGCCAAACTTCCCACATCCACCACATAATGAAACAGAGAAGCCAAACTTCCCAAGAAATGAAAAGCCAACATTATTCGGCGGAAAGTTTGATGGAAAGAAGGAACGCAAAGATCGTCCACATCCACACCCAGAACATATGAGTTTCCGCTTCCATGTTGCTGCTGATAACAGTTCAGTCAAGTTCAGCCAAGTTGCTGCTGAAAAGGAAATCCCAGATCATCGCAACGATGAAAACCATGAAAGAAAAGATTATAATGATAGAGACAACAAGAACCATGGTGACCACAAGGATCGCAATGGAAACAATGGCAGAAGGACAAAGACTGTTTCCCCAAGAACACGCACACAAGCAAGACCAACAGGTGGTTCAAGACCAACAGGAGGAAACAGCGGTTCTTCATCATCAAATGAAAAGTCATATGATAACTCAAAGAAGCATTCGAACAAGGCTTACACACTCGGTCTCTACATTGGTGTACCAGTCTTAAGTGCAGTTATTGTTATTGGAATCATTGCTGCTGTCATCATCACTTGCAGAAAGCGTAAGAATAACGCTGATATTACAAAAGTTGATTCAATCGATCCAGATGACGAAGAAGTCAGGGTTGAATATAATGCAAGTGTTAATGATCAACTTCTTGTTTGAATTAAATATCCATTTAAATAAATTTTAACTATATTTTTTAAAAAAAATTGAGAATTAAAAGAATCGTTTTGAAATTTCAAAGTTGAATCTAGTTTAGAGTATGAAATTTGCTGACCTAAGATGTTATATTGTATTTCTAATAATTCATAACAAAAATTTAAAATAATATTCAAGAAAGGAAAATAATGAAATCAAATTCAATAATAAAAATGGATTAAACATGTTTATGATAATAATAATAAGTAGATATATTAAGTTAAATTAAATTAAACTAAGTTGAATATTGGAACGTTGAGTAGAGATGGCGTTGTTGAAGCAACAGTTACAGTTTGTGCATACTTCCTGAGTGATGTTGCGAGGCGTTTCTTGCACTCCATTGCTGTCATGTTGGGTTCTTGCTCGAGAGCTTTCATCAGATTGAATGTGAACATTCCTTATTTGACTCTATCTGCGGCTGTCTGCTTGTGCATGATATCATTCTATTTCTAATTTTTTTAGCGACGTCAAAATCATAAACTCAAACTATTCAATTTATTTTCGCCAAAATTTCCTAATAGATGCATTACATTTCAAATAGGTATCATTTCAATGCAATCTCATTAATTTATCTTTATAACATGGCTGTGAAAATAAAAAAAATGTCATTGTTACCTGGCAAAAATAATAATCCTCCAAAAAACAATTATTATCTCTAAACACTCTAAAGATATAATTGTTTGAGATAAACCAACAATCTAATTTTGATGTGATATTATCAATTCTTTTGAACAATAACAGTTTGAAAAAGTTATGTGACGCCTTATCTAGAGGCTTCCCCTCAATTTTGATGTCATATAATTGCAAGACCAAGATATCATACTTTACTAACTCCCCACATAAGAAAAATATATCTTTTGGTTGATTATCCTTATAACCAACTAAGATAGCTCCATTTTCAAAGTCCCAAACTCAGAACGGGAGATTTTTTTCCAAAATAACCAACTGACTCAAATTTATCTTTTTATTGATTTTAAGAGTCCCAAACTCAATAGTTATTTACATCTGAAGCTAAAATAATCATTATTCATATAATTTTTCCATTTTCTATGTTTCATAATTATCAAATTTCTGGATAAAAAAAATTCAATTATTTTATTTTAAGCAAAATGAGATATGTTTCTGCTCTGTAATTTGGCAACAGAATTATTTAAAGTTGATTGTTAATAAAATTTAATAAATATTCTTTTAAAACTCATTTTCATCCAAGAAAAACTGAAGGTCTCCTAACATTAAAAGAAATATTAGTTGGAAAATTATTGTTGTTAATTATTTCTAATGAGATGATCAATTAATTATTTGTGAATCTTTCAAAATATTCAATGAGCTTTCTTCAAATTATTGTGCCTTTTCGCTTTAAACTCTTAATCTTATGTCAGTAATTAACAAGATTGTTTTAAAATTTTAACGCTTAAATTTTGGAAATATTATTGCACAATATCATATAACAAATAAAATAATTGCTATATTGCAACTCTTATTCTTATCAAAAATCTGTATTGAATTTGATATAAAAATTATTCTGACTCAATTTTACAATTGGTCACGCATATATGTTATAATATCTTGAATTTAATACTTTATATTTCTTGACTAACAAATTTTCTCTCAAAAAATTGATTAATCTTTTCAGAGGAATAAAAATCATCATTATTTTAGAATGTTTCTCACACTAGTTGCAAGTGTTCAATCAGTGGAAGCCACTGAAGTTACATTTGGTCCAGGAAGAGTCAACTTCACAGGAATCAATACAACAACAATTGTTCTTCCTAAGAAGACAGATGAAAAGGATGTTTACTTCGTAATCCATAATCCTTTTGCATTTTTGACAGATGGAAAGAAGATCCCAGCTCCAGTTTATAAAAATGTTGAAGAAATTAATCTTACATTCCGCCATCATAAGAAGCCATTTCTTGAATACACAGTCATTGGTATTGAAGCTAACCAATGTGATACAGTTGATTTTGTTTTTGATGGTCACAAGAATTTCACATTTGGAAACATGAAGTTCAATGATGTTGAACTAAAGAGCAATACAAAAGTTTGTGTTGCATTTGTAGCCCCATTTGAAGCAAATTACACTATTAAAGCAATTAAGGCTTCTGCCGGTGCCTCAATTAAAGTTTATGATTTCAACTTTGAAAATGGCCAAAGAGTTTGCGACGCAATAACACTTAATGCCAAAACAATTGTTACACGACTAAAAACAAGATGTGCTCCTTCTGGTTTGTTCATTGTTTCTCAGAGACCAAACTTCCCTCATCCACCACATAATGGAAGAGCCAAGCCAAACTACCCAACATTATTCGGGGAAATATCTGATTGCAAGAATGAACGCAAAAATCGTCCATATCTACGCCCAGAGCAAATGAGTATCCGCTTCCATGTTGCTGCTGATAATAGCTCAGTCAAGTTCAGCCAAGTAGCTGTAGTTAGTATACAAGTCTTGGGTATGGTGGCACTGCGTTCCACCTTACCCAATACTTGTGAATTTGACACTTTACAAAACCGTTAACGTATATTTTACAACATGAACGCAAAAACTAACTTAACCTTAAATATTTACAAAGCCGCCAACAATTTCACCTCACTATCGTTCTCACTAACAACTTCACTAATGTTCTCATAAATTTTCCTCAATATCTTCATCATCAGTGTTAACCCTATTGTAGTCATACTTGAAGCCATAAACTTTCTCTAACTTCTTAACGTACAATTTACATAACTTACCTTCGTCATCGTATGGTTTAATGATATAACTATTTCTATCTTTATAAACAGTCAATGAAAAGTCAACTGGTCTCGGATGTATTTGAAAGAACATGTTATGCTCAGGAAGGAAGAATAAATGTTTAAATGTATGTTTGTTATATGTTTTGATTTGTATGAGTTGCTTTTGTTCTGTCATTACATCCAAATAAAATAAAAATAATTTTAAAAAAATAAAATAAAAATAATGATATCACCACCCTCACACGTATGAAAACATAGCACAAAAATAAATTTAGGTGAAGTGGTGAGATCTACCCTTTCACCTCTTTCACCCTGTTGAATTCATTGCTTTATAACTCTCTTCTTTCTCCAACTCTTCTAACTTCTTCTTAAGTTCAGCAATGTTGTCCTCATGAAGTTTAATCTTTCTCAAATTCCTTCTTTATCTAATGGTTGCTTTATCTTTCTAAACTGAACTCTACCATCCTTCATAGTATGAATGTAAAAACCTTCTGGAATAGTTCCTGATTTAATGTATTCTACCAAAAACTTTTGTTTCATTGCTTCAGTGACTTTAGTCGTCATTTCAATCAAATAAAAATTTTAATATTAAATAAAAATAACGTTATTTTTTCAGTAAGGAAACGCAGGAGTTTTACGATTTATTTGAGGAGTAGGTTCTGGTTTAAATGTTGGAGTCGGTTTAGGAGTTGACTTTTGAACAGGAGTTTGTACTTCCATAGGTTCAGGAGTCATTGAAGGTTTGTTGTGAAGGCGTTGGTTTTGGCGAAGGTGTTGGAGTTTGTTTAACTTCAGCTACTTCAGTATTATTTACAACATTTGCTTTATTTCTTTTCAACATCATAACTGCTCCTGCTGTAGCTAGCAAACCTAGTGGGAGACCATATTTTATATAAGGACTTGACCAAATGCTATTTTTGACAGGAGCTGGTGGAACACCTAACCTTGGTGAGACTGCTCTTTGCCATTGTGCAGCTCGTAAGAAATATTCAATAGGTGCTCCATAATCGTTTGGTAAAGTTTGTTTCATAGATGGTGAAGGTTCACGAGAGCTTGATGAAGAACTCATTTATAAGCTTTAAAAATAAACGTTCATCCTTTATTCCTCACTGTCGTCCGTAGCTAAGTTATAGTCATCTAATCTTATTATGGGATTCCATTAGCACGCACCTGAATGGCAAAGCAACAATCCCTCATAAATCCAATAAGTGGCTTTGGTACATTTTCAGTTGCTAGTTCAATAGGTCCTTTAACAGACAATTTGTATGTTATTGGAGCAGTAGATGTTTGACCTTGCTGGAAGCAAAAGTCCACTTCTGTTGGAAAACCACATAAGAAATGTGTGTTGTCATAGCTATCCCATTTATGTTCCACACTACCATCATCCACCAATGACCTCATAACATCTTCATTAAATCCTATCATATCATTGTTTGTATTGCAAGCGTTCGCAACCATTTCATAAAATACAGGTCCATATGATTTTTCAGGTTCTGCAGGCATATTTCCATAAGCTCCCATGGAAAGCTGAAGATATTTAAACTTAGGGTTCTCAAAATTAACATAATAGTTGTCTTTCTTTCTAAATAGTGCCCAAATACTTTTAACATTAATAGGCGTATAAGCTGCTGTAAATGTTGCACTTGAACTATCTGTATTCTTTGAGAATGAACCGTCCATAGGAATCCAATCCATAACTTTAACAGGAAAACATAAAGCCTCGTTTGTATAATGTTCTACAAGTTCTGTATAAATGTTAGGGTCTAAAGAGAATGACTTTGGATGAATGAAACATTCATTAAAATCCATCTTTGTTCGAAATAGTTGCTGGGTTACAGTTGTAATAGTAACTGTTCCACTAGCTTCTACTGCCTTCGTTATCATAGTGAATGGTTCATTCCATGGAACAAATTTATTTGTCGGTGGATTTGAATCTGAAGCAAATGCAACTTTAAGAGTTGGATTGAAAGCAATGATATCATTTACAGATATAGATGTGCATTGTAAGGCGTCGCTACTGAACTTTACTTTAAGCTGAATGTTTCCTGCAAAAGCTGGAATAAATCGAATAGCTTCTAATGGAAAATCTTCTAACAGGAATTCTTAAACGAAGCTTAAAATCAAATGATTTTCCTGCTGTAATTGGACCACTAACAATTTGTCCTGTTCTGCATGTTCCCGAATGACTCCATACATCTTCATGTCGAGTCTTTGAGAAAACATCTACTTTCTTTATTTGTTCGGTAGTTTGTGAGTTTGAAGTTATATATGCTTCTTCTCTTGCGTTGTCTTGAGAATATACGATACGACCATTTGCAAGGATTTGATATCCAGCAACTGCATAGAAAGCGTCATCGAAACCAATCCAAAATCCTGGTGGGTTTGTTTTATTGGAACCTGAACCAATTTCTTTATCTACAATAAATTGACCTTCCATTTTATACGTAATGAATGTATTGTAAAGGTCCAACATATTTTCACCAGGAGGTGAGAGATTGAATGTTACCCATGTGTTATCTTTAGCAGTTCCAGGTTGTGATGGAATCTTTGCGTCAGAATATTTTCTATTAGTGTCACCAATTTGAACTGCATTGTCTATGATATCGAAATATGAGCGAATCTGATGAATATGCTCTGCTGGAGTAAATTCGTTTAACTGTTCGTTCTGCATGTATTTACTTCGGATAAAAATATCTATTTACTTCATTATTCTCACTCTTCTTCTTGGCATTCGTGGTGGAAGTTGTTTCTTGACATTTTCAATGAACTGTACATTCTCTTTTGTCTCAACTTCTTTCACTGGTGGGTCAGGGTTCTTTGACTCGGTTTGTTTTTCAATGAAATTCACGAACTTTGCAATAAGCTCTTGGTTCGTTATTGAAAGTACATCTGGCTTCTTTTCTTCTGGTTCTATTTTTCTCAGTTTGAACAGAAGGTTTTATATGGGCTTCGTGGACTTCACCCTTGCCATGCACCTTAATGTTGTCGCTTTCTGCATTCGCTAATGGAACCTTTCTTTTTCTTACGTATATTTTACCATCTTTACTCTGACTTACGTAATAGAAAGGATGTTGTATTCCTCTTGCGTCATTTAATATAATAGACTCTCGCTCTGATTTTGACAAGCTCATTTTACATCGGTTAAAGTTTTAATTTTGTTTTTTATCTGCAGTCAAATGACTCAGACAAGCCCTACGGACAAGACCCAAGGGGTCATAGATGTTGAAGCATTGAAGAAAGAAATTCGTGAGCAAATTTTATCCGAACTGAAGGAACAAAAACAAGAACAAAAGCCAGAGAGACCAAAGAGAAAACTTAGTGAAAAACAACTTGCTGCATTAGCTGCTGGAAGACAAAAGAACCCACGTTTGCTGGCGAAGAAAGCTAGAGAAGAAGCTGAAGCAAAAGCTAAAGAAGCTGAAGCAAAGAAAGAGTAAATGGTTTATTTTTATCCGAATTAAATGTATAGACAAATACCTTTATCTGTTGCGTTCAGTAGTGAAAACCCTGACGTCAAAATAAAGGGGAACAGAGTAACGTTTAAGTTTCCAACAGACTGGATTGTGAACATAAATGAAGAGAAGTACATTGGCATAACATCTATGTATATAACACGTGCTTTCAGAAAGGTTGACTTTATACTTCAAGTCGAGATAGAAAATGACGAACAGTCTTTAAGCGCCCAAAACATTCACATATACAAATACTTTAAAGACGATACAACATTGTTGCAATGTATGATTTCATTTAATGAGATGTTCGAGAAAAAGTTCAACATTGAAGTACAAACTTTACAGCCTTTACGTGAGTTTCTTGCACAACTGAAAGAAGAAGGTAGTCAGCCACAACTTATAGACTTTCATTATGAATTTAATGAAAATGAAGATGGAACACATGACTGTCAGTTTGTTGTATTCTCACCATTCAATGAAGTCGCTAAAGAGAAAGAAAATCCATTACGTATAAGATTTCAAATCTCTGAACCAAGTGATGATTTCAAGAATGTTTTCAATTATGATGCAATGCTTCCGAGGAAAAATGAATTTTCAAAGATTGTAACACCTGGCATTTGGGATAGAAAGCAAGCTATATTATATTCAAACTTAAGTAAGGGAGTTGAAAATGAGTTCATTGGTCATACAAGAACTTCACCACTTCCTAACCCTAAATACTATAAATTAACTGGCTTCAATCGTGAGTTTTGGATAGACATGTTCTCCACTCATGACCATAACTGCCCAGTGTTCTTACCTCCAGACCATAAGGACTGTCTCTACATTGAAGCACAACTCTTAAACTCTACATCGTATTGTAAAATCTACGCTAGTTTTATTTTTTCTGAAAATTTTTATTTGAGTGAAAGGCATGGAAGGTGAAGGACATTGGCAAACACTCGAACATGACAATGACTATGAAATCTTTTCAGAGTACCCTTATCCAATTAGACGTATAAGCAATAAAAGAGTTGTTAGTGAGTTTGACCAAGGAGATGGTTATATTTGTGTAAATTTAAACAAACACAAGCTGATGAAACATAGAATAGTTGCAGAAACTTTCATTCCGAACCCTGAAGGACTTCGTGAAGTAGACCATATAAACAGAGACAGAGGAGACTTTCATATCTCGAACTTAAGATGGACGACAAGAAGAGAAAACATGAGAAATATTTCTGGTTCAAATGGCTATTGGTTTGACATTGTTGACTCTCTTCCTGAAGACGCTGTTGAAATTATACAATACTCATATCACACGTTAGAGAACTACTACTATGTCCCAAGTGAAGATGCCTTTTACTATTTCATGGGAACTCAATACAGACGAATGAATGTCTTAAGACAGTATAACAAAGATTATATAAACATTACAGATGTAGAAGGAAGAAGAACAAAGCTGTCTATTGCAAAGTTTAAGAGAGACAATGGTTATACATAAATGACAAAAATATATGACCTCATTATTTTTATCACGAATGACCTCATTGCTGACAAAAATAAATGACCTCAGAACTTCAACTTACGAATAAAGCTTGTTTTAGTCGTTATTGAGAAGTTAAACTTTTCAGCAAAGCAAGGACTAGAAGACTTACATAAGTCAAATCCAATCTCTTGACCATCATGAAGTGCTTTGTAAAGTTTCATTAAACTGAACTCAGAGTCTTTGTCATATGTTCCAACAGGTATGTGAATGTTCTTATCTTCATTGTAATAGCATTGTATAGCTTCAGGAAACATTTCATTAGCTGTTAAAGCAAGGACGTCTTGTTTTACACCTTTACAACGTGCATGGAATGCAACTTCATTTAAATCATTCGTGAGTAAGTCTATGTAGGTCTTCTTTCCACAAAATATTGACTTGTATGCTAAACTTTGTTTTCCAGGTGTTATTTCTGCGAAGTCAGAATGGAACTGACCAAGGTTCTTTCCTATAAGTTCGCGACCGTATCTCTTCTTAAACTCTGCTGCAAGCTTTGGTATGTCTTCATTGAAAATATGCATGCTATCACAGTCCTGGTAAAATATTTGAAGTCCCATATCTTCAGCAGTACAGAATACTTCACAATTATTCTCTTCGACATAGACAGAATGTTAACACCAAGTGGACAGAAGTTAAAGTGTCTGCAAATGCTTTTCGTTAGCTTGAAAATAGTTTTATCTGAACCATCCAAACCTTCGAACTTCACTATATGGTTGTAGTTTCTGATGGCATATCTTATAGCATCTTTGTCATCTACTATGGTTATTTTTGACTCAATAGGAGATAGAATAGTTTTGCCATAAATACTGTTCAGAATGAGCTTTATATTTTCTTGCAAAGGATTTCCTTCTTTCTTATACTTTAACCTTAACTCAAACAACTTCTTTACTTCATCTCTTATTCTAATATCTCTGTTTCCATCGTAGTAATATCCTTGCAACACTTCACATTTGACACCTTGATATTTTATGAGGTCTTGTAATGTTATATGGTCAACATACATTAAACAGCAAGTGTTTGAACTTCTGGGAACGTTAAGTTCTGGATTTAGTTCAGGGTCACAAACTATTAAAGGAAAGTGTCTATGTATTCCAATCTCTGTTATCTTAATGAGAACAAAGAAGCCAGACATAAACTTTTCACCAATGGGTTCCTTTTGGTCGTCATCGAATAAATGTCTCATGAGATACTCTGTGCTTAACATCTCATCCTTCAATACTTTTGGAATTCCTTCTAAAGTATAAAGTCTTGCTATAGCTGATGGATATAATGAAACAGCGTCGAAGTCAGCAATGAGTTTCTTTTTGCTCTTTTGTTTAATGTTATCTGACAACATACATCTTCCACCTTGAATGCATCTCGAAATAAATTCTCTTGGTTTATTTGAGAGGTCATAAAGATTTCCATTCGGGAAGTACACTCTGTTCTCAAACAATTTGTTAGCAATAGAACAAATACTAACGTAGTCATAAACGTTTAAATCAAACTCTTTCAATAAGTCATTGCGGAACTTTACAAAACCTTCTCTTAAAATTCTTACATCTTGTTTGCAGTAAAACGTGCTATATTTTTCTAAGTCGAAGTGGTTTTCATCTATTCTGCAACCTTTGATGGAATCTATGTTCTTCATGAACGTTTCAATATCTTTTACAAACTTACATGCTTCAGAAATGACACCAGTTCTGTTGTCATTTGCTAACAAAACACTGCTGTAGTAGTTATATGGAAATACTTCTTTCGGTCCTGTTTGTAAGTTAAACATAGCAGGAAATAGTTTAAGCTTCTTATTTATAACACTGTAAGAGTCTTTTATAATAATTGCCCTTCCTTTATATAAGCCAGTTATTTGCATTGTTCGTGAACCTTTAATGATGGGAGTTCCTTTCACTTCTGTCATGTGTCTTAAGATGAAGTTTATGTCATAGCTGAGGTTATGGAAATATATTAAACTCTTGTCAGGAAGTCGCTCCAAAAATTCTGTTGCACAGTTTTGACCCCATATGCTTTCACTCACTGAACCATCTTCACTGTCATAACAGATGTTAAAAGCTTTATGAAAGCCATCGGTACTACACTCAAAGTCAGCAAAGAAAACATGCTCAGGAATGAACTTGCACTTATTTTTATTTACTTCTTTTGACTCTGCTTTCTTCTTCAGTTGTACACAATACTTTGGAGCATATGTCAAATCTTTAAATGGTGCAAGGTTCTGTTTATATAAGTCAGTCGTATATGTGAAAAGTTCTCCATAAGAAATAGGTTCGAAATATTTGCACTCCCACAATGTTTTCATAACATCCCATAGCGGTGTAGTTCTATCCATGCGAACAATGTATTTATCATCTCTCATTGTATATATTTTCATCTGTTTTTCAATGTTCATTCCACCACACTCCTTCAAGATTTCTATATAGTTGCGAATGAAATATGTTGTCATTGGTAATCTTTCGTTTAGCATGTAGTGGTCTTCAACAAGAAGTAAGTCAATAGTTCGAACAGTTTTACATTCTTTTGGTATGTATCTCTTTATTTCATTATGTCTTGAGTCATTGAAATAACCAATGGTAACATTGAATGCTATACCTGTTGCATCAGAAATTTCTTGTACTTTACTTTGAGGAAAGTCTCTAACACGAATGACTTCTCTCATGTGGTCAATAGTTTCTTCATTTACTCCAGCCTGAATGCAAGCATAAACGAAACAATTGTCCTCTGTCATAAGTGTTGCAGTTCTTTTGTTCAGTTCATTGAAGATTTGGTAGCGTTCAAGATTTATAGGTAATGTGCAAAGATACTTCCAGAACTGACCGCTTCTCTTCTTATAAAACTTCTTTTCACCAAGGATTTCATTCCAGAAGTCATCTATATCTTGTTTATCTCCTGTTTGTTTAAGTCTGTTCAATAATCTTTTCTGTCTTTCTGTCAGTGTGCTTTCATCTCTATATGGTCGCTTCTGTGGCTTTCCTTTCTTAACATCTGACATCGTTAAGCCTTCATATTCAGTTAAATCATACATCTTTATTTCAGTAAGATTCTTTATGTTTGTCAAGAAGAAGTCATAGTGCATTTCAACAATACCTGCAGCATTTGCTTCTATCTCTGATATAAAGTTCTCCTTCAAGAGCTGATGTAGTAATGTTCCAATATTATTGAGGTTTAACGTAGAACATTCATACTTTCCACCAAGTTTATAACATACCATCCATCTCTGTTGTGAGTTTATTTTAATCTTCTCTAAGAGTCTCATGAAAACCTTACCGAAATGTTTGTGTAAGTAGTCTCTGTTTGGTTCATCTAAAGCTTCGATGTTAAAGTCAATGAGTCTATTGCCTGACTTCACATTTCTCTTCCTATTCTCTTCATCTTTCTTTAACCATCTCTCACCTTCTTTTGGTTTGTCGTCAATGGAACGAATGACATCGTTAGCTTTGCGAACTTGTTCTATAGCGCTCTTAAACATCTCTCTTCTCTGTTGTTTCAGTGTGTCGTCTCTCTTTCGTGTTTCACCAACGTTTGCATTTGTTATGTCAAACATCTCTTGACGAACATCATGCGAAAGAGCTTTACGAGTATGACCAACGTTTGCATTTGTTATGTCAAACATTTCTCTTCTTACTTCATGAGGTACTGAACGTCTATGATATAAGTCAATAGCAACGTCATTTAAAGGAAATGCTCTTGCATGGACTTCGTCCTCGCCGCGTTGCGGCTTTATGAACTCATGAATTCTATCATAACTTATTGCACCATTATAGTCATTGAGGATGTCAGCGAGTGCTTTTTTGTTTGTTGCGTAATGCTTTGCAACATCTATATTAGCTTCTGTAAGAAGTTGTTTTATTTCCGAGTGTTCTAACTTAGACAACTTCCGATACATCTTTAGTAGGAAATAAAAAAATATTTTTTTGAAAAAATTAGATTAGATTTTTTAAAGTTATTTTTCAAAATAATTTAATATTTTTATTTTAATGAAACACATGCAAGATTGTAAGTTCTTTTCATACAATGCTCTCGCTAATGCCATCAAGAATGAGTTCAATGGTGCTTCAAATGTTAATGTTATCTTTAACAAGAAGTTTGTGAAAGAATCTAAGTTCGGTCAGTATGTCAGACCATTAGCTATTGTCATTGACCGCAAACGTTATACTTCACAAGAGTTAGCAGTAGTTTTGAAACAAAAGAGTTTCTTCGTGAATGTCAAAGATACTCATTATACTGTTATAAAGAACTCTAATATTGACTTCTTCAGTATTGTTTTAGATTTATCGCAGCAGAAAGAATATAAGAAAGGTGAAACAAATGTGAAATATTATCCTTCATCTCTGAAGACAATAACGAACAAAGATGTTATACAGAAATTCTTACCAAAGGTTGAAGAAGCTTCAATTGACATTGACGAAGGAAGTGAAATGGTTGAAGAAATTGACCCTGAAGCTATTTAAGCAAAAATATATTTTTGGTTAGTCTTCATATCGATATTTTACAACAATTCCCCAATGTATAAACTTTTCATACGCTTTTTCATATAGCTTTATATACCTTCAGAAATTTTGCATAATCTTTAGAAGCATTTAGATATTGTTTAAATGCTTTGTATGTCTTCCGAAATTTTGCATAATCTTTTACATGTTGTTCGTTCTCTTCTTCTGTCATGAGTTCCGAATATTCTAAATTCATGTTCTTTCATATGAGATAAAATTTTATAAAAAAATAAAATTAGCTTAGATTTTTTTATTCTTCCTCTTTGAAGTTATCGAAATATTCTGTTATTTTTTCCTTCAGTAATGGTAAGTCTTCTTTGAATGTAAGTATTGTGCAACCTTTGATGTCATAGTGTGTTTGAGGAAGAGTACTTTTGACAATTTCCTTTATTTGCTCATTCGGTGTCATTGAAATCGGTAAGTTTTCACGATAGAACCTGTTTCTGTCAGATTTGTAAATCTTAGCAAGGTCATAAAAGCTTTTGTTGTTTCTTCTGACTAAATGCAACATAACCATATCTCTGTCTTCTTCTTTCTCCAACTCTTCAGTATATATCATATACTTATAACTCTTTTCCTTTCCTTTTGGTACTGAACGCGGTATTCTTTTCTGTATGCTTTTGTCTTTGGATTCAATGACTTCATCTTTTGCTTGAAGTTTCTTTTCCATCTCTCCACGTTCTGCTTTATATAGTTCATCTAACATCATGAAAATATAACAAGCATAACGAGGTGAAGCCCACATTGCTACAGCGTTTACTAAAAGTCTATGAACATAATAACCTTTCAAACCAGGAGCCAAATTCTTGCGATTTTCGTACGGAATCTCTTCTCTCGGTTTTCCGAGGGAAGCAATCATATGAGGAAATTCTTCTAAAAGTTCTTTTGTCTGTTGGTTTTCAAACCAATGATATGCTTGCTTTGTAGAACGAAGAGCATTCATTATACTTTGCATTTGGTACATGTCATCTTTGACCGAACGAATGAGACGTAACTGTTTGTTATACTGTATGTACTCGTATTCTTCATTAATGGCTTCATGGACTATAACTGTTGTTGTGTTCTCTAATGTTGTCATTACTGTCTTTACATACAAAATAAAAAAAATAAATAAAAATAAAACTAACTTTATTTTTTCTGTCTTAAGGAAATTCATGAAAATTCATGAGGGTAGAAATGAGGTTAGATCTAACCATCTACCCTAAACATTATTTTTGCTGAATTCAGCAACAAAATGAACGAGGTCAGGCTGTATGTAAATACCTTTGAATTCATCTATAACGCCCTTAGTAAGCTCATAAAATGCTTGTTTTGAGGTGGAGCCAAAAGTGGCTCGACCGTATTCTTTCAACCAAAACTCAAGAATTTCCTGCATGAATTTTGTATAAAAAGCAACCGTCTGTATTCCGACGGTTGCTATATTCTTCACAAAACGCCTTATAATACTCTTCCCAGGACTTATTTTCCAACAACTTTCATGAGATAAATAAGAAATAACTTTCATTTTTCATTAGATAACTGTTATTTTTGACGAAGTGAAGATTTGCACTTCGTCAAAAAATCCCTGAAATCAAGAATTAATCCCGTCAAATACAAAAAAATGAGGGTAGAAATGAGGTTAGATAACTGTTATTTTTGACGAAGTGAAGATTTGCACTTCGTCAAAAAATCCCTGAAATCAAGAATTAATCCCGTCAAATACAAAAAAATGAGGGTAGAAATGAGGTTAGATAACTGTTATTTTTGACGAAGTGAAGATTTGCACTTCGTCAAAAAATCCCTGAAATCAAGAATTAATCCCGTCAAATACAAAAAAAATGAGGGTAGAAATGAGGTTAGAAATGAGGGTAGAAATGAGGTTAGATCTAACCATCTACCCTAAACATTATTTTTGGTCATGGACTTCGTCCTCGCCGCTTCGGTCTGAAAGACCTCAGGACTCAAAGAGTCCGTTTGCGTCTTTATGTTAAAATAAATGGTACCATTAATAATACATGACTGTTCTCGTTCATGTCTGATTTACATCTAATGAAAAAGTTTAGAAGAATTTTCTTATTCTTTCTGGCATATTTTTGTCTTTCCAGTACTCCCGCTCTAATGGTCCCAGATGTGTTGGCTTCGACTCTCTCAAGTTCTTAGATGGTATAACATCTTCAACGCCTCCTTCATATCTTACTTTATAAGTGTCATCGTTTATGTTATAGCCAAGTATTTCAATAACCAATCCTCGCTTTGCTTCGTCAATGGTTTCAGCAAGTTTGCCATTACTACTTTCAACTAATTTGTGACGAGGGTAAAACGCAATAGAGTCGTTGGCAGCTTTTATAAGATATCCATTACCTTGCGTAGAGTCTACTATATAATAATTTCGACTTAACCTTAAACGTTTCTTTGTCAACGGTTTGTCGTCAAGAACTACACGAACTTTTGTACCAGGAATGAGGGTAAATTGTGTTGAATTTCTGATATTTTGTGTTTGGCTTCGTTTCTTTTGTATATACTTTTCTTCTTGTTGTTGTGTCATTGAATTTGGTGTATGTCCTGTTGTAAAATGTGTTGAGGAATTATATACTTCGAGAAAATGTTTCATTGTTTCTTCGGTAAAGTCTCGCTCTTGATTTAAATCTCTGAGCGTTCTTATGAAGCGATTAATGATACCGAGTATGTTATGGTTATGGTCTTCAGTAGTGTAGTGAGTTATGTTATGCTTAATGAGAAAATCTGTGATTTCATTGCTGAGGTATGCACTGTCTTGGTCTGATGTTAAAGTACTTGGGCTATGTTCTGCTACAAACTTTTGTAAAACTCTTAACACTTCACGAGTTCCTTTATTCCTCATTGGATATGCATATGCTTTGCGAGTGTTAACATTAATGAAGATGAGGAATGGTTTATGTCCTCCTTTTCTGCTTTGAATGAGAGTGTCAAATTGGTATGCGTCAGGAGTGTTGGAGTAAATTGGTAAAAAGTAGTCGTAAGGGTTTATTTTTGTTTGATGTACAACATTTTTGTCAAAGAACCTTTTCACTTCAGCTCTGTTAGTAAATCCCCAACTCTTTGCAGCTTCATTGAACTTCTTAAATGACCTCCATGGATGTTGTTCGAATACTTCTTTCAAGCTCATTTATGTAAAGTTAAAGATTTTATTCTAGGCTCAAGCGCGTTCATTGAACGCGGTACCATGCGAATACAGTCACAAATGGTGGCATATAATCTGCACCCGAGCCTGTTGGATTTGTTGTGAAAGTATGTGAATGATTTCCTCCTGGTTCAGTTGGTCGAAAAGTCTTTTTTGCTGCATTGTTATAAGATGGAGATAAAACGTCATTGCCAGCTTCATACTCTGAGTTGTATAATGGGTGGTCTCTTAATGAGTGGCTATGGTCGCCAGAAAAGTTTGTAGTTCCTGTATGAGTGTGCGGTGGAAGGTTTGCTTCAGTAATTTTCTTCGAACCTCCTGTTTGCTTTGAATATCTAGCACAGTATAAGAATTTATCTACAATCTGTTCCCACGTACCGAAACCCAGAACTGTTGCTGGATTTATTGAGTTCATTGACGTATAAATAGAACCTATAGGATATAATGTTTGAAGTATTTCTGTCTTTAATGTTTGAAGCTCTGTTTTGTCAGCTTTCTTATCTAACATTGCTGGTAGTTCATATGCTTCAAAGTTTCTGGCATGATCTTCAATATTCCTGCAACTCTTATCTAAATTGTTAAGAGTATCTTTTACGCTTGTACTTGGATTTTCTAATGGTGCACTTGAACCAAGGTCAAAGTTCAATATTATGTCGTCTGCTCTAACAGTAGTGAAGGATTTATGTGTATGGTTCTTGTCAGCTTTACTGTCTAACATTGCTGGTAGTTCATGGGTTTCAAAGTTTCTGGCATGACCTTCAATGTTCATACATTTACTATTTAAGGAGTTTAGTGTATCTTTTACGCTTGTACTTGGATTTTCTAATGGTGCACTTGAACCAAGGTCAAAGTTCAATATTATGTCGTCTGCTCTAACAGTAGTGAAGGATTCATGTGTATGGTTCTTGTAGGCTTTACTGTCTAATGTAGCTTGAAGTTCATTTATATCGGAGATGTTGTGTTTATGAGATTTCAAAACTTTGTTCATTGCTTCGAGTTCAACTTTGTCAGCTTTACTTTTAATAGCATCTTCAAACGTTATTTTTGCCTTAACTCTCAAAGTAAATCTTGGTTCAACTAATACACCGTTAACATTGAAAGTAGAGGCATAAATTTCACCGGTATAACCAAATGCTTCTGGTGCTTTAGCTACATCATACTGTACAGTACAGCTTATGTCATACCCTTTAGCACGAATGTATTTATATCTTCTTTCATTAACATTTTTTGTCTTCGCTTCATCACTTCGTGTTAAATATCCATGGTAGTCCGTTATAATCTGTTCGTCTGAAGTTATATAATGAACGTGGTTCTTGACTTTATCACTCAGAGCTAAAAGCTCATTTTTGTCTGCTTTTTCGGCCAATTTCTCATTAACATCATTCACTTCTAATTCAACTCTTCCGCCAGAACTCTTATTATCATTAATCTTTTTCATTAATTCCGTAATTACATCATAAAGACTATATTCTGTTTTCGGTTTTGTAAATAATGAGTCAAAATTTCTTTTCATCATTACATCGCTGACATTAATGATATCAGCTATACCTTTTTCATTTATTCTCTTCATTAGTTCTGCAATAATGACGAATATATAATCTGTTAATTTATTCTCTTCATCGAGGGTTATAGAATGTTTTGAAATTGAATCATTAACTCCTCTAAATAAATCAATAACTTCAGGATACACGTTTTTAATGTCTCGAATAACCCGACCAGTATCCTGTTGTTCATGTTCTTCGTTCCCGTCGTTACGTGGTTTTATATCTCTAACCATCATCAACGCATCCATACCCGGAGGGTTTGTTGCTATCTGTTCGAAAATCCGTCCGTTATGTACGGTATATCTAAATAATTTCTTTGTGTTTGTTAAAACATTTGAAACAAGTCTTTTAAAACCATCTACAAAATTTCCTGTTTCACCTAATGTTCTTGCAGCATTTACAAGCTCACCCAAAAACGTCCATATTGCATTTATTTCACTCTGTATAGTTGTCCATTCAGCGAAACTAACACCCGCATTCGCTAAGCTGAAAATGAAATTCAGTGGATCGAACTTAATTCCACCTTCTTTTTCAATTTCAACGAACTCACTAACATGAGATTTTAAATATTCTTTCGTTAAAATTGTTTTCCCTGATGTTATGTCATTAACGAAACTATCACCGTCAAAAGTTAACGAATTCAATTTCGTCGTTGATGCTTTTATTTCATACACCGCTTTATCGATAGTTTTTGGCTCACCTTCTTTAGAAGCATATGAAACATTAATGAATGAATTATATGTATTCATGAATGAATTAAAATCAATGATTTTCATTAATGACGCCTTTAATGATTCATTTACTGTCGAATCCCTTAAAGTAATTAATGAACTGTCATTTATGAAAGGTACACTGCAAACCGTCGAGTTTGGATCAAATGCTATAGTTGGTGCAGGAATATTAATGATATAAGTCATTAAATCATTAAGTGACGTAAATAATGTTGTCGTTTTTGATTTAATTTCTTTAGCATCTGTTATATATGGTAATTTTATTTCTGTAGTTTCTGAATTAAAGATATTCGCTAAAATGTTTTGTAAACTTTTTGAACAGCTGTGTAAACCGTTGAATCCGGAACTCTTACGATTTCACCATCCTTAATAAAAGGCATTGTACATGGCGTAGTGCTTGGGTCAAATCTTTCGGATTATAATTCAACATATTTCTAACGCTTCATGAACAGACTTATATACTGTTGTGTCGTTCTTCATGACAACTTCACCATTTACAATGAATGGCATAGTGCATGGAGTTAAAATGGGTCAAACTTTTCATAGTCCTTCCATGTTATGTATTTCTCGGTATTTCCATCACTGATAACAATATATTTGTCAGTAAGTGTGAGAGAGTATTGACCAAAATATAAACGTTTAGCTCTGTCAGCTTCATACGCATATGCAGCTATACTCATATTTTAATGAGAATAAAATGTTGTTCTATTTGCAAAGTACAGACCCAAACGAATACGGGACAGTAAAACTACAAACAAACTTAGGTCTACAGAATGAGCCACTTGCATTCAGAATGGTTGACTTTAATACTATTGCTTCATTCGTTATAACTGATGAAACAGATTTCATGGAGTTTGAAATAGATGGAAAGAAGCATGAAATAAGATTTCACAATAATGTAGAATATAAGATGGAAACATTAGCTGGAGTGTTAAATGCTCTCATAAGTACTACAATAAACAAGGATAACGAAGAAAACTTAATGAATGTTAAACTTATTGCAGGAGTTTTGAAGTTCAGTTATGCGAAGGAGTTTAAGATACCAAGAATGAGTCATAGAGTACAACTTCTTTTGGGTGCATACCATATGACATTTCCTTTGAAAAGTGTTGACAAAACGATTGAGATGAAATCTGTTCCATACGTATGTTATGGTAATTGTTTGTACATTGAGTCTAAAATAGCTAATGTCACAGGTATTTCAGGAGTTAATAGTAAAGGTTCAGTAGAATATAAGTCTTTCTGTTATGCAGTCAATTCAATGTTCATTCCAAACGTTCCTGTCATAGCAACTCATTTAGGTAAATGGGTTCGCATTAGTCCTCATAATTTGAAAGACATGCAATTCAGACTTGTTGACTTTCAAGGAGAGCCTGTAGAACTGAAGGCACCAGTGCGAATGACTGTTGAAGTTGACTTTTTAGAAATATTAAATGCAACAGCTTACAAGAGAACTCAGAGCTAAAAATATAAAGTATGAATGTTATGTATTAGGTCATGAACTTTGGTTGTTGCTGTTTGATGAAACAAATGAGTTAGTTATGTCAGTCAAGAGAACAGAAAAATATTGTGTTAGTGAAAACTGCACCAAGTCAATAAGATTAGGTTTGCATTATGAAGATGAGTTCGATACTGTTGAAGAAGTTTTGGATAGATATTACAAATTGCTAACTTGAAATTTTTTTTGACTGACGGCGCAAAGCGCCAGATGGGCTCAAAGAGCCCTCCTGACTGCTTTAATTTACTAAAACATATTTCAAACAAAGTTTATATTCTGTTGAAAGTTTTGTATATTCGTTCGAATATTTATACTTAAACTCAACTCCTGTAGTTCCTGGTGTTTCAATGATGCGGATGTTACCTATTTTCATGAATGGTGGCGTTTGACCACAGCATTCGATTTCAGGGTCGAGATAGTCAATGACACATTGCTTTCCTGTTATTCGTGATATAATATTTCAAGGTCCTCCTTTGTTAGAATTATTTGGTTCTTACTTATAAGATTTGTCAAAAGCTTCTTATCGTCTTTGAGTAAAATTGTTTTGGTATAACTGAAGAAGGTAATGGTCTACGTTATCTGAAGGATTTGTTTGAACATTTGTGTAAGGGTTGTCGTTGGCTTCTCTTGAAAGAATTTGGTCCAGTGGTGGATACTCTAACTTAACATCTGATGTAGCGTTAGCGTTTGAAGCTGTGTTTAAATTCACCGACTTAAGTTCTGGTTCTTTTTCTTTCAAACACTCTGAACTATAGTTCTTTATGACAATATTGTTTGTCGTTCGTGAGTCAACATTTGATGTTGGTTCAATTGGAACATTAACGGCACCAGCTAAGATGGATTTGCTTCTCATTTCATATAGAATAAAACCTTTTATATGTATGAAATGAACAATATACTCGACAAGGGTTTGAATGTAAAGCTAACGAATGAAAATATTGTTGAATTCACTGAGACAGGAGCTGTGTATAAAGATGTAGAACTACTGAACAAAAGAGCAAAGGGAAGAAGCAGGAACATGAACAAAGGGTGGAAGCCTATAAAAATTTATGTCAATGATGGCTCAGGAGGTTCAAACATAAAGTATGCAGAAAGTTATAGAGTTTATGCTCTCAAAGGTGAAAAGCCTTCATTTAAGAACAGCTATTCTAACGCATATCCTCAAAAGCTAACGGATGGGGAAGTGGATGATATGAATGACAGCAAAAATATTAACAGAAATGGCGACAGAGATGCATGGAATTTGTTTACCATCAGTCAATTGAAGGTTAAACTTTAAAACAATGTTGGTCGTTCCCATGGAATATTTTGACTTTAATGGTATTAGTCATGATATGAATCTCAAGGTATGAACGAGGAGAGATGAGAGACTTATATGCTTCCCAAATTTCTTCAAAAGGTAATGTTATACCTGACTGTTTCCAAATGAGTTCAATGTCATAGCGTGAGAAACCTTGAAAGATAACGAAGTCAGTTATGAGACGTTTTATGTTTAAAGCTAAAAACCTCCATGTTTGCATAAGTATTGCTACAGTTAAGTGGTAATGTCTGACTTTAGTAATGATGTTAGCTAATGGTGAGTCTGGTTTTGACACTAAACCTTTTCCGGCGAAGTCGTCACAAACTAATAAAGTGTTTGATGGATATTTTTTGAAGGGGTATTTTGAAAGTTTTGACAGAATGTAGTTTGTAAGTCGTTTCATATCGTAAACTCCTGAGTACTGACGTAAGTGGTGTTTGTTAATAATTCTTTCCATCTCCTCAGAAGTCTTTTGCATTCCTGACTGTATAAATTCAACGATGGCATAATATTTCCTCTTACGTCGAATGTAACGTTGAAAGAAATTCAATGAGTTCACTGTCTGGAACTTTAACGACAGAGGCTTGAACTTTTGACATAAATGTTTTCGCTGTTGAGTCCATAGAGTCTGAAGTTGCTGATATAATGATTTGGTCATAATATGAGTCATTTCCTAAACGTTCTGTTATAAGAATATGACGAATGAGGTTAAATGTCTTACCTGAACCCATCTTTCCACAATAGAAATACACACCATTTGAACAGAACTCATAGTCCTTACTGAAAGGAAGAATAAGAGAAGAGTTAAGTTTGTCTGTAGTTTCATTCATGTCTTCATCTACGTCATGTATTAAATGCTTCATTTTATCTCCATTAAAAATGCAAGTCAGAAATATTCAGAACATAGCACCGAGTCTAACTGACAAGAGTATAAAGATATACTATGAACATGTTATGATGAAACCTACCAAAATTCAAGAAAGTCAGTATACTTATGAATATCCAAGACACTGGGTAGAGTATGTAGGAGGTGAGAAAGCTATTGAAATCAGACAGGTTCGAAGTATTCCAGCAGGAAGAACAATATTATTGAAGAACTTTAATGTTTTGAGATATAATGATGAAACAAAGAAGCAAGATAGTTTCCCTGTTGCTGTGTATGTGAACTTAGATACAGGAGATGACATGAAAGTTTTTAATACAAAGCTTCAAACGGTAGTGAGAGAACAACTGACTGCGGAAGGGCATCCATTACCTTCAGAAGTTACCATAGCATATAATTTTGAAACAAACTCAATAGATTTTAAAGTCATCTCTGCAAAGAAGTCAGGTTTTACATTTAATGAAGCAGATGTATATTCGAATGAAAACTTCAAAGCTATTGCATGGTTAGATAATGACGATTGCTTTAAGAAAATATTTAAATACAGTGACTCAACGATGTCAATAGATGACCTTCGTGGAATGTTACCATCGACGTTTACAGTAGAAGGTTCAGCAGGATTGCTTACAAGATTGTCAATTGGTGGTATTTGGTCTCGTGAGAACATTGTTATAAAATCCAGTATAAGTGAATTTGCTGAAGAATCTATATTATGTCTTTCAAACTACATGTATTCGCCGCCGAAGCATTATAGTATAACAAACTTTGTCAGTAAGTTTAACATAAGACTTGTCGAACCTTCTTCAATGAAAGATGTTGTGCTACCTAAAGATGGAAAGGATGGACTCATTATTGAGATGATTTTAATTGCATATTAAATGAGCTTGTTCTTAAAGGTCGTTCATGATGAAATAACTGTTGTAGAAGATGTTAGCAATTGTTCAGACATTTTGAAGCGAATAGATGAGATAAGAAAGAAGTTAGATAGACCGCAAAGCGGTGAGGGTGAAGCCCGTGAGAATGTTTATGTTTCATTGACTTTCTCCAGTAACGAGAACTTTTATGAGATAATATTGAAGAGAGATGATTTTAATATGGGGTAAATGGTAGCTTGGGCAGCTTTAGGCGCAATGGGAACAAAAGCATTAGCATTTGGAGCAAAAGCACTTGGAGCTTATGACGCAGTAAATAAAATGAGTGGAGGAAGGGTTTCAAAGACATTAGATGCAAATAAAGGAAAGATTGGAGGCTGGGTTGCAAAGAAGTTAAGATTAAATAAAATAGGGCTCATAAATAAAGCATCCAATTTGGTTGCGACTGAGTCAGAAAATGCTTTAGGAAAGGACGATGAGTTTGCAAAACACGTAAAAGACTTTAATGACCAGATGAAAGGTGAAGCAATGCATTTAAATAGAGTCGATGGAACTAAAGAAGATGTTTCTTCTCCACCAGTAGTTCTTCCGTATGGTCTCTATGGAATGTATGGAAACCCTTACGAAAGACCATTTGACCCATTGACTGGTGGAAGTAACTGGTATCATTACGGCCGAAGAAGAAAGACAGTCAAGTTGGAGACAGACGTGAAGAAAGCAACTAAAAAGAAACCAAGGAAGAGAGTTATAAAGCAATGAATTCAACAGGGTAGAAATGAGGTTAGAAATCGGGTTAGATCTCACCACTTCACCTAAATTTATTTTTGTGCTATGTTTTCATACGTGTGAGGGTGGTGAGATCATTTATTTTTTATTTTATTTTTTAAAATTATTTTTATTTTATTTGGATGTAATGACAGAACAAAAGCAACTCATACAAATCAAAACATATAACAAACATACATTTAAACATTTATTCTTCCTTCCTGAGCATAACATGTTCTTTCAAATACATCCGAGACCAGTTGACTTTTCATTGACTGTTTATAAAGATAGAAATAGTTATATCATTAAACCATACGATGACGAAGGTAAGTTATGTAAATTGTACGTTAAGAAGTTAGAGAAAGTTTATGGCTTCAAGTATGACTACAATAGGGTTAACACTGATGATGAAGATATTGAGGAAAATTTATGAGAACATTAGTGAAGTTGTTAGTGAGAACGATAGTGAGGTGAAATTGTTGGCGGCTTTGTAAATATTTAAGGTTAAGTTAGTTTTTGCGTTCATGTTGTAAAATATACGTTAACGGTTTTGTAAAGTGTCAAATTCACAAGTATTGGGTAAGGTGGAACGCAGTGCCACCATACCCAAGACTTGTATACTAACTGCTGTTGAAATGGAAATTGCAGATTATCGTGATAGAGATAACAAGAACTATGGTGGCAACAAAGATTGCAATGGAAACAAGGACAGAAGAACTAAGACTGTTTCACCAAGAACACGCCCACAAGGAAGGCCAGGAGGAAACTGCGGCTCTTCATCATCAAATGGAAAGTCAAATTATTACTCAAAGAGACATGCATACAAAGTATACAAACTCTGCCTCTACATTGGTGTACCAATCTTAGGTGCTGTTGCTGTTATTGGTGTCATTGCAACTGTTATTGTTATTTGCAGAAAGCGTAAGAATAATGCTGATAACACAAAAGTTGATTCAATCGATCCAGATGACGAAGAAGTTAAAGTCGAATATAATGAAAGTGTTAATGATCAACTTCTTGTTTGAACTAAATAACAATCAGAATATTTTTAATATATTTTCCAAAAAAAAGGAAAATAAAAGAATCATTTTGAAATTTTAAAATTGATTTTTTAAAAAAGCAAGGAATTTGATTTCTAAAATTGTGTTTTATTGAATTTCTAATAATTCATAACAAAATTTAAAAAAAAATATTCAAGAAAGAAAAATAATGAAATCAAATTCAATAATAAAAATGGATTATACATGTTTATGATAATAATAATAAGTAGTTATATTAAGTTAAATTAAATTAAACTAAGTTGAATATTGGAACGTTGAGTAGAGATGGCGTTGTTGAAGCAACAGTTACAGTTTGTGCATACTTCCTGAGTGATGTTGCGAGGCGTTTCTTGCACTCCATTGCTGTCATGTTGGGTTCTTGCTCGAGAGCTTTCATCAGATTGTATGTGAACATTCCTTGTTCGACTCTATCTGCGACTGTCTGCTTTGCTGTCTGCTTGTCGTTTGCAGCAGATACGGAGACGAAGTTTGCTTGGATTCTGACGTTTCCGATGTTCTTGCTCTGGAGGTCCCAAACTGTTCCTGAGTGGCAGCAGTCTGAGATCAAGATTACTTTGTTTTCTGGGCACTTGTTTTCTGCGAGTGTCTGGAGGAGTTCATCATCAATGATATTTCCATCTACGAAGACGAGAGCCTCATCCTGACCATCATCTTCGTCACCGTTGAGATCTGCGACATTAGTTCCATGTCCGACGTAGAAGAGGGCGAGCTCTGTCTTTGTGTTCTGAAGGAAGAATGCGAGTTTCTCGAGGAATGGCTTCTTCTTAGAGTCTACTATGTAGTATACCTGGTATCCATATCTCTTAAGGCACTTCGCCATGTTGTATCCGTCGTTCATTGGACCGTCGCCAAGCGAGTATCTTGTTCCGATGTAGCAGTTGATTACGACGAATCCAACGCGCTGCAAGTTTGTTGGGAGCTTGCTTGTGCTGACGTTTGTGATGTCTGTTCCGTACTTCTTGATGTTTGTCTTTGCACTCATCTAGGAAAATGAAATGCTATTGAGACTCTCTGAAAAAAATCGAAGATTTGAGAAGAGCACGGATAATTGAGACAAAATCAAATAGATCAACGATAACTTAAAAATTTTGAGATAAATGCACTTACATGATGCCAATTATCATAAATAACGCAAGATTATATTCAGAGAAGAAAGGTTTTTTATTCCTATCAAAAATCCAGGAGTTATCTCAAAATTTTCTGAGAGCACGTTAAATAATTTAACCTCGTTTTATCTTGATTAAAAATGGTGTAATTCTATTTTGAATGTAATATGGGCGATTTTTATTAACTTGCAACAAGAATTTATTATACCTTATTCCTCTCAAATTTTCTTCATAAAATTTTAGGAAAATTTTCATCAAAATCTTATTGATTTTTGCACTAATCAATATAATTCGTAATAGTTATTATTTGGTGATGTTGTAAAATCAAATTTAAGGACTAAACGAGGTTACTATTATTTAACGTGCTCTCAGAAAATTTTGAGATAACTCCTGGATTTTTGATAGGAATAAAAAACCTTTCTTCTCTGAATATAATCTTGCGTTATTTATGATAATTGGCATCATGTAAGTGCATTTATCTCAAAATTTTTAAGTTATCGTTGATCTATTTGATTTTGTCTCAATTATCCGTGCTCTTCTCAAATCTTCGATTTTTTTCAGAGAGTCTCAATAGCATTTCATTTTCCTAGATGAGTGCAAAGACAAACATCAAGAAGTACGGAACAGACATCACAAACGTCAGCACAAGCAAGCTCCCAACAAACTTGCAGCGCGTTGGATTCGTCGTAATCAACTGCTACATCGGAACAAGATACTCGCTTGGCGACGGTCCAATGAACGACGGATACAACATGGCGAAGTGCCTTAAGAGATATGGATACCAGGTATACTACATAGTAGACTCTAAGAAGAAGCCATTCCTCGAGAAACTCGCATTCTTCCTTCAGAACACAAAGACAGAGCTCGCCCTCTTCTACGTCGGACATGGAACTAATGTCGCAGATCTCAACGGTGACGAAGATGATGGTCAGGATGAGGCTCTCGTCTTCGTAGATGGAAATATCATTGATGATGAACTCCTCCAGACACTCGCAGAAAACAAGTGCCCAGAAAACAAAGTAATCTTGATCTCAGACTGCTGCCACTCAGGAACAGTTTGGGACCTCCAGAGCAAGAACATCGGAAACGTCAGAATCCCAGCAAACTTCGTCTCCGTATCTGCTGCAAACGACAAGCAGACAGCAAAGCAGACAGTCGCAGATAGAGTCGAACAAGGAATGTTCACATACAATCTGATGAAAGCTCTCGAGCAAGAACCCAACATGACAGCAATGGAGTGCAAGAAACGCCTCGCAACATCACTCAGGAAGTATGCACAAACTGTAACTGTTGCTTCAACAACGCCATCTCTACTCAACGTTCCAATATTCAACTTAGTTTAATTTAATTTAACTTAATATAACTACTTATTATTATTATCATAAACATGTAAAATACATTTTTATTATTGAAATTTATTTGATTGTTTTTGTTTCGTGGTTTTGTAATGAACAAGTTGCTAATATGTAAGAAAGGTTTTAAACCATGTATCTTCATAACTACATTTTGTCAGCAAAAATATATACAAGACAAAATGAGTTAATTGGAGCGTTGTTAAAAGAATGTCAACAAATTGTGATGAAATATTAAACTTGTGAATGAAATTTTCAATTAATTAGTGATTATTATTAGAATTTTTCAAAAATCTATAAAAAGAGAGAAGTATTTGGTTATGAAACACGTTTAATAATAATAATAGATTTAGGCTGACTTGACCTCCCAAGCGCGGATGGAGCCGTCATTGTAGCCAGAGTACAATACGGAACCATCGGCAGCCCAGGCGAGGCATGTGCAGTCTGGTGTGCGGCCGGCATTGCGCTTGCCTTCATGCTTGAAGTTTGGCTGGACGAGATCGATCTGTTGCTTGGCACCGATATCCCAAACAGCGATGCCTTCGTATGTAGCGGCGCAGATCCAAGCCTGTGTTGGGCAGGCAGCGACGGCGTGGACTGGAGATGGGGCTGTGAAGGAGATTGTCTTGGCACCGTTCTCTGTGAGCCACATGACAACCTTGCGGTCTGAGCCACCTGTGATAACCCACTTGCCATCTGGTGTGAAGTCAACAGATGTGCAGCGGCCATCGTGAGCCTTGAATTCCTTGATGAGCTTGGCCTCCTTCTCAATGGACCAGATGTAGACCTTGCCATCCCAGCAGCCGACAGCGATGACGAGTGGGGATGTCTCGTCAGCCATTGGAGCGCAGGCAACAGATGTAACCCAGGAAGAGCACTGGAGTTCAGCCTTGTTTTCACCAAGGATGTTCCAGATCTTGACTTGGTTATCACGGCCGACGGAGATGATACGGCGGTTGCATGGTGAGAATGTAACACCTAAGACATCCTTCTTGTGGCCAAGGAAGAGCTTCTTTGTTGTGCGTGTGGAGAGGTCCCAAAGGCGGAGTGTGGAGTCCCAGGATGATGTGAGAAGGTGGGAAGCATCGCGGGAAAGGGAAACATCAGAAACGAAGTGGTTGTGGCCAATAAGGCGTGTGAATGGTGTAGCCCACTGTTCCTGTGTGCGGTTAAGCTTCCAAACGAGAGCTGACTTATCGCGGGAAGCAGAGACGAGGTAGTTGTGCTCATTATCGATTTCGATGGATTCGATGGCAGCGTTGTGGCCAACGAATGTAGCACGTGGAGCGAAGTGAGCGGACTGTGTCTCTTCAACTTCAACTTGTTCAACTTGTTCGACTGGTTGTTCAGCAGACATTAGAAAGTAAGGAAAGGCCAAAACGATTAATTCTCTCTCAATTTTTCTTACTTCTCAAAAGTATGCTAGTCAATATTCATTTCTTTATACAAATAGCTTAAACTCAATGTTTTTTCACTAAATATTGTAAAATTTGTTCAATTGCTCTTTTACATTCGTGGAATTTGCTTTAAATTACTGAATAATAGTTGAAAAATATGACACTACCTAATGAACTTACAAATCTCTTAATATCAAATGCTTGCCATAAGATTTTTGAATTTTTATTCAAATGCAGATTTAATGAAAATCTCGATTGGAATTTGCGTTTAATTCTATTTCATGTTCTAAATTCATTCTGCATCCATTGAAACACAAAATATCAAAATATAAAAAATATAGGAGTTAAATGGAATCTTTGATTACATCACCCTTCCTAAATAATCTGCATGCTAACGATGTGGTATCATTTTAAATGTGAAGTTTTTAAATGAAACAATTCTACAGTGATTGGACACATAAATTGAATATTACTCATTGCATTTGCTTTTAAATTCATTGTGCTAGTAGATATATGGTCATATTTTGAAGAATTAATGAGAAAATCAGTTTTCTCGAGATTGATATTAAGGAAAATATAGTACAAAGAGAAAATAGAGAAAGGCATTGCATGATAAATTGCTTTATAAAGTAATAAAACTAAATAATACCAAAACTATTTGAGATATAATATTATCATTATATAGAAATAGATATGTTTTTAAAACACGCTGTATATTATAATAACGAATTAATATATTATTTCTTATGCTGTCTGGGAGTGCCAGGAATCGTAATAATTTCTTCTTTTGATTCTGTCTTTGGTAATGGTGCGAATCCGGTTTCAGAGCTTGATGATCTTGATAACTTAACAACAGGAATATCAGATGGAAGGATTGTGTAACTTAATTTATTTCCAACGCCGATATCTATAAAAGCAGCTTTGTTGTTAAAGCGGCCTGTGTAGCAACTTGCTGTAAATATTGTAACGACTGATTTATCTGGTAAAAATGGAAAGTTGTAGCCATCATTTGCTAATTGATGTCCGCGAATGATTGTAGTGAAATTGTTGCATTGAAGGAACTTCTTAGCAGCTAAAAGTCCCCATGTAATTGTTGCTCCTCTGTCATTTGGTCCCCAGTTATCAGTTTTTTCATTTGGATCTGACCAGAGTAAATCGGCCAATATTCCATCTGTTGGAACAGCTGTAGGACGTTCTATTGCTTTAATCAAATTAACATTGTCTGCGTCGGGACTTAAGCCTCCATGAACGCAAAATATCTCCTTACCAACTATAGCAGCTATCGGAAGGCAGTCAAAGATGTCCATGAATAGCAGATAGAGGTCTTCTGAGAGCTTCTCCAGGCATTCTCTGTAGAAGCCGAAGCTTTCTGTCATTTCTGGACTCTCATGATTGCCTCGAAGTAGATATATGTTATTTGGATATAGCAACTTCAATGCGAAGAGAAGTGTAATGACTTCAACGCTATTTTCGCCTCTATCCACATAATCACCTAAAAATAGAAAGCGATTATCAGGAACAAAGCCGCCTGCATCAAATACACGTAATAAATCGTGATACTGTCCATGTATATCACCACTTACTTTGATTGGTGGCTCTAGTTCTAATACAGAAGGCTCATCCAGCAAAACTGGTTTAATCTCTTTGCAAATCCAGTAAAAATCATCTGTAGATATTCTACCGGCAAAACCTTTGTTCTCCAGCAAGATTTCAACAATATTCTCAAGCCGGAAGACCCTGTCCATATTGAAAATCCTAAAAGTTGGCTATTGAAAGGTGGTTATTTGTAAACTAATCAAATTGAAAAATCAGATAATTTATGAAATTAAATTGTTTAATTGATTCGAAAGGGGAATAAAATTTTGCGATCACTTGAAAAGTGACATCCTATTCGATATATTGAAAATCAATACCTAGCAAATTATGTCTAAAAGAGATATCGATAGTATATATAATTCCCTCGCTTATAGCTTATATAAAAATTATAATGATGGATCGAATATTCCTATTATTGAGTAAGATTATGATCAGGGGATCAAAATCTAATTTTACAACTATTCAATTTGAAGTTTCTTTTGAGAAAAAAAGAATTTAACGTTAAATAAACCTTATGACAACACCCACATATCATTTCAATCCCTCCTACATTTCAACTCAAATTTATTTTTCATATAACTTGAGTAGTATATGTGGAAGGGTTGTGTGACTTTTTTTGTAAACGTAAGAATTCATACAATATTGAACGATTTTGTATCATTTTTTTTAACATATGAAGTAAAAAATGTATGATTCTTACGGTTTTTATTCTTACGTTTTTGAATAAATCAAGATTTAAAAAATTTTCAAATCGTAAGACATTTACACTCAACCCATACATAATGAAATATATTTCATCACTTATAAAAGAAGTTATATATAGATAATGTCAGCTATTCCACGATTAATTAAACATTGTTTAAATCCTGAATGGAATCAACGGAGTCATAATGAAAAACCACATAAACGGGTAAAAAAATTAGAAACTAATGATTATTTGAATTTATGAAATCAATTATTTGATTCATTCTTTCTTCAATCTCTTCTATTCTTTTTGTTAAATCATCTATTTTCATTAATGAGGTGATTCTTGATTGAGGAATAGATTTCAAACTAATCACTCCTTTTATTTTTGAAATTTTGAATCCATCAACTTTAAACATTTTATTCAATTTACATGTTGTCAATTCTTCAAATAATTTTTTATTATTGGCATAATAGTCATTAAATTCTTCAACAGATGAAAAAATTTTTATTTCAGTAATTGGTTTAACAACGTTTATTTTTTGTTGAACATTTCCACTTTCATTTATTTCTTCCTCCTCTGTTTCATTTATTTTTAAAATCGGTTTCATTTATCATTAAATAAAAATTAGAATATAAGTGATGAAATATATTTTTTAATTAATATTAAATCAGAAATGGCTGCAGGATTCTTTAAAAAATTATGGGAAGGAATTAAGAAAGCTGCGGGTTGGGTTCATAAAAATATTATTAAACCCGTTGCAAACTTTTTGGCACCAGTAGCGAAAACGGCAGGAACTATCATAGGTGGAGTATTAGGTACTAAAGCAGGTAATCCGGCGATGGGAGCACAAGCAGGTAACGCAATTGGTGGAATTGCTGAAGGAATACTTAATAAAATAGGAGGTAATAGTGGAAAAATAAATAAATATTATTTTTATCTTAGTATCGGTTGAAGTCTTTGATAAACTTTTTCTCCTTTATTTAATATTTCTCTTATTGGGGCGCTTTTGGCGTTATTGATTCAGCAACGTCACTAATTGCTTCTTTATTCTTAAATATCCAATTTGCTCCTTTCTTCATTGTTTCCCAAACTTTATGCGCTCCTCTTTTTACTTTATCCCATAATTTTTAAAGAATCCTGCAGCCATAGTTGATTATTTCATTAAAATTAAAAATTCATTTTCATCTTTTAATTTTGATTTTTTATTTATTAATAAATGACGACTAACTATTTGGTGCCAAACACTAAACCGATTAATGGAAATGTATTTCATTCATTCGAAAAGATAAATGAAATATTCGCAAAGAATGACGGTAGAAGATATTATAGAGAACTTGAAAGTTCATGCTATGACTCTGATGCTCCATATTTTGATGATAAACAAACTCATTTAAGAATTACAAATCCGGCTCATGATGTGAACCAATTAGGTGACACATATATTAAACGCAAAGTTAAAGCAACTCTAGTTTCAAATAAAGCTTTCACATGTGATGCCGCTTTTAAATGCATGCGTTTATTCGTTGGTTACAAATCATCAAATCAAAGCTTTAAACAATTAGAAGTAGAAACCGAAAGAGGTGATGCCGGTTATCTTCAGATGGATTGCGCCCGTGAATCTTTCGCATTTGCAACATATAAACCAAAATCAGAAAGGAAAGTTAAAAAGTTTGTTCATTCGTTATATAATAATGTTCAAAAATATGATAACTCAGTATGTGGTAAATATATTGACCCTTCAGAAGTTTCAAGAATGCAAATGAAGAAGTTGATGTCACTTTTGATATATTATTCCGGTAAATGATTTGTTAGCATTTCAGGCGTTCGATGATTATCCTAAATCATTTGGTGAAATCATTCTTAAATATTATGTTTTCAGGGAACTTTAGTATTTTGTCAGGTTGACCCGTTAAGAGTTGCTGATTTACAAAATTACGTTTATGAAAAGATAACTGATGAAAATTATGAAAAGATTATGAATCATGTTTATAAATATGATCGCAAATTCCAACAAATCGGACTTCCTGCCAAATTAATTACAAGCTTAGCCGCTACATCTGCTGACGCAACAGTTGATAACGTTATTATTTCATGCACAAAGATGGAAGTTTTAGAGGATAAATGCATTACACCAGGATACGGTTTAATTGAAGAATCAGTTAAAGCAATACCACGTTTATTTAGTAAGGAAGATCCATTCATGATTCCAGCTCAACATATTGACGTTCGTTCACTAAATGGAGGTTGCATCACTCCTGAAGGTATTAGCTCAGATTTCTCATACGCTCTTCATAATGTTACAGATGTTGTGTTAACATTTCCGAAGAATGCAATGCAAAGAACAGTTTTAGAAAATCCAATGCTTCGAGGTCTTCAGGTCACTATAGATTCCAGAAACTTCCCCGATCAAGCGATGACCACAGTGGGTGACATATTCTTTACACGTATGCTTCAAGCTTCTGATTTAGATGGAGTGAATGAATGCACAGAAGAATACGAGGACTCATTAACTAGACCACTGAATGATGATAATGGCACGCCATTAGCTAGAACATGGAAAGACCAAACTTCATTCTTATGCACTATTCCAGTTCAACGTGATGGAGCGGGTATATTCTTTGATGGATTAGAAACTTTCAATTCACAAGTTACAGTACAAGTGAAAGCTTATCCAATCATTCAGGGTGAAAATGACACTTACTGTTCAAAGGTGACAAATCCTCCTCAGGTTTGGTTTACTAGGACTACGTATTGGACATGGACACCGGATGAAGGTTTGAAATATCATCCAACAGGTACACCACCACAGTATAGAAGTTCATATGATGAAATATTGATGAATAGAAATGTTTAAAATTATAAATTTATTTTTGATTAAATGGATTTAAATTCATCCACTCCTTATGAAGAATTAGCAGGAGTATATAATACATACGTAGATGATATGATTAATGAAGCATTGAGTGATAATAGAAATGCTCTATCTAAGGAAAAATTAATGAAAATTCCATATTCTGAATGTTACTTAAATTCAATCACTGCAGCAATTGGTAAACAAAATAAAGGTAAAACATTAACGATATTAAAACAAATTATCATTATTGCTAACACTTCACCCTATTCACATGTGTTAATTTATATCAACCGTTCAGGTTCACCTTCAGATGATACATTTGAATCTTTAAAGCATTTAATCAAAATTCCAATTATTTATTTATCACAAGAAGAAGCAGAAGATTATTTAAAAAACTTTTTAATGTATAAAGAATTATATAATACAATCAAGAAGCAAGGATTAGAGGATAAAATTATTGATAAACAACGGGATGAATTATTTGAAACACTTTCTATTTCAAATTTTGATAAAGAATTTTTGCATTCACTCATTTTTCTAGATGATGCGGTGAAATCAAAACTAATAACAAATGAGAAATCATATTTTAATCAGTTATTAACTCAATGTCGACACATTCAGTGTTCATTCTTTATGGCTGTTCAATATTTCAAAGCATTAAGCACAAACATTAAATCAAACCTGTCCACCCTTTTCATTTTCAGTGGTTTTAGTCGTCAACAGTTGAACGTTATGCTTTATCAAGTGAATTTACCAATGAGCATTAATGAACTTTACACACAATATCAACAATTAGGAGAACATGGAAAAATAATAGTTGATTTAAATAAAGGAGGTGTTAAATTTGATTAACTTTTTATAATTAATTTTTATTTTTTATTTATAATTAAACATGACAGAAATTGCAAATCTTCTACAGGTTCCATTAAAACAAGGGACAAACAAAAAGGGTGCATATAATAGAACTATGAAAGTTCCTGATGGAATGAAAGAATTAGTCCACATTGTTGCCGGTCTTCAAAAGGATGTTAAACAAATGAGAAACGTTTTAACATTACCAGAAGCTCAAGCATATGCCAAACGTCATGGACCAAATTGGGAAGCACATGAAGCAGACATTACGGGTCCAAATGGAAAACCTGATGGTATAAATGAAGTTTTCGTTACTGATGGTCAAGGTAATATTAAAGTCATAAATGGTTATAAATTAACTATATCTGATTATCCTAAACGTAAAGCATATAATGAACGTTATCCTATGCAATTTGATGAAAATGGAAAAGCTGTTAAACAATACATTGGAGAAGGTGAAAATGGTCCAATTAATTCATACCGTTATAATCCATATTCTTATTTCAATGAAGAATTAAATGCTATTGAAGAGGGACCGGATGGATTACCACGATATGTTAATCAGTTTGATGGTCAATATGCAAATATTAGACCTGAAATTCCAGCTAAGAAATTCTTTAAAGTTGCTTTATTCGATCCAGTGTTCAATGAACAGAAAGAAGCAATGAAAGCAGAATTTAAACCAATTCAAGTGGCAAGAATTTCTTCATCTTCACTTTCAGAAGCGTTCAAGGAATTGATAAAGAAACCACTTTATTCTCAACAAGGTTATAACTTTGATTTAATTAAAGAAAGTGATAGACGTAAATTAGAAAAATCAGATGGTTTTAAGAATGCATGTAATGAAATGATTAAAGATATTGTAAATGATAAAATAAGACTGGAAGAAACTCAAAGCAATATCAATAACATAATTGGTGCAGTTACAAAGAAAGTATAAGCAAACAATGATGAACCTTGGGATATTACCGTAACAACTAAATAAAACTTTAAATATATTTTTCTTTTTTTTATTCAATTATAAATGAGAAGACGTTTCACAAGTCAAAAGAACACAAACGCAAAAGCAGAGATTACGGTTGGTTATAACGTAAATGATGATAAATCACGAATTATTCAAAATGTTAAAGTTAATGTTAGCCCTGAATTAACAAGGTCAGCAACTCAGTCCAATTTATTAACTCGTGACTTACCGAAGAATGAGGAGAATGAAGAAAACCATGAGAATGGAGACCCAATCATTTTATCTGAACCCGGTAAAGAACCTGTTGAAATTCCCACTTATCCAACATACCCCCCGCCTCTTTCATCAAACATCGAGAACCCATATAAAATAGACATTAATTCTGAATTAATGAAAATTTACCGTGATATAATAATTAATAATTATGATTCAATAATAAATTTAATTGATCAATCCGGTTTAATTATTTTACCTTATGAATCATTAATTCACATTATCGCCATTCTTTGTGATGTTCAAGATTCAGACGTTAAGATTCAATTTTTCATAGATGATGAGGTTTCATGCTGCGGAACAGTTGCAAAAATAAATCCTATAAAGGATATTAGCACAATTAAGATATCAAAGAACGGAACAACAACTGAACTTCATTTAACATATAATGATATTTATAATAAAATAGTTGATGAATATAAAATATCACTTGAAAAATTCTTTGTTAAGGCTATTTAATATTCAAGCATTAACATTATTGAATAATAATCCTTTGAATCATAATCAATAATAATTGACCTTTCACCAGTTTCTATCGTTTGTTTTATTTCTTTTTGTTCCTCACTATCTGGATCGGTCATTGTAATTGTTTTTGTTATAGTATCAGCTTTATTTTAACTTCAATCTTTTTCCATCGGGATATTTAAACCAAAATTCCAAAAATTCGATATTGTCAATCTGTTCATATTTTAATCTATCAATTACATTTTTAATACCATCTGAAAATCTTATGAAATGGTCATTATATGGGTTTGATTGAACTAAATTTGAATGAAGTGAAATATAACCTGTTGATGAATATGACATTGACTCATATTTTCTGAAAACACTAAAATTTATAACATGAATGAATTTCTTATTCGTTGAATTTATGAATTCTTGAGGTAATCTTATTCTAGTTTTATTTATCACTGGAAAATAACGCTTTACCATATTTTTAATCGTAATAAAAATGTCAATTATCAATATTATTTCGAATAATAGCTGTGAATTAAATTTAACAGTTAGCGGAATTTATAATGTTACTCTCGTTTCTGTGAGTGGTAAATTTAATCCCATTCTTTTAGACCCTTCAGATTATATATCATTTATTAAAGATGACCTTGAAAAAACGTATGATATGTATATAAATAATGTGATAGCGAAATGGGATATTAACATGATTTTAAGTTATTTAAATGAATCATTTATTGTATGGTATGAAGAAAATTTTAAATCAAAACCCGATAAACTTTTTGAACTTGATGAAATAAATAACCTTATTAAATTTCCGCTGAAAATTAAATTTTGTACTCCTCATCTTCGTTCATTGTTGGGATATTAAATTTTGAAAAAGATGTTGGGGATGTTTTGTATTCTGACACTGGTTCCAATTTCATTTTAATCAAATGTGATAAAGTTAATACCCCAATGAGATTTTCACATCAAACATTAGACCCTAACTCTTACCCATCAATACAAAACATTTTATCCATCAACTTAAACACATTTTCTTTATCATATCCGTTTCAATTATCTGGGAATTCATTTATTCTTCATTCAAAAGATTTATCAAATATTAAATTTAGAATAACCGACCTATTTGATTGTGATTTAGAATTTATGAATGAAATATTATGGCAATTTCAAATAGAAAAAATAGGTGATGAGATAACGGATTAAATATTTATTTTTAAATCATAATAAATGATTAAACAACAGCAACCACAACAACTTAAGGCACAAAGCACCCAGGTCCCTCAGACCATTACATACGCCATATATGCATATAATTCAAAGACGGCAGAACAAACGCAAAGGTTGAAATATGGAGATTTGGAGATAGTATTGAAAAATGACCATTTCGAATTCGTTTGCAAAGGTGGTGCAGTGATATCAAATATAAAAGAAATTTTATTTATGAATTCAAAAATTAAAGGAATAACGGATGATATAACATCAATTCCACCAGAAGAACAGAGATATTACGCATTAAATGCATTTCCTAAAGTTTTGAAGATTGGAAGATTTAATTTAAATGAGGAATTCATAGAAGGTTTCCTAAATGACATAATGAAGAGGGCGGATAAGGAATATGTGGATAGTGAGTTAATGAAGAAGGCAAATTTGGTTTATGTTGATGAAAAAGATAATGAAATTAAAGAAAGGGTTGAATGGTATCATGAATGGACATCAAAGATTTTAAAAACTAAAGCCGATACAGGATGGGTTTCAGGATGTTTAGACCTTAAAGCAGATAAAACTTATGTTAACGATGAGTTAGAGAAGAAGGCGGATAAGGAATGGACATTGGAGACTTTTAAAGTTAAAGCTGATACAGGATGGGTTTCAGGATGTTTAGACCTTAAAGCAGATAAAACTTATGTTAACGATGAGTTAGAGAAGAAGGCGGATAAGGAATGGACATTGAGACTTTTAAAGTTAAAGCTGATACAGGATGGGTTTCAGGATGTTTAGACCTTAAAGCAGATAAAACTTATGTTGATGAAAATTATGCAAAGAAGTCGGAAGTAAATGATGTGATTACAAGCATGAAAAATGAAATACTTCAAACATTATATCCTGTTGGTTCTATTTATACGTCAATGAACTCAACAAATCCCGCAACAGTTTTAGGTTTTGGTGAATGGAAGCAGATTGTAGATAAATTCTTATACTGTGCTAGATATTCAAAGACGGCAGGAGGTTCGAAGAAAATTAAAGAAGCAAACCTTCCACCGCACACTCATACAGGAACTACAAACTTTTCTGGCGACCATAGCCACTCATTAAGAGACCACCCATTATACAACTCAGACTATGAAGCCGGTTATGATGTTTTATCTCCAGATTATAACCATTCAGCAAAAAAGACTTTTCGACAAACTGAGCCAGGAGGAAATCATGTCCATACTTTCACAACAAATCCAACAGGCTTGGGTAAAGATTATATGCCACCATTTATGACTGTATTTGCATGGTATAGAGTTTATTGAATGAACTAAATATATTTTATGTCTGTAATTAATTAGGTAATGAAGTAATGGATGAACTGCAGAAATATATTTTATCGTTAATGTTTACGTTAATGGTTTCAGGTTATTCAATAATTAATTATTTTTGAATAACTGAGGGTGTCACTATGTCACCATGTGTCACTCGGTTAATTAACTTCTCTGAAAAAATGAGACAACATGACATTTTGACAACAGTCATGGAAATATATTTTATCGTGAATGTTTACGTTAATGGTTTCAGGTTATTCAATAATTAATTATTTTTGAATAACTGAAGGTGTCACTATGTCACCATGTGTCACTCGGTTAATTAACTTCTCTGAAAAAATGAGACAACATGACATTTTGACAACAACACAGGAGGAAGGCACTTATGAATTATTTTTGAATAACTGAAGGTGTCACTACGTCACCATGTGTCACTCGGTTAATTAACTTCTCTGAAAAAATGAGACAACATGACATTTTGACAACATTTACGAAAATTTGATGCAGTCCAAAAATAAAGTTAGTTTTAAAATTATTTTTATTCCTATATAAATGACAGTAACAAACAACAACAGCAACTATATCATTTCTGATGAACAAGTTATTGATTCATTAGCTGAGGAATTAGTTGTGGCAGAAACTAAAACCCTCAACGAAAGAATTGGTGAAAACAAGATTGATTTACATAACTACCTCAAACATGATGGAGGAAGAGGAATGAAAACTGGTACAGCTTTATTAGTAAATAAAATTTCAAATTTAACGATTATAGATGTTGATATCAATAAATCGTACAATGATGAACTTAAAGAAACAGTTAGAAAAGACATTTTATCAAAACTTTCGGATAAAGATGTTATCGTTAAAACTGCATCAGGAGGTCTTCACATTTATTGCAACACTAATTTCTTCTATTCAACCTCGAACAGAATGATTAAATGTTATTCCTGCAATGATTATGATATTGACATAATGACTTCTATTGATGATTCAAAGCGTTCATTAGTGGTTATGGCTGATTCAAGAGTTCGCAAGAATGCAACAGAACCAATCAATACATACTCATTCATTCGTGGAAGTTATGATTCAACATTAACTAGAACAGTGAATGATATATTAAATGATTTGAATATTAAGGTAAGAGTTGAACAGAAGAACGAAGAAATAAAGACTATCATGAATGAAAACAAAGATGTAAACATTGACGATAAACTTGCCCAGAGCATAGTTGATGGCATCTGTGATTTTGAAGTACATAATGATGGTGGAAACATGAATTTGGAAAAAGAAGTTACATTATTCACACTGTTTCAAGCAATTAATTCGTTACCAGATCATTTAATTAATGAAGCATACGATAACGTTTATAACTTCTGCAGTTTAACTGAAAATGCAAAAAGTAATTTTGAAAAAGCACGTAGTAGATATGCACATTTAATGACTTCTCCATTTGTTTTAGTGAAGATTCTAAAACTATATCAAAAGGAATATTATGATGAATATGTTTTACCTTTATTACGTAAGCCAAAAATAACATTTGATATCAAACTTGATGACTCGTTTTTGATAACAGATATTAGACGTAAAGCTGAAAATCATCAGTATAAAAACAGTTCTGAAGTAATTGAGGATTTATCACGTGTAATCCGTTTTGTAGATTGTGGAAATAAATATTTCATTCAAAAGGACTATAATATCCACGACAAAATGAATTAAATATCATTCGTTCTTCAGTCAAACATGAAAGAGTCACTCAAAATGATTAAATTATTTAAAGAAGAAGGTAAGACCATAACAGCATGGGATGTACTACTAAATCAATTGTCTTCATTAACCGTTAAGGGTGTTTGCTTTAAATCTGATTCCCCAGATGTTTTCTCAACGTTTCAAGGTTATAAATACAACGTTCTCGAAAAGCCTGATTACTCAAAAATTGAGATGTTTATGGATTTCATTAAAGAAGCCATTTGTGATAATAACGATGAAGTGTATAAATATCTACTCGGCTGGATTGCATCAATGATTCAACATCCCGGAATCAAGAATGAAACAGCAATTATTTTGAAAGGACTTCAGGGAACAGGTAAAAACAGATTCACAGACATTATTTCTGAACTTCTCGCTGGTTATTCATGTAAAAACATTACCGAAATAGGTGAGCTAACGGGTAATTTCAATTCAGTAGTTGAGAATAAAATGTTTCTTGTACTTAATGAACTCAAGAATGTAGGTGAAGACAGACTCGCAAACTTCAACGCTTTGAAATCAATTATTACGGATAATGAGATTAGAATTAATGAAAAGAATCAACCCAGAAGAACTGCTCAGAATGTTGCCAATTTCATTTTCGTAACTAACAACGTCTACCCTGTCAAAATTGAAGTTGGAGACAGAAGATACGTAGTTTTAAGAGTAAATGGTAAATTTAAGGGTCAATTTGATTACTTCAAGAATTTAATGGATTCATGCACAAAGGAATTTTATGATAACCTTTTAACATATTTTATCAATTACGACCTTTCATCATTTAATGTACGAATCATACCGATGACTGAAGCCAAACAAGATTTAATAGAATTATCAACAAATCCTTTAGATGTATGGATAAATACACATTATGATGAATTGTGTGCAGGTATGACATGTAAAAATGCGCTATTCTGCAAACCATCAGACATGAAAGACAAGAATTTCCAAATGAGCATTAAGGATAAATGTGATAAGAAACAGGTAAGAATAGATGGTAAACAAACATGGTGTTATGTTTTGAAAGAAGAAATGAAAGGATTATATAAACAGGTTGAACCAAACGATAATGAGGATTCATTTACTGACGATGAAATACCTGTAAATGAGGCAGTATAAAGTATGATTGGAATTTATTTTTGCATTAATCCTCCTGTGTTGTCAAAATGTCATGTTGTCTCATTTTTTCAGAGAAGTTAATTAACCGAGTGACACATGGTGACATAGTGACACCTTCAGTTATTCAAAAATGCTTCATAAATGCCTTCCTCATTAATCCTCCTGTGTTGTCAAAATGTCATGTTGTCTCATTTTTTCAGAGAAGTTAATTAACCGAGTGACACATGGTGACATAGTGACACCTTCAGTTATTCAAAAATGCTTCATAAATGCCTTCCTCATTAATCCTCCTGTGTTGTCAAAATGTCATGTTGTCTCATTTTTTCAGAGAAGTTAATTAACCGAGTGACACATGGTGACATAGTGACACCTTCAGTTATTCAAAAATAATTAATTATTGAATAACCTGAAACCATTAATGAAAACATTATTTTTGGGTCATTTACACTCATTACGATGAAGTCATGACAAATCATTTCCGGGACTGTTGTCAAAATGTCATGTTGTCACAAACTTTAGAACGGCATAATTTAAATTTTTATTTTTATCATAAATGAATATCCCACAAGCTCAAAATTTACCACGAATCATAACAAGGGAGGAAATGATAAAAATGATGCAAGAACATGTTAAAAATAACAAACCACTAAAACTGAGAAAATGTGGTTATGCAGTAATGATGGAAAGAGAGATGTTGTCAAAGAGGAATAAAAATTAAATTTGGATTGAGTTTAAAAATTCATCTTTATTAAATTCATCTCTTCCAATCAATTTATTTATTCTATTAAATTCTTTTATTTTTGCTTCACTCAGTTTAAGGATTGAACGGTAAGTTTCTAATTTTTTGATTATTTCTTCATCGTTTTCAGTTCCATTAGTTTTATGGGCATCAACCCCACCGCATTGCGGCTTCTCTTTGTAATAGCATATTTTTGATTTAATTCTGTTTAGTTTCTTTTTATATTCATCGTCTGGACTCTTGACTGCTTTGTTGTCACTCATTTCTTACGAAATAAAAAAAATTAAATATTATTTAAATATAATGGAGTAATAAAATAAATCGGAATTTCTATTAATTTATTGTCAACTTCAACTAATGCATTGCCGTTAATATATCTAACAAATTCAGCTATTGTGTCAAATCTTCGTCTTCTTTTTGTCATTGATTTATTAGTTTTTCCATAATCGAGATGAATCAAAACTTTATCCCCTTGTTTAAAATTCATGAGCCCCGAATTAATTTGTTCACGTTTAACATCATTTAACTTTTCCATTTGCTTTCTAATATATTCCCATTCTTTTGAAATATCATTTTTCATTTCCACTGGTTTCATGTTTATAGTTCTATGCCATGTATTATTATAATAATATACTAACTGTTGTACGATGGAGTCATGATTTCCATCCCAGTATATCTGACCGTTAACCCCTAACGCATCTCTAAGAGTTCTCATTACTGCATCAACTATTTTATTATGAAACGTATATGGAGAGGATGAAAAGTAAAAATTAATTTGTGGGAAATAATGAGTCATAGCTGCCTGAAATCCTTTATCACCATCACCCCTGATATTATCTACTCTTTCATGATCTAGTAAGTATTGTATAGCTCTTCTTGTTTCCTGTTCTGTTTTCCCTTTCACTGGAATGCAATATAAATATCTAGTGTTAATGTTAATGGCAAATAAATAAGTAACTTTTCCTTTTGAATATTCTAAATGATCAATTTCGTATGAATATGGATATGGTGCAAATGAGGGGCGACTAAATTTTTCCTTTAATGGTTGAATTTTTGGGTCAATTGGTTTATTTAATATCTTGAAATCCTTTTTAAAATCTTTTTGCTTCTTTAATGTTTGAAATGGATATAATAAAGTGAATGATGAAGGATTAACTGAAGGAGGAGGTGGTACTGTCGTTGGAGGTTTTGGTGTTGCAAGTGGTTTAATTTTATCTGCTTTGATTTTGGATTTCATTCCTTCCTTCATTAATTCTGGATGTATTCTATTCATTTGTTTTAAATATGCTGTATATAAAGGTTTGATATACTTTCCCGCTTCGAGTTTATGTTGAAGGATGAATTCCAAAAGTTGATCTTCATTTAAAAGTCGGGCTGAATATGGTTTAACTAATGAATCATAAATTAAAGCTTGTGCATCATTTATGGTCTGAAGGACCTGGGTGTTTTGTTCCTTTTGTTTTTGTGGCTCAGGATTATATAATTTATATAATTCATCAATATCTTCTTCTGTTAATACTTTATTTTTGAAATCTTTCAACTGTTTAAGCTGTGATTTAGTTTTTCCCTTTGAATATTCATTATTTTTAATTTTGTCTTTAATTTTAGAAATTATTTTATCATGATATTTCAAAATTTCATTTTTATAATATGGATAATAATATTCCATATCATCACCCGTTATATTATTATTATATTTTTGGAGATATGATTTTAATTCATAATAACTAAGAAATTTTTGATTAAGTACTAAATCAGCAATTAAATTTTTTAAATCTGTGTTATCCATTTATATAAAAATAAAATCAATGTTTTAAGGGTGCCCACCTCTTTGAATCATAGTATCAAAACCATCATTAACGGTTCCTTTTGTCTCTTCTGTGGTATTTTATTAAATAAATGGCATACAACATCCATTTTCACAACATACAGCCTTAGTGTGTGCTCCTGTTAATACAGTCTTACCAATTGTTAAGCGAGTCATTACCCCGTTTTTAAGTTGTAAATTAATATTCTGACCATCAAATATCACTTTATCATTTATTATATCTAAATAATTTTTAGGTGTTAATTGTTTATTTTGTCGTAAACTAACTCCTTTCATTTTTTGCGCAATCTTTTTAAAATCACTTCCATCAATTGAACCGTTGAATGATGTATAACACTTGGGGCATAAAGCAACCATGTTATCACCTTGTTTCTCAATTGCTAAACCCAATAATTTTTTCTCATGTGCTTTTTCTTCAGCTTTATTCTTTAATTTAGGTTTAAATTTCTCATCAAAACAAAAGAAATCAAATGGTGCGAATTTGAAAATGTTTTTATCATAAAATTGTTTATCGGTAACAATTGCTTGAAATGCTTGAGTGTTAGGAAGATTTGGATCGCCAGCAATAGCCCAATAAGATGAATCAGTATCACCTTCAATGAAATGAAAACGATTAACATCCATGCATTTATACATAAAATCATAAATGAAAACCAAATACCAGTATTTTGCGTTATCTAAAGTAAAGAATGCCTCTTGTAAACATGTTTCACATCTATAAAATCTATCTTTGAGCATCAGTTGATATGTATCTTCACTTATTTCTCTTATGTTTTTAAACTTATTTGACATACATGCAACGCGTGCCTTCTGTGCATTCATTATTTTAGTCTTTGCGTAATTTTGTGTATTCATTGCATCGTAACCATATGATCCATTAAGTGAAATCTTGCAAAATAAACTTTTTCCTTTATTTCCTTCTAATTCAGCCTTTTGTCTTTCGTTCATAAATTTGTTCGCAAATTCATTAAAACAAGTGTTTTTCGTAAATGTTAAAATTGATTGAATATCATCAATGATAAAATGAAATCTGTCTATTAGATACCAAAGATAATAAGAAGAAAATGGTTGATATTGGTTGTGTGTTGATGCTAACTGAGTTAATTTTCTCTGTTTCTGGTCAACCGGTAGATTGTTTGATTTCATGTAATTATACATAAAACTACCAATTGTTTTTTCATCTGTTGAAGAATTTAATGACTATTATGCCAATAATAAAAAATTATTTGAAGAATTGACAACATGTAAATTGAATAAAATGTTTAAAGTTGATGGATTCAAAATTTCAAAAATAAAAGGAGTGGTTAGTTTGAAATCTATTCCTCAATCAAGAATCACCTCATTAATGAAAATAGATGATTTAACAAAAAGAATAGAAGAGATTGAAGAAAGAATGAATCAAATAATTGATTTCATAAATTCAAATAATCATTAGTTTCTAATTTTTTTACCCGTTTATGTGGTTTTTCATTATGACTCCGTTGATTCCATTCAGGATTTAAACAATGTTTAATTAATCGTGGAATAGCTGACATTATCTATATATAACTTCTTTTATAAGTGATGAAATATATTTCATTATGTATGGGTTGAGTGTAAATGTCTTACGATTTGAAAATTTTTTAAATCTTGATTTATTCAAAAACGTAAGAATAAAAACCGTAAGAATCATACATTTTTTACTTCATATGTTAAAAAAAATGATACAAAATCGTTCAATATTGTATGAATTCTTACGTTTACAAAAAAAGTCACACAACCCTTCCACATATACTACTAACTTGTGTATGCTGCCAAAAGGTTATATGGATAAAATTGCAAGCATATCCCTTTTTCATATAGCGATACACTTACTATAAACATAATCAAAATTCATAAATGATATCCAAAACCTTTATGATAAGTGCAATTCGCATGTATAACATGATATTTTTCCTGCTTATAATTTTCAAAGATATTGTATTTGGTAAAAAGTGTTTATATTGCTTTAAAATTTTTTCAATGTCCGGTCAAGACAATTATCCAAATAAATACAGTGAGTTACGAAGTATCTGTAAATACTACATCGACTCATACAATGCGTTGTATCAGCTAAAAACGGAAAATGAAGAAAAATTAAAGTCGATTTACAAAAATATTAAAACAGAGTTGATTGAGTCAAGGAAATATCCACCCCAAATTATAATAAAAGATATTTTAAATATCATTCCGAATAATAATCGCTATACAAAGTCATATTTATTTCTTGCCAAACTCATATCTGATGATTATCATGTGAGAACGGCCAAAAATGTTAAACTTATTTCAAACTTCTTGTTTTATAAAGAATATGGAATTCGATTAAACACGTTTGATGATTTCAGAAATCTTAAGTCACAAAATCTCAATATTCATACAGAAGATACTATTTATAGAGCAATAATGTATAATGACAAAGAAAGATTCATTTCATTCATTGAAACAGAAGGATTTGATAAAAATCAAACACTTAAAAGTGAATTATATCCAAAAACTTACTTCGGTCTATCATTCCTTGAACTATGTTGTTACCACGGAGCAGTTGATTGTTTCAAATTATTAAGAACTAAATTTAACTCAGAAATAACTCAAACATCTCTAAAATTTTCATTTTTAGGAGGAAATCCAGAGATCATGAGTGAATGCTTGAAATATCAGAAACCAGATAGAATTTGCATGGGATATGCAATTATTTCACATAATATTGATTTTGTTACATTCTTGATGAATGAATACAATATAGAAATCGATTTATCATTTTGCGGATGGCATAATAATCTTGAATCATTTTTAGTTTATTTCGATCAAATTAATGATATTAACAACTGTTTTGTTAATTCTATTATATATAATGTATCATTCCTATGCAAATATTTCCTTTCACTCGGTGCAAATATCAATGAAAGAGATTTTCTTCTTCATCATGCAGCATTTCTTAATAATAGAGTAACAGCCGAAATTCTAATTTCTCATGGCATAAGCATCAATGAAAAAGATAATCATGGGGAAACAGCTCTTCATAAGGCAGCAGAAAATAATTGTAAAGAAACAGCCGAGTTTCTTATTTCACTTGGTGCAAATATCAATGAAAAAAATGATAGTAGAGAAACGGCTCTTCATAAGGCAGCAGAAAATAATTGTAAAGAAACAGCTGAACTTCTTATTTCACATGGTGCAAATATCAATAGAAAAGATTTTCTTGAAGATACCTTACTTGAAATTGCAGCATTGAATAATTGTATAGAAACAGCCGAACTTCTTATTTCACTTGGTGCATATATCAATGAAAAAGATGCTCATGGAGATACAGCTCTTCATATGGCAGCATGTAATAATTGTATAGAAACAGCCGAACTTCTTATTTCACATGGTGCAGATATCAATGAAAAAAATGATCATGGAGAAACCGCCCTTCATAATGCAGCAGAATATAATAGTAAAGAAACAGCTGAAATTCTTATTTCACATGGTGCATATATCAATGAAAAAGATAATCATGGAGAAACAGCTCTTCATAAGGCAGTAGAAAATAATTGTAAAGAAATAACAGAACTGTTTATTTCACATGGTGTAAATATCAATGAAAAAGATGAATATGGAGAAACAGCTCTTCATAAGGCAGTAGAAAAAATTGTAAAGAAATAGCAGAACTTCTTATTTCACATGGTGCAAATATCAATGAAATAAATGAATTTGGAATAACAGCTCTTCAAAAGGCAGTAGAAAAAAATGTAAAGAAATTGCAGAACTTCTTATTTCACATGGTGCAAATATCAATGAAATAAATGAATTTGGAATAACAGCTCTTCAAAAGGCAGTAGAAAAAAATGTAAAGAAATTGCAGAACTTCTTATTTCACACGGTGCAAAGACAATTATTCTAGAGTAAACTTTTTATAATAACAATAAAAACAAATAATCATTTATGATATTTTGGTTTTTGATTGGTATCCTGTATTTTTCCTAAAATTCATTTTTAGCATATTACAGCATAACATCTAATTCATTAACGAATACCAGTCATGAATCTGTGTAAAGAAACTGTTTGTATTGGAAATAACGCCGAAAAGATATCAGATTTATTCAAAAAAAATATGTTTTAAAGCTTATCTTATGGTAAGATATTTTAGTTGATGATAGCATATGTCTATTTTTATAAAATTTTAATATGAAGTATCAAATTATTGCCAAAATTTTTGTTTACACGTTAGCGGTTTGAATTTCAATGAAATCTCGGAAAGGCAGCTTTCAGACACTCAGTAAATTTGGCCGCCTTCACTTCGATGACGCAGATACACCTGATATAGGCGATATAGATGAGATTCTTTCCGAGCTAAAATCATTCGATCGCAAATCAAGAGTAAAAAGAAAAAGTTTAAAAGCAGGAATTAGCGAGCGTCTTTTAGCAGGAGAAAAGGCTCAGAGGAGGCCTCGAAAAATCACTAAAACGGTTCCAAAACACACAAAGCAGCCTCCGACAATTCCTCAAGCCACTTTTAAAAACGATTCATCTACTGATGTCCCTGGCGCTGACCAGTACAATCCTGATTATGAAGTGCTATTAAAGCGAGCTCCTTCGCTTAGTATTTCTAATCTGCCAAAAACAGTAAATTACGACCCAGATACCATGACAATGCGTCAAATGGTTGATAGCTGGTCAAATATACGTATTGCTAACTACTTAAATTCAAGAAAAGAAATACAAGAACCAACATACAACGAATTCAAGAAAGAAGATAAAGTTCCTGGAATTATTTCAAGAACTCAACCGACATACGTCAAGAATAGATTCGAAACAGATACTCCTGCCCCTAATCATTACAATATTTCTCGAGATGTCTCGAAATCTTCGATTCTTCCATTTCATGCTCAAGCACCTCGTCCTGATAATGATTCAGGACCTGATAGAACTCATTTTGGCCTTGCTGCTTCAATTGATGCAACAAAACCGAGATCTGTTTCACATTTACTTCCTCCAAACATCTCTCGTGATAAATCTAAAGACATCAAAACGAATATTTGGGAAGAAATCGAAAATGAGCAAAAAATTTTGATGAATCAACTCCAAAAACCGAAAGATACAAAGAATTCCGCACCGAAACCAGTTAAGCCACGCTACGTACCTAAGCCTGATGTCAGTCCTTTCGCTCAATTCATGAGAACTGAAGCACCAGATGTCGAATACGACGTTGAAGGCAATTTGAGAAGCCTTAACAAGAAAATTCCTCCTCGTGAGAACTTCGGAAGAAGATTGGATGACAGCGATCGTGCAATTTACCAAAAATCTGAAGCTCCTGACGTAATTTATCCAAATACAAACGACGCATGGCTTAAAACTATACCGTCATCAGGAAATGCCCCATCATTCGATCAGATGCACGATAGAAAAGAAGCTTACGCTTACATGCCAAAAACATGTGGAGGAGGATACACTTATGTGGAGACAAACTGGAACAGAGGACAGGCTGTTCGTTTCGACCTCATGGGTAAGAGGAAATTGGTGCTTGAAGTTCCCCCTCAATACAAGCAGGGAAGATCATCTTCTCAATGCGCTGCAGTTTTTAACTGAATTGTTTTATTATTTTGTTTGTTTATTATTTAAAATTTTGATATATGAAAGAAATTTTTCTCTAAACCTAAGAATAAATTTGGTATTTTTTTCATAATCGAATTTATTAAAACCTTCCATATGACTTATGATCGCATTTAAAATCATTGGTTATAGTATGATTTTCAATGAAAAAAAAAACAAAATCAATTTTTATTTAACTGAAAGAAAGTAAGGTAACGTAAGTATTTACATTAAACATCGGAGTGTTTACGCATGATTGATCTGAGAAGGTTTGAATCCTTTAATTTATAAAGATATTTTGTAAATTTCTTTTAAAGAATAACAAACGATCAAAATTATCATCTTTCTGATGCTTCATGCAATTTCATATTTAAAAGTTTAAATAATTATTGTAATAATAAAACAATTGAAAATTTTCGATTAATCATTCGTTTTTCTGAGATTTAATAGTGTAGACGTAACAGGAACGCAAATTACTTCGTCATCTCTAAATAAAAGGACACATTCTTGATTTTTTGACGCTGAATCATTCTTATAATCAGTTAAATTGCCTTGAAATGTAGCCTCTTCGCCATTCTTAAGTGTATGATAAATATATCCAACATCAGGTTTCTCAGAATCTCTTACAAATTTTCGAGAAACAGTTCCTTCGCCTTGCATTGACTGAGGAATATGCAAATACTTTACACGCATGTATGTATCTTCGCTTTGGTCAATTCTGAATGGAACTGGTTCTTTATAACTTACTTTTTTAGACATATAATACTAAAAAGTGACAACTACTCACTTCGCTTTCCAAAAATGAAGGAAGACACTGTTCTCAGATATATTTTATTCGGTAAGGTTCATCACATCCATCTTCCACTATGAGGTGATGGTTTTGAATACAAAAAAGGGAATTTTATCAAAATTTTCTCAAGGCATAAAAATGATCAGATTTTACTATATAATCTGTAATGTAGGTGTATGAAGTTGACATTTTAATCCATAACAAACAAATATTTTCTATATTTAAACTGCAAATTAAATTAACAGCAGGAACTTGAATTCGAATGCTCAGAACTAGCAAGAGAGTAGTAATTTGAATCTTCCCTAAGGCCTGCATGGCTATTTTTAACAAGACTTCCAACTTCTTGGAATAATAAATCAACATTTTCTCCTGATTTCGCGGAAGTGAATATACATGACATCTTATTTTTATCAGCCCATCCAAGTAATGGTGTAGGATCGTAATCTGGAACGAGATCTTTTTTATTGCCTGCTAAAACTAAGCAGATGTCTTGTGGCAAAATATCTTTAAAGTTTTCAAACAAAACATTAAGATTTGATACTGCGTCTTTTTGAGAAATGTCTACAACGATGATGCAAGCCTGTGCACTTCGAAGATAAAGTGGAATGAGTGATTGAAATCTTTCTTGCCCAGCTGTATCCCATATATTGAGGCAGATAGGCGAGTTGGCAATCACAACATCCACTTTTACATAGGCTGCTCCAATTGTAGTGGCGGCGCCTTCAGTAAAGACACCGTCTGAGAATCTTTTAACAAGAGAGGTCTTGCCGACACCAGAATCGCCAACTGTTACTACTTTAAATTCTGGTATGTCGGAATCCATTTTTCTCTAAAATTTTCTATCGTTCAATTTTATCCAGGTTCAGAAGATTTTGAGAGCGATCATCGGTTAATAAACATCAAGGTTCTTGAAAATATCATAATTATTAAAAATATTTAAGCCTGTCAAAAACATGCGTTTTATCTTCAGTCCATTCAAAAGTGATAGCCACGAATGGCATTTGGTAGAGTTCGAGTGATTGGGTATATGTCATAAAATCCTTACTTTCCGTAGTCAAGGGGTTCAGTAGTGAGTAAGATCCAACATTTTTTTTCAAAAAGTAGTGATTAACTATTCATTACATGGAATTACGTAGAAAAGTGTGAATCATGGAAGGAAATTCACAGATTTTAAGTTTTTGGATTTAAATAAATTTGAAAATATGAAATTAAGCATCAAATGAAGAAAATTAAGTTGAAAATATGATTTTTGTGTAATTTAAGACAACTTCAAAATTCCAAAATTTTCGTATTTTTATAATTTTAATGAAAAATTCTACAAATTTCATTTTAAATTTTGATTTTTGAAATTTTTTTGGAAAATTTAAGTTCATTTTTTGACCAGAAAAATGGGTTAATTCGTTTAACATATCAATGGAAATTATATTTAGTCCATTTATATTGAAATTAATTTTCTGGACTAATTTATCTATGAAAAAATCAATTTCAGTGATTCACATATATAAAAATAGCTTTGTTTGAGACTATTATTCCTTATTCTTGAAGCATGATTCTTCATTTTTATTCTTGCAAAATGTCTGAGGATTTCAAACTTTTTGAAGTCAGATTTGATGATGAGGGTATTGAGACACCGACATCAAAAGCTGAATTAGGTCAAGAAGACGAGATCAAAAAGGTTCTAATTGGAAAGGAATTACTTTTGAAAAAAAGACATTATACATTAATCACTCGTATGATCGAGGGCATAATTCCAGGCGGAACAAAGAAAGAACAACAAAGCATTTGGTTCCCTTTTTATACTATTTCAGCCTTACAAATTTTAGAATATCCGCAAGGTGAAAAATTCGATGAATTTAAAGCCAAATGTACTAACTTCCTCAAAGACAGAATCCTTGAAGATGGAGGATTCTCAGGATATAAACAAGATTTTACAAATACGATTTCATTATACGGAGTAATAATAGGAATTATGGCAATTAGAACTGAAGAAGCATATAAACTTATCGATAGAAAGAAAATTTACGATTTATTGATTTCTCTTAAGCAGCCAGATGGCTCTTTTCTCGTTTCAATAGATGGAGAAAGCGATATCCGATCTACGGAAGTTGCAATTATAATTTCGAAGTATTTAAACATTCTTGATGACAAAATATCCGAAAAAACAGCAGATTACGTTCTTTCATGCCAAAACTACGATGGAGGGTTCTCTCCAGTACCACATTGCGAGTCTCATGGAGGATACATTTACTGTGGCATTGCATGCCTTGCAATACTAAACAGATTAGAAGATATCAACTTAAGTTCTTGTATACGCTACTTATCTTCAAGACAAAGCGAATTTGCAGGTGGATTCAACGGAAGGACAAACAAACTCGTTGATACATGCTACACATTTTGGATTGGAGCAACAATGAGAATTATTTGCGATCATTTCAAAATCCCTGAGTTCTGGGATAAGAACTCCTTGACACAATACTGTTTATGCGCATGCCAGTTCCTTTTCGGAGGTTTTTGCGATCATCCACCTTCACAAGCTGATCCTTTCCATACTATCTACACTTTGGCTGGAATTGGTGTTGCAGGAGACCGTGAAAAATATGAAATACCAGCTGTTGATCCGTTTTCTGGAGTTCCTCAAGAATTATCTCAAAAATTCCTAAATTACTTCTTGAATCTACAAAACTGATTCATAATAAAGGTTGTTTGTATGCTATCTATTAATTTCAATCACTTATTTCCTTCAATTAGCTAATTCAGAATATATTTTCCAAATTGAAACTCAATTTCAGAGCGAATGAACTGATATATTCTTTTCCTCAACGTCAATATCAATTATATTGTATACAAAATGTCAATCCTTTTCGATTTTTTCATTTTCAAAATTTTTTCTTAGAATCATCTCCCAAATAACTCACATTCTCATTTTAATCAACAAGAATGATAATTGAAACAGGAAGATTGATATATTGCAACAAATAAGATATTATTTCAAATTCATTATCAGAATTATTTTAAAGTATATCAATAGTAGCATCTCAATTTAATTAAGGATACTATTTATCTAATTTTTATTCCTCAGTGAGAATATTAACTTAATCGGAACGGTGGTGCCAGTTCTTTCTCTTTTCAGACTCTACCATATGCATAGCCTGGACTGGGCAGACAGAGTGGCAAAGTGCGCAGCCAATGCACTCATCGTGGTTGACCTTCCACTTGCCGTCAACAAGGTGGATAGCCTCGACAGAGTTATCGCGGCAGGAGAGAGCGCACTTACCGCATTGTAAGCATGTTGCATCATCAATTTCAGCGTGAAGTGTCCAGTTGATATCGAAGGACTCACGTTGGACAACACGCTTGGCACCTAAGCCGCGGAGTTCGGCAAGTGTTGGGATCTTGCGGTCCTGCTTTGTATCCTCTGGGATTGGAACCTGGATTGGGAGTGTCTTCATCTCTGTGTAGTGTGAAAGTTGGCGCGGAGATCTGGGCGGCTCCATGAGTAAAGATAGAACTGGAGGCCGGCGTTGACTTCGCGGACATATCGTATGAGTATCTCTGGATGGCAGAGCACATCTGGAAGACAGATGAACCGGCGTAGAGGTGCTGGAGAGCTGTGTAGCCAGAGCCAATACCACCGATACCGAGGATTGGCATCTCTGGGAACTTGTTGTGGACACGAGAGATCTGGCGGAGGGCGATTGGGCGAACCTGGTCACCGGAAAGACCACCAGAAAGGACGTATTTCTCCTTGCCAACCTGTGGGAGTGGTGTGCCATCTGGCCAGAACTTGGCAATGCCGGAGACTGTGTTGATCATAGCAACACCATCAGCGCCACCTTCGAGAGCTGCCTGAGCAATGTCGATTGGGTCTGTGATGTTTGGTGTGAGCTTGACGAAGAACGGAACTGTTGTTGCCTCCTTGACGTACTGGGAAATACGCTTGACAGAGATTGGGTGTGTGCCGAGAGCCATACCGATCTTGTTCTCTGTGTCGAAGCCACCCTTGCAGCCACCTTCTCCGTGAACTTCGTTAGGGCAGGAAAGGTTGAGTTCGAGGGCATCAGCACCAGCAGCGATGACATTCTTGACAAGGTTCTGCCATCTTTCCTTGGAATCTGATGTAGCGATGGAAGCGACGAGAACGCGGTCTGGGAACTCAGCCTTGAGCTTCTTGATTGTGTCGAGCCAGTACTCCTCTGTGTGCTCTGTCATCATGCAGATGTTGCAGAATGAGCCAGATGGGCCTGGGTTCTCATCAGCCTTGACAATTCTGAAGTCGTTCTCACGGATGACATCCTTTGTTGGAAGGATTGTCTTTGTGACAGCCCAACCCATACCAGCCTTGAAGCAGTTGCGGATGCACTCGTATGTGCCAGAGACTGGAGCGGATGAGATACCAGATGGGTTCTTGAACTTCATGCCGCAGAACTCTGTTTCGAGAGAAACATGGTCGACTTCTGTCTCGAAGCATGGGATCTCGCGCTTCTCGCCGAGGTAGTCAGCGATCATGCGGGCAGCTGTTCTGGCATCGTTGACAGCTTCGACAACTGTGAGTGACTGAGCGAGGTCACCACCGACGAAGAGCATGTCTTGGCCATCGACCTTCTGGACGTTGATCTTGCCTGGGATGAGGTTGGCGTGCTTGCCAATTCTTGCACCGAAAGCAAGGATAACTGTATCGAACTTGCGTGTGATGAATTCGTCTAAGCCGCGGTACTGGCCGTTGTTGTTCTCCTGAAGACGGAATGTAACTGTGCCGTTATCGATGGCTGTTGGCTGAACAAGGGAAAGGAATTCGACGCCTTGTTCAAGAAGCTCGTGTAATTCGGCTGGGTGAGCGCGCATGCCCTTGAAGTCTTTACGGAAGGCAACTGTGACGTTACCACCGAGGCGGGAGGCAGCGGAAGCGCAGTCCATAGCTGTATCACCAGCACCGAGGACGCAGACCTTCTTGCCTGTGAAGTCTGGGAGCTTCTCACCGTTCTTGAGCTTGAGGACGCCGCAGATTTGGCGGAGGAAGTCCTTGGATGTAATAGCGCCTTCGCATGGGAAGTCTGGAACGATTTCTTCTGGACGGCCGAAAGCGAGGAAAACTGCCTGGTAACCTTGCTTCTTGAGGTCTTCAACTGTGAAGTCCTTGCCTAAGCGCTTGCCGAGCTGGAACTCGACGCCTGTATCCTTGGCCATTTGGACTTCCCACTCGACATCTTCTGTTGGAAGACGTGTTGGGATGAGTTCTGACATAAGAAGACCACCAGCGAAGTTGTCAGCTTCGAAGATTGTAACATCAAAGCCGAGACGGCGGAGGAAGACACCGCATGAGATACCAGCTGGGCCAGCACCGACGATGGCGACCTTCTTACCGTTGGATGGTGGGCAGATTGGCTTAATCTTGAGATCACGGAACTTTCGGAGTGCGAAACGTTGAATTGTAGATGTTTTGATTGGTCCTTCGAGTGAGCCATTTAAGTTGCAGCCACCAGCGCATGTTTCTTCAACAGCGCAAAGAGCACCTGTTGAGAGTGGCATTGGGTTTTGGTTAAGAACAACCTTGCCAGCGTAGTACCAGTTCTTGACAGCAGCAGCATGAACGTATTCTCTAACGTCAACGTTAGCTGGGCAGCAGGTATTGCATGGTGGGTTGTAGCAGAAGATGCAGCGTGATGCCTCTTTGACAATATCATCTTCTGTTGGTGATGGCTTTGGTTCAAAACCAAGAATCTTTCCAAACTTTGAGTGGACAAGGCCTTTGCGAGCGCAGCGGGCGTCGCAGGTGGAACGAATAGTAACTTTGCTATCCTCTATATCCATAACTAATATAAAAATGAAGTGAGAAATATCGGCATCGCTTTCAAATATGGAGCCAATTCAATTTTTGTGAAGACTAGCGTTTCATCGTTTTATTTGAATTATTGTTAATAAGATAAAAATATATTGATAAACTTGTATCCATCAAGATTCAAAAAAGTTTTCCGATTAGATTGTTCTCTCTCAAATTTTGAACCAACCGATATTAATAAAAGACTAGATAATGAATAATTGCACATACACGGTTTTAATCTAACATATTATTTCCAAAATAAATGTTGATCGATAAATATTTGAACCCTCTACAATTCTCAATTTGAGATTTCGATTTGAGACAGTTCTCAATTTAATTTTGTTCGAAGATAAAAATGCATGTTAACTATTTTTAAACACAATCTAATTACTTGAATAATTTTGAATACCTTATTTCTTCTTCTCAATTTTTTCCTTTTTCGGAGAAATCATACAATATTTTTTCTCCAAAAATCTTATTCATGGAATGAAGGTCTTTCAATTATATTTCTCCAAATTTTTGAACTTTCATTTTTATGGTTCAGTAAACGGCAATTGTCAAAAATCTTAATAAGGAATCCATAGTCATTGCAGAATTAATTCTTATTGGAACAGCGATCTATTTGACGACATCTAGGTCTTACAATTTACAAAACTAGCATTCTCAACGGCCATTTATTATATTCACTTATTAAATTTAGGGTAAAATTTGCATTTAAGAAAAGAATATTTGTGGAAAACATTAGGACTTATAATTCTCCAGTTTTATTTAGTAAATTCTCTATTTGTTGAACATATCATAAACATTTTATACTTTTAATACACAAACTGTACAGCACCTATTCTGAAATTGGTAAGTAGCTTAAGAATACATGCTTTACGCATATTTAATTTTTTTTTTCAGATATTGTATTCAAAGGAATACTTCAAAATAATATATCCAAATTTTCCTATATCCTACAAAACAAAAATCTGCTCAACAATGAAATGAAATGCATATTTATTAATGTAACATTTTCTTTTTATTCAATAGGTATCATTTGAAAAATTTCGGCTTACATTATCAATATTGTGAAGGGTTTGCGTCAAACTTATAGCCTTAGCGTTTTTTGATATTATGATGAAAGAATTTGACAATTTTGATGGCGATTATGTGGTATAAATCCAATAATATCGTAAATTATTTCCAAGTATTAGCTCATGGAAGGAAAATAATATACATCCACTAAATTGAAATTCAAAAATTCAATTTCATGGATTATTGCGAAAGCCTAGTAAGCATGTCCTGATTCTAAAACCATTTTTGTCTCAAAAAAGTTCGATCAAGAAGATTTTTTCTATCAAAGCTCACTCTGCCATTGTTTTAAACGTTAACAGGGAGGCTATCGACTGATTAAAGATTAAACAATATTATAATGAAGTATTCTTTATTATTTATAGATTGATAGATTTATCGATTTATTTAGTAGTATGGGTTGTCATAGTCTTCTTTGACTTCTGGAAGACCGTATGATGGAGCAGGTGCTGGAGGGATATAAGCGCCTGCTTGTTGTGGTGGTGCACCATATATTGGTTGCTGTTCTGGAGGTGCACCAAAAACAGATTGTTGTGGTGGAGCACCATAAATAGGTTGTTGTGGCGATGGTGCATTGTATGGATTTGGCTGTTGTGGTGGAGCATTGTATGATGGAGGTGGAGTGTAATTTGGTATTTGTGCTTGTTGCTGCTGTGGTTGTTGTTGTGTTGGCTGTGGTGATGGTTGTGGTGCAGGTTGCTGAGTTGGTGGAGGAGGAGAATAGTATGATGCTGGTACTGCGTTAACTTGAACTCTTGTTGATCTATCTTCTTCAACTGTTTCGACTTGACGTCTGTTGTTGTTGTTATTGCTGCTATTGCTATTGTTGTTGTATGATGATGTTGATGTTGATGATGATGATGAACAACAACATTTTGCACCACAACAACAGATGCAGCAAAGTGTGCAAATGATAGAAAGAACAATAATGATAACAATGACAATAATAACAATAATTGCCCATGATGGAAGACCACCACCACCAATACCACTAGCTTTTCCAACTGATTCATATGTATTTATCTTATAAGAAGAAGAAGAGGAAATCGAATAAAAATTGTATTTCGAATCGGATCCATCAATGACAAAATTGTCGTCATTTTTAGTTACACTTAAAGAGAATTCGATCTTGCCATCATAATAACCATCGCTTGCTGTTAATGTCATAATAGGCTCACTTTTTCGCATGTTTGATGTTGTTGTTTCGTAAGATGTTGAACCTTCTGCATCTAAAGAATAATGATAAAGATCATTCGATTTTATTTCAACACGTCCAACTGTCAAAGCAGATACAACACAATATATATTACCTTCATCTGGATCCAATTTGTATTTCACGTTACCAGAAAGTATTGTTACATAAGTGCATGATTCGTTTAAAGTTGAATAGTCGTAAAGATTTAAATTACATGTAAGTGTACGATCTTCCAGTACTCTTAAGGAAAGTCTGCCATCCTCTAAAAATACAACAGCTTTGGCATCAGAACTATTCAAATAAAAAGTATTTGATCCCATAACTACTGAGGCTTCAAGATAATCATAATTTGTGAAAACAATTAATGAATTCTTCTTGAGGTAGAAATTTTTAGTTCCTGCTATGTATAGTGAGTTAATTCCATATACAAGAGTGTCGTAATAATCAGTAATTGATCCTCTAGAATTAGGACCAGAGGAAGAACTTCCAGATGATGAACCAGAGGAAGAACTTCCAGATGATGAACCAGAGGAAGATCCTCCAGATGATGAACCAGAAGAAGAACTTCCTCTTGGTTCTGGAAGTGGCCTAATGTCAATTCCGTTCGAAAAAATAAGCCTTGATTTGCTATTATCATAATATTTATAGTTGTAATCAGAGTTACCAGAAACTGCTGTTATCTGATAGTCTGTGTTAGCTGTTGTGGAACGAGGTTGTGTATATAATAATCCAAAAATCTCCAAGTTATTAATTGGGTCTCTAGCGTAATGAAGGTAGTCATCGGGTGGGCCTCCATTATTTGAATAATAAACATCATTAGGGTCAGAATGCTTGTTAATTTTTATCGAAAAGTAATTAGAATCTAAAATAAGTAAACAATAATTTTGTTTGGAAGAACCAGTAGTTTTTGTAATGCTATATGTTTCTGAAGCTGGTGAAATCCAGAATTCAAGAGAATCGCATGTTTTTTGGAAAAGGCAAATGGCAAATTTAACTTGAGTTAATGAAGGACTAGATATATTATATGTTATAGAATGATATGGGAGCATGTAGACTTTACTAGTTAATCTTTTGCCCTCGATAAATATTTCTGATGGATCTCGTAGGAATACCATATAACGTACGTAATAATCTGTTACGTTATTAAAGTTTAATATTAGACTACAGCCTGAACTTGATAAGCTCATTGAATGGAAGCCTAGTTGTTGTGCAATATAATAATAGGTTATGGCTATTAGAAGACTTAGCATTAAATTTTTTTTTGCAAATTCAAATTCTCAGACATACGATTATTTTTGATTCAAATGCTGTTCGGCATTAAAAGCAAAAATAATCATATATCTGAGAATTACACTTTTCAGACATTTTTGGGTCGCTTCGCGCCCCTGACAAAACGTCGGAAAAGTGTAAATTTTCAGAACTTTTAGCGTTCCGATAAAAAGTCGCAGACCTGTTTTAATGAATACATCTTGCATAACTACAAACAAAAAATTAATTTACCGTTTGTTGCCGATTCGAAATTCAATATTCTAAATTTGAAATTATTTGAACTTCGGATAACAGCCTACATCACCTAGGAAAACACATTCGTTATGAAACAAATTTTGGAATCCATATTTATTTTTGCATTTAATAACGTTATTTTCATAAGTTTGCATATAATTCTCCAAACATTCTTTCATATGTTATATTAATATTTTAACATGATTCAAGGCATCAATTTCAATCTCACATTAATTTCAAAGAATGAAATAAAGGTAACTAAACTCCTTTCGCCGATCCGATTTGCCCCATATTTAAAATATAGCTTGCATATGTAGAAGAAAAGCTAATTTTGAAGTACGCCCGAAATCCACCAACAGGATTTCGAGCTACTAAAAAGATACTTTTAAATGTGATTTTTTTTATAAAAAATTAAATTTATTTTAAGATCAGACTAAAAACTAATTTTATGGAAAATCTATATCGACAAATTTATTACTTATTGGGTATATAGATTTTTTGATTATGGCGATTATGTCTGATATGCTTCCAATAAGCCAAAACACATTTTATACTGATTTCTATAAAAGGTATCTTTATTATAGAAGTGTAAGCTATATCTGTTTGTTTTTTTATTATAACAAATTCAAAATTCTCTTATAAGGACTAGATGAAATCTGTATTATTAAATCATTAGCTAAATGAAGGTTCAAATAGAAAGTAAATATCAATTTATATGATACTGAAACCAAATAGTTCTTTTAATAAAAGATAACACGCTGAAAATTATTGAGTATTTGCAAATCTCAAAAATCTATTGGTGAATTTGGCTCAACTTTTAAAATTATAACATCCATATCAAATCATAAAAGCAGACAAAAATTAAAGCCAAACCTATCGGCCAATTTTTTTTGATATTTTGATTTTTGAGGTATACTTTTAAAAGTGGATTTAAAGCACTTATGAAAAAACATTAACTTCTATCGTTATGATTATTGATTTAGACAATAATAATTTTAATCTTTGATTATCAAACCACTAAAGTCATCTTTTTAACATTTGCTTGGTAGCATTAACTCAAGTCTAAAGTACTATTTTATGTGGCACTCTTAGAATTTTTGTATTCATTGTACACGCTGAAATAGTACCATTAAAGTTATGGCGGACTTTCAAAAAATAGTTTGGTCACCTTTGAATGAAATTGAAATTTCTTATATCATTGCTGTTTGAAAGTCATAAATTTATAAATTCTCCATATGATTCTATTGCACATGCATTTATGTAATGTTTTCTGCATAAAAAATCAAGATATTTTGAAACTCTAGACAAAATTCTAGGTTGAATGAATAATTATATAAAAGTATCATCAATTTATTCTTCTTCAGATAAATTGCATCATAGTGAATTGGAAACTGAAAGTGACAAATTTGTCAATGTTTCTTCTTTTCTCATTTTTAGTTTCTGCGGACAATGAAGCAGATTCTTTTATGAGAAGAAATGAAGGAACTACCAAATTTAGCATCCTAAGTGTCCAACCTTCTCCAGTAAATGGAAACGGTGACCAGATTCAAATTCAAGTTAATAAAAATATTTCTTCACTCGTTTTCTGCAGATTCAACAACAGAGACTTTCGGGGTAAAAAGTTGGAAGATTATTTAATTCAATGCGATTCACCAAAATTAAGAGAAAAAGAAGTCAGACTTTTTGTTTCAGAAGATCGTCTTAAATGGACTGCTCCATACATATTAGTTATAGATCCTCTTCCAGCAAACAAAGATGGCTTTATTATGTTATTAATTGTTTTACTCGTTGTTGTTATTCTACTTATGTCACTCAAATCGATAATGTTCCCCAAGAAGAAAAAGGCTCATAAGAAGAAAAAGAAATTACATAATAAAAATGTAGGAAACCAAGCTGTTCATAGGAACAACTACAAACCTTTACCGGATCAAGTTCTGTAAGTTAATTATCTATTCATTACTATTTTTATTTTTTTTTGTCTTGTAATATTAAAAAAATCTTTTTGATATAATTATATTTGTTTAACATTGACTCTATTACTTAAGGAGAGATGCATTTCTCTCTTTGGCCTTTTTGAATTCCTGAACAAATTTGGAACCTGAATCCATACGAACTGGAGGGAAACTGATAACAATATGCTTATCCTCACCCTTTGGATTTGTAGCATAATCTGTAGCTGACCAGCGAAGGAAGTCTGCGTCATCTTCAATATCCATTCCTGGCATAATGTAATGATTAAGGAGAACTTGTTGTGCTGGATGATCACGCATTAAAAGACGTGTTCTTCCTGTTTTCTTATTCTTTAAAATTCTGATTTTGCCTGCAGCAATTTTTTTAGGTTCAGGATCATTAGAATTAAGAACAGCAACATCGGTGAACATATCTTCTTCTTCCTGATCAAATCCAGCTTTTAGAAATTCGTCAATAGCTTGCTGAATTTTATCTGCAGCAGACATAATTGTTTGTCACTTTTGTGTCCAAATCAATTTGAATCTTCAGTCAAAAATGTGATTCAAATGTGCAAAAAACAACATTAAGACTAATCAAAGATAATCTAACAGCAAGAGAAGTATAAGATGGCTTAATGACATATTCCGAATTAACGTGTTTACCATCACAAATACCCAAAAAGTAAATCAAAAAATCTTAGTATATAGATTTGCTATCATACCAGGAAATCGTCCACCAATTTCCAAGCCAAATATTCTAGTCAAAATGATTTGATCCAAAATTCCATCCGTGTAAACAATATAATTCCTTTCAATTTTTATGAAGAAAACGTAAATATTTTTAAACACGTTATTTTTTTTTCAATTGATTTTTTTTATCACCAACAAATTTCTAAAAAAATGATTTTAAATTATAATCCTCCTCAACTCTATTCAGACACTATTGACCCTAAGATAGGGCTGATTAATGAGAAAACAGACACTGTTGAATCTCTTCCTAGATCAGTTGAATTTTTAGTAATTTTGAATAAATCTCCTTATTATATTTTCAATTATTTCAACAATCTCAGCAAAGATTCAATCGAGAACATCAAGTGGATATCAATTCATAACTGCGAATTGGATGCTTGGCCAACAATTAGTTCGACAAACCTTCCTTTCAAAGAACTTCTTGGAATTGATTTACGCACAAATAAATTTTTCGATTTTAACGCCTTTTCTTCTTTACTCGATGATAAAATCACTCCAAAATTACGCTATTTCAACATATTAGACAATCCTGTATCAGAAAACACCGACAATTGCTTTAACGAAATCTTCAGAGCTCGGAGCGGCTTAATACAAATCAATAAAATCCAAGTTGTACCTAATCATTTCAGAATTTTTCAACAATTAAAGAAAAATGAAAATTTAGCAAAATTACAGGTTAAAGCAGCCATTAGATCAATTCCAGAAGATTACTATGTCATAGATAACACAATTCAAGGAAATTTTTTTTTATCAAAGTTAACTTTTCTTGATCTAAGCGGATGTGGTATATTAGTTTTTCATCTTAAACTTTTCCCTAATTTGAAGTGTCTTATTCTTCGAGACAACGAAGATTTGGAAAAAATCATTTTACCTCGAAATTACAACAGTTTGAAATACCTAGACTTAACAAACTGCTCCAATGCTCTAAAAATCAAAAGTTTTTTACTTAGTAAATTATCAAGAATTTCAATTATTACAAATGAAACAGAAAACACACAAAATACAGATGTTTCTAGTCAACAGAATGATCTACATAGGCATCTTATTGCTGAAACAATTCCAGAAACACCTAAAAATACTGAATTTATTCTAGAAAGACCAAAAAGTCCGAAAAAGCAAAATTCAACCGAGAATATTACAAAACCAATTGCTGTGAGAACTCCAGAACCATACGAATGCTATGATTCGTCAAATCTAGAAAATAATAATTTTTTGCAAGATAATTTATTCAAAGAGATGCTGTCGAGGATATCATTTGTAGTATTCACCAATAAAGAGAATAAAGTCACTGCAATTAACTCAATAATTGAAGAAGGAACATTTGTTAGCGAAAAAGAGTTTCTTAACAAGTCAACAATATATTCCCAGTCTAAAGCGCCGAAGCCGTCATGCGAATTCATCGTTTGCAAGGGAAGTAACCCAAGATTTTTATTAATCAAGAAATACTTGGAACAAAAATGCGGAATGGAGATAGATCCTCAGGCATGGTCCGAATATACAATGAATAATGTAAGTTTCGAGTTAATGGAAGAAAAAAGATTTAAAGGCTACAGATACGCACCATTTAACTTTAACTTACAATTACTATTCATCAGAAAGCTATATCTCGCTAATTTGGGACTCGGAGATAGTGATTTGAAGATGATTTCGGATTCTTGTCCTTTCTTGGAACATCTTGACTTAAACGGAAACCAGATACAAAAAGTGGACTTTAACGGTACCGTTCTTGATAGGTTGACCTATTTGGACCTCGGAAATAACTCATTAGTTGAAGACAAGGCAAATCCGATTACAAATGAACTGAAGCGCCTTAAGTCTCTTAAATTCTTGGTCATTGAAGCGAATTTTACAAAAGATCTCCAAAAATTTTTCCAAGATTTCAGAGGAATCAAGAAAATAAACAACACGTACAATCCTTATCCACTATCTCCACCAGAAATGTACGCTGTGAAGAAACTGGATATGAATCCGAATAATATGACTGATATCAAGAACAGAATCACCAAAGAATCGATGGAAGTGGCTCCATTGAACTCATACCTCACAATACTTAACGACCAATTCACTTTTAAAGACGACATTTTTGGACATTCCAAATCAGCCAAAACTTTGGAAGTTTCCAAGATCACGTCACTTCTAGACTACATTCTTATGTTCTTTGAGAAGGCACAGTTCATCAGATACTTCAGTTCTTCGACGGATTGGTCGAAATATCCGAAATACATCCAAGGCATCACATTCACATTGTTTACGTATATCAATCAGATTTTCTTGTTTTTGAGGAGCATCAGACTTGTTTTTCCACTTGATAATTTTATTGAATTCTTTTGGTACGGATTGATTCCACTTTTCATGATGTGGTTCATGCAGAAGCACATTGCACACGTGAAACTGACGAAATTCAACTCTTTAGGCTGGCATTTGACGTTTTCATTTGCAATTTTACTGATTCTGGTCATAAATGAGTTCACTTATGATTTCATTGTCAAAGGAGTTAAGTTTAGATACCAATATATATGGTGGATCATCTTTGATTTGGCTATAAGCTTAATAACTTTCCTTTTGTCAAGAAAAATCACTGTTATGATGGATACATCCGAAATTCGTAAGTTGTCGAACATAAAAGAACAGATTTGTCTGGCTTTTATCGTTTTGATGCAATTTCCAAGTATGGAATTCATGTTTCGGAACATGAAATGCAGCAATGGATACTACCAAGACTTTCCAAGTGTTGACTGCTCATGGAAACTGATGCCTTCTTATGCAATTATATTTTTATTATTTAATTGCTTCTGTTACTACTGGTTCTTCATCAGTACGATCCAGAATATCCATTCCAATGCCCACAAGAACTTGGAGCTGTCAAATAAAGACAGTTATTGGAAATCAATCTGGCATTACTCCATTGATGAGATTTTTGAGAAACTTTCATTATGTGGAACATACAGTAATGAAAGATACTTGAGATTGAAGGATAATTTTAAGAATTACAATGATTTAATTAATTCTCATTATAATCCTGCTAAAAATCTCTCAGAAGGAAGAAGTTTCGCTTCCAGTTGGTTCATTATCCTCGAATTCACCTACAGATTGTTAGTTTCCATTGATGATTTCTTCGGATTGAAATCAATTTTCACTTTGATTTCAACTATGGTAATTTTCGTGATCTATATACTCATCCCATCAAAGTCGAATTACTACGAAAGGTGGACAGATATCATTTTCACTCTTGGAACACTCTTCATGTCATTTTCCACAATTTTCGGCGATTTCAAGCATCCATCTGCTTCGTCATACACATTGATTGCTGCTGTGGTCGCTTGGATCATTGCTTACGCTGTGATGCTGATCGGACTGATTATTAGCTTCCTCCCAACAAGATTGAAGAATGCTAACAGCTGGGCTACTGATAGATGGTACACAGGTGCCAAACCTTACGAATAATTCCTAATTATTATTTTTTTTTATCAAAGTTTGAGAAATCATTCAAGACTTCTGTTTTGTTTGATACTCACTTGTATATGCTCTTTCCTTCCTTGTTTTGTTACAATGTAAAATTTTGTTTTTATTGCGTTAATTTACATGATAATTAAGAAGATTACTTAAAAACATTATATATAATCCAGGTATCATAGCTATTCATATTAAAATGGAAGCTTAAATGCAATAATTGAATTATTTTATTAAATTATTATTTAGATATTGATGATTTACATTATGGACTAGCTTGTCTTGGAACAATACATTAATGTCATTTGCATCAAGTCTTCTGATTTTGAATATCAATTTGGATCAAAAAAAGATATCCTTTTATTTTCAAAGATGAAGCAGAGAAATTTAATTACAACATGATAAAGATTATATTTATGACAATTTTCCAAAAAATAAAAAAGTCTTGGTCAAGAATGAAATTGATTGGAAAATGATCGTCATGGAGCGACCTTTCTTTCAATGGGTCGTCTTCATTCCCAAGGCAAAGGTATTTCTTCTTCTACATGCCCATACCGCCGTTCAGCCCCACACTGGCTTCAGCTTTCTGCCGAGAACTGCGTTCAAATGATCTGCGATTATGCTAAGAAGGGTGTTCGCCCATCCCAGATTGGCGCTCTCCTCCGTGATCGTAACGGCGTTGGTATGGTCCGTGCTGTCACAGGCGTTAAAGTTCTCCGCATCCTTAAGGCTAATGGTCTTGCACCAGCTCTCCCAGAGGAACTCTACCACCTCATCAAGAAGGCTACAAACGTTCGCAAGCACCTTGAGCACGCTAAGCATGATGTCGATGGCAAGTACCGTCTTATTCTTATCGAGTCTCGCATCCACCGCCTTACTCGCTACTACAAGACACGCCGTGTTCTTGCTCCAAACTGGAAGTACAACGCCCAGACAGCTTCTGCTCTCGTTGCCTAAACAATACATTTCAAATTGATAAAAATTATGACTTGATTATTACTTCAATTCAAAATCAAATACATTTACAAAATTACATCATTCATTCTACTAATTTTGGAATTTTGCCATTGAAGAATTTAGCGTTTTTCTTTGGCATTATCTGATTTTCTAAGTTTTATATATATTACTTTTATTTTAAAGTTAATATTGAGTGACTTCCTGATATAGGTATACTTCCTAATTATATGATGACATTAGATTTTTTGTTGATACTTATTTGTTTTATATTTCATGTTACATATGGAAATATCTGATTTTTGCAGTTCACATAGATATCTAATGTTCAGATATTTTATATATTAATAGTATCAATATTGGGATACATTGAATAGACGTGTTTGATATCAATTTATCCATCCTCTTAAAGATATTTCGCTTTCTAAGCGAATAAAAGTATAACAAACCAAAAATACATGCATTAGTAAGTACAAATATAGTTTTTAGAAATTTGATATAATTAAACTAATTTTTCGTTTGTCTGCTGTAAATCAATTGGAATTCTTCTAGATATGCCAAACATATCAGTTAATCATGAAATAAATGGAGGGACAATGCAAAAACGAACAAAAATAAATTTTAACTATTGACAACTTGACTACCAAGTCTTATTTCGAAATTAATAAATGAATTTTGCATAAATGAGTGATAAGCAAATTAAAAAATTGACGAATTTAAATTAATTTTTTTTTGTTGAATGAATACAGGGCCTTTATTTGATTCCGTGCTTACAGGCCTTGTGGAATCATTTTCTCCAGTCATTGAAGGCTATTTTAGGAAATACGAACCGATTCTTTCCTCACCAACAATGACAGAGACAGAATTCGATCAATTTTTCACTAATTTTTTCAATGCTATTCCTAAGCACATTTCAGGCTATATGAAAGTCATAAAAACAGTAACCGATTTTGCCAAGATAAATCAGAACGATGTACTTGGAAATCTCGCTTCAAAGTTTAAATCCGAAATTAATCGATCCGTCGGCACTCCTTTTTCGTTAATACAAATCTCATCACTTAATTTCCGACTTACAAATATTTATCACTTCCATTTCCTTCGCTTTTTCACTTTATTTATTTTATCTGATATTATTTCGAAAATCTTTCTTGATATTTTAGAATCAAACACACCATCGAAATTACTTCCATTCGGTAAGATTGTTCCTTGCGGATTTCACGTCTGTCAGCCAATTCCAAAATTAAACTCAGTCCAGAAGCTTTTGATCAAAGAATGGGGCATGATATTACATAGTATATCATTACTTAATGGTGATGAAATGGCTCTTTGCTTCACACAATTTGTTGATGACTCAAATATCGAAAATGTTTTTTATTTACTATCATTTGTCAGAGCTCCTCAGGAGCTTATTGACAGCATGTTAATCTCCACCCAACAAGCCAAGCGAAAGAAAGGTTGTACGACAGATATGCTTACATCTTTAAGCGGAATGCTTTCTATCAGTCCGTGCGAGAAGGAAATATTACAAGAATATTTCAACCTTGCCTGGGGCTTCAAAAGTACCGAAGGAATTAAAAACGGCGCGATTGATTTAATTACAGCCTTATTCCAAGTGATTCCAGCTGAAAAGAAGAAGGAACCACAATTCTACAGGGACAGAGTCTACAAACATATCAATAATCCTACAAAAATCGAAAGAACTGCGCGTGCATTTTTAAGATTACTCCGTGGTGACGTACAGAACGTGAATATCATCACTTTCGAACCAGAAGAATACGCAGGATGCAAAGGAGACGTCGTAGAGCCAACAGACGAATTCATTAAAAAATTTTATTTGAAAGCAAATTTCGAAACATGTCCGGAAGTGTTCATCGATATCATTGTTCAACTCGCCGCTATCGATGCTGACAAACTATCCCATATTTTGCTGCCAGATATGATAGAAAAATCCGGAATTTATCATTCTATCGTTCTATCGGCAATTTCGCATATTAATACACAAATATTCAAAGAACGATCAAAAGTGAAGCCAGCCATCATCGATTTTATCAACGATATTGGACATACCGCGATTTTACAAGATTTATCGAATATTGACCATTCCAAGCTCATTACATACGATAACTGTTACATACAATCCCATTACGGATCAACAGACTCCGAAGTTTACAATTTTATTACATCAAATAAATTAAATTTCGAAGCATCGAAAGAATACACGAATAACATCGAGAAAGTTGGTGCAACATTTTCAATGGCCAACTCTGTTGTATCTGCAGCCCCTTATTTATTGTTTAAAGACAATAATGATCCAGAAGTTATAAAAGGTCTGATTTCCCTTTGCGGATCGCCAGATCCTATTGTCCATTACAAAGCCCTTAAAGCAATCAAGCTCATTTATACCTCAAATTACACAGATATCGTAGAAGTTTGCATTAATATCATAAAAGACTCAATTAACCAAGAAATTACAAAGAACGCTATCGACATATTATACGTAATTGTCAACATCCACGAAATCGACTCCGAAACAGCTCTAAAAATCAACATTACGACTTTTATTTTATTACAAAGCAAATTACGCAATGTACGTGCAGTTTGTTTAGCTATTATGCACAAACTTTCATTTATGCACACGGATTCCTTCTTTAACGACTTCATTGCGAGCGACCAATTAATTCAAAATGAAGTTGCCACAAATATAGGTACCTCCATCATTCCTGACTCTCCATCGCATACAACACCAATAGAAGATGCTCCTACATGGCAATCCGTGGCAAGATCTTCTTATTCTACGCTATGGAATTATTATTATTCAGTTTTGATGTCGTTGTTCATCGAAGCTCATCCAGCACTTCTTCCTCTCATCAGAGAACAACTTATGCCTATCAGTAAGGTCGCTTTATCAGACAAAGCCAGCTCAAATCCGATTTTATTTTTATCTGCGATGTTGGACACTTTTGCCAACTTGTATGACCCTCAAACAAACCCTATAATCGAAGAGGCAATCGATTACGCGAAGATGATCATTTCTTCTAAGAATCAAACTCATATTTTACATTTAATACAAACTTTGCCTTATTTGAACTACAGAGTCATTCCATCTATCGTAAGACATCTCATAAACCTTGATTCCCAGTACTATTCCCAGTTAACAAGGGCACTTTCGATGATTATAAAGATGCCGACAGTTTTTCTTAACTGTATTACCTTTATTTTCGAATCTTATGTCGAGTTTCTTTCATTGCTTCAATCGTATTTATTCAAAAACAACTTGAATTCCCAAAGAGACATAAAATGGGACCAAAAGATCCTAGACAACGTGAAAGTAAACGAAGACATCTGTATAGATTACTGTATCATCGTCGCCACGTTCTTTAATAATATCCAAACCCAAATAGATGAAGAACAATGGGCCTTGTCAAACCGCCAATGTATGGTCAAAATATTAATCCAGTGGATAAATATTCCAGGTGATTTTACAAGGCTTCATAACTATTCTATCAATGCTTTGATACCTTTAATTGCGTTTGGAACGATATTTACTGATGGATTTGCCTTCGAACCATCAATGCTCGACAGATTCATCACCGTACAACAGGAAGGATACCCAGTTATTGATTCTTTGTTGATGTTCCACGTCGATATCTTGATGAAAGAGTTTATTTCCCAAGTTTTCTTGAGACCGCACGCTATCGCACAGATCTTTATCACAGCGATCCTGAACTCAATGGAAAACTGCAACGATCCTAAAATTCTCAAAAATCAAATTGGATCAATGATACTTTTCGCACAAGAACTCGCATCTACTGACAATTTCGAGTCAGCCATTGTAGTTCTTTCACAACTAGGTAATCTATTTGTGTCCGAAAAGTCTTCTTTGGTCATTCAAGAAGCGAAATCAATTGATTTCGTATTTTCTGTCTTTGAATTTGCCACCGAACAAATAATATTGTTTGGTATGTCCGTGATGCTTGAAATGATCCATCAAAACATGAACACCAAGCACATGGTCGAGCTAATTCAGCCATGGTTTGCAAAAATCCGCATTTTGCCAACGAATGCAGTTATTTCCAACATTCCTAAGAACTTCAGGTGCTACACTGTTTTGTCGTTCTTCCAGGAACTGTCTGATATAACAATGTTACTCGATGAAGAACAGTCAATTTACATTTCTAATCTTTGGGTTGAAGTGATGAAAGAAACCGATAACTCAAAAGTGACATTGGCGGTTATTTATGCCACGGAAGACATAAAAGTTAAAACGAAGATATTTACTTTGTTATGTGATCCAATGGCGGGAATTGTTGCTAAATTCCTTGCGAAAAGATGTCGCTTTTCTTTCTGGTATTACCAATCAACACAAGATTTAGGAATAAGTGATATAATGTGGGCGATGCCTATATTACAAACATGTTTTACTGAACACTTAGAACAGGCTGCTCCTTATTATTCAACTGTATTACATTTCTGTCTCTTGTATTATGAAGAATGCCAATCATTATGTCAAACATTGTTTATGGTTTTTCCAAACATTGTTTCTGAGATAGAAATGTTGAATATAAGTGGCGGAATGACTGATGAAGCTCTCAGAGAAGTTGCAAGGACATTGTCTTCACAGTTAGGTGAAGATAATAAAGCAGCATTGGATAAATGGTCATTGGAAGCAATAAAATGGGGAACATGTTGTAAATCATTGAAACAAGCAACTCGATCAATAATTATCTTGGATTCAATAGAAGCACCATTGAATCCTTTCTTCCCAACTTTGCTAAATGAAGCAGTCACTTATCAGTTGTCTTGTATTTACGATGATTACACACAGTTCTCTAAATACATGTCAGCTGTTTTCCAGTTATTAAGCCACAACGTTTTAATCCCGCAATTAACTGGTTTCGCTTATGAGTTCGCAATGAGATTTGTGAATTTTGAACCGTTGATCACTTCATCTAACCGTTTTGCATTGACAATTTTCATTGAATGTTTCAGGAATAACCAAGTCGCTGCTCGAGAGAATCCATCATTAATTGTTGATGCTTTTGCTCCTTTCCTTATTGACATTGCTTCGAATCCAGAATCCCAAGAAATGCTTGAGAATTGCATCGATTTAACTGGATCTCCTGAATTAATTTTGTTGAATTCCATTGTAATGAGAGTTAGAATTCCATGTCCAGAAGAATACGATGAAGCTTTGAAGAACGTGAAAACTAATTATCAAGCAAACAGACTATTATTCTTCTTCGGTATGATTGTTGATAAATGTTCTGAAGAATTGATTTCAAGTGTTTTAGGAGCATCAAAAGATTTACTTGACAAATTCAGGGATCAAATAAATGATAACAGATTAATTCCTATTTGTAAAACAGCTTTGAAGAGAATTGTTTTCTCTAAAGAAGCTGCGGAATTCATTTATTTGTTGGCTGAAGTAAATCCAACAATTACTTCCTTGGAATACAACGCAGAAGATGGAAGTCACACAGTTGATGACGTAATAAGTGGTTTGCAAACAATTGCTACTCCGCCTGGAGAAAAATCGCCAATCACAAATTGTAAGGAAATTACAATGATGACTGGAATGATTTCTCAGGACAATCCACCAAAGATTTATCCATTTAATCCACAGGATGAAATGGTCAGAAGACTCAAGAACAAAGACACATTGAAGAGACATTCTTCGTCTGCAAATAGACATTGGTCTTCTGCATTGAATTTGTCATCAAAAGTTGTTGGAACAAAAACAACTGTTTTTACTGCTGCTTTGCAAATGGATAAGATTGAAGTAATGCCTCTTTTGCCTAGAAATATTAGACATCAGATATTAGATCTTCCTTCTGATGATAAGATATCTAAGCAATTTTTAGTTACTCCTTTGGAATTCATGGCAATTACTGAATAATTTTTTATTATTTTTTTCTTTTCTGTTTTTTATTTTTTTCTTTGTTTATTATTAATGGCTTTTTATTTAATTTTAAATTTAACTTAATATATTCTCTTCTTTCTTTTTTATATAAATTTGATTCGATTAGATAGTTATGGATAAACTGCGCTTCATAGTGCAGCAGGTCAAAAAAATTTAAAAACAAATCATTGAAAGAATACATTATAAATTTGTCAGTTTATTGAATATAACATAGGCGAAGGATTAATGAAGGAGGGATTTTGTTGGAAGAAACAATTGGAGGTGATATTTTAAGATAATAACAATAAGTATTTTAAATATAAGTCGTGAAAATCAAAAACGTAGTTCAACAACCCAAAGTTTTTTAATTCTCAAATCATTAGAAATAATTAATGACTTCAATATAAGCTCAAGTTTTTGTCAAATTTATAATGGATGCATGCACATCTAATAAATGAGCTAAAGAAGCATTCAGAAATTCAACTAAAGAAAACTCCCAGAAACAGCTACTTCAACATCTACATTAATTCATTTATACCTAGTAAATGAATTACATAAAAAGAAGAAATAAATATAATTAGTGATTAACGTTTGTAGAATTTATGAAATGTCACAATATTGATATTTTCAGTAGGCATATTAGCAAATGTGACCGTGATATTGATATCTGAAACAAGATTGTGTTCATCTGTCGCCGTAAATCTGAGATTATAATTTCCAACATCGAAATTTTCTGGAATTGAAACATCATATGGAACATGATGATCAGTTTGATTATTAATTTGAATATTTATAGGTTCTTTACCACCAATGTTATTGAGAACATGATTAATTGTAACATTTCCTTCGCCATCTTGATCTGTGACAGATAATATGAATTTCATAATACGAGTTTTGTTGAGATAAACTGGGAATGTTGGCTGCTTAATAATTTCTATCTTTGGAGTATTACGTTTGAATTGAAATTCTCGATATATAACATTTGAGTCTTCTGAATTAGTTTCTGCATGAATTGTCAAATTATAAATATTTGGTTCTTTAAGAGAATCTGGCAATTCATAATTTGCTGTAAAACTATATGTATTATTATTCGCATGATATTTGTTCTCTGATAGGATTAAGGCATCTCCCAAAAAATTAATCATTTGACCTTCTATTTGACAATAGATGGTAAAACTATCTGCTTCGCATCTAACATTTCCAGATAATTTGATATATTTGTCAGCTTTATAATAGTATTCTGTTCGCTCAAGCTCAATTAATAGAATTGTGATTGATTTAATTGGATTTGGTGCATAGCACAATATTGTATTGAAATGCTCATTAACAAATTGCAGGGAATCAACTATCGCTGATGTAGATAATTGACCATTAGCTGAGATAATAACATCATTTGATGGAATGAAACAGGAAATAACTTTAATTGAACAATCATTTTTTGCATAGAATAAATTGTATCCATTATTGTTTGATATAACACAATGTTCAATAGTAACCACAGCACGATTAAAAGCATGAATGATTCCGTTATCATCTTTAAATGTTTTTGAACATTGATTTGAAAGAATGTTGCAGTAATTGATATATGTTAGGCTATAGTAATTATATAAACAGCTATATTCTTTAGCTGTGTTATTAAAGAATGTTGAATATGAATTTGATGCAGTAATCCGAGTTACTCCATAAATAAAATAAACTGAATAATGTGTTGATGCTTCTGAATATGAAATATTTACATTTTCAATTTTAATACCACCCCATCGTTGATATATTGGTCCTGTTTTTCCATCACTTAAAGTAATTGTGGATTCAATTAAGTAATTTTTGTATTCTTGATTGTTTGTTGTGCGAATATATGAGTGTGGATATTCATAATTGTTTGTTGTTGAAATGTAACTACAGATTCGATATTGAACACATTGGCCTTTTTCTTGGTAAATGTTTCCGTTTCGTACATGTACATTATTAGAATCAAATACGCAGAATGATATAAGAAGTTTACTATCATCATTCCCAAAAAATCTAATAATTTGTGAATTAAGGTTTGTAAAGAAAACATGGTTTACGTGATAATTTCCTGATGAATCATGAATTATTGAATTTGATGTATGGTCTGTATAACTATATCCATTGAAAAATCGATTCCAAATGTCGCTCATTGAGCAAATAAATTCATTTTAGAAAAATATTTTTTTGATAAACGATCAGAATTATTCAAATTTTGAGAGACGTTTTAATTAAAATTCCTAATTATCACAAAAAGATCTGCATTTTCTAGTTTTAAATTGTTAGAAAATATCCCTCTCAATTTTTGAGATAAAATGTTAACAAAAAAAAGATCTTTAAAATTATGTTATATTTACTAATCGTTTTCCTAATAAATAGATTTTTCTAGGACTTTTGGAGTAACATACAGGGAAAATTAATTGAATTTTTGTATATTTAAATTTGAAAAAGAAAATGCTCAAAAATAAGTCATGGAAATAAGATATTTGGAAATGAGATTTGACATAAGGAAAGATAGACAAAAAAGATTGCCCCAGCTGCACTGCGCACCGATATATTATGTCAAATTTTTGCTCTCTGGACGATAAAAAAAATACCGCCAAATGGGATCTTTCCTTTCTGCACCAGTACAAAAGAAAGAACGCGCTCCAAGCAAGCCACAGGAGTCGAAATTCTACTTCGCGGATCTCGATCCACTGCCAGATCTTGAAGATCCAGCTGAAGGAGATCCATGCGGACTTTATTTGGAAGGACTTAACTATCATTGGGACGGTCCACGCTTTGAAAAGTTCCTCAAGACAAAGTGCGAAGCTAACTACACATATGCTTCTAAAAAGAAATCGAAATACGCCGGAATTATCAAATTCGATAACAACGAAGACCGTCTTCAGTGCTACAGAAAACTCGTTGCTGCTCGTTTCGGAGAGAAATGCTTATTTGTTGTCCCACTTCACAAAGATCTTCATCTTTCTGTAAATCTTTGCCGCCGTGTACGTGCCCGTGCCACAAATCCAGGACTTGCAACAGCAGATATCCGTGACAGAGTCACAGCATGGCACAGAATGCCTTTAGAAGAACAATACGCCGCCAAATCCGAAAAGTACACAAAACTCATCCAAGGAATTGTTCCAGAAGGATCCTCACCAGTTACAGTTGTTCCTGTTCCTAATACAGTCAACTATCGTAACAAGGTCGAAATGACAGTTGGAGCAGACTTAGAAGGAAACACTGTTGTCGGCTTTAACCTTGGCAGCAAGGACGAGGACGTAATTGCCCCAATTGATAACTGCTTAAATGTTCCAAAAGTTGCTCCTTATCTTGCTCGCAAATTTACAGACTTCGTAACTCACGCAAAATCACCAATTTACGATCGCTCAAGGAACTCAGGCGTTTGGAAGTTTATTACAGTCAGAACTACCGAAGAAGGCAAGACAATGTTAGTTGTTGTTGTATATAAGAGCGAAGAATGCCAAGTTGACCCAGACGACGTTGCCCAACTTACAGAGACATTCCAGGAAGACGTAGATTCTCTTTATCTTTGCGAAACAACGAAATACGAAGGATATGGAAATGATCCTGTCTTTACTTTGCTCAATGGTACAGCCACCATCGAAGAAAAGCTCAGAGGACTCAAGTTCGACATCTCCCCAATGTCATTCTTCCAAACAAACACACCTGGAGCCGAAATTCTCTTCAGCAGAGTTGAATCTCTCGCAGAAGTCGACAAGAGCACAGTTTTGATCGATGTCTGCTGCGGAACAGGAGTTATCGGACTCTCCATGGCCAAGAAAGCTAAGAAAGTCATTGGAATTGACATCGAAAAAGATGCAATTGAAGATGCAAAGAAGAATGCCACTAAAAACAAGATAAAGAACGCAGAATTCATTGCTGCACCTGCACAAGACGTTCTTCCAGGAATATTGGACCAATGCGAGGCAGAAGGATCTCGCGTTGTCGTAATTGTCGATCCACCACGTGATGGATTGCATAAAACAGCTGCAAAAGCAATCAGAGAGTGCAAGTTACTCAAGAGAGTCGTTTACATCTCTTGCAATCCTGAATCTTTGGTCAGAGATTCGAAGAAATTCTTGTTTGCTGAAAATAACAACTTCGCAACACAGCCATTCCAGCCTGTTGAGTGGTTTGGTGTCGATTTGTTCCCACATACAGATAGACTCGAATTAGTTATGCTTATGCAGCGCGAGTAAGAAGTTTTTTATTAATAGATTTTTATTTGATAAAACTCATATTTTAATTTAGATTTTTAATTTTAATTTTAAACTCATATATATGAGAAATCACTCAATTATTAACATATGAAAGAATGTGAACCAAAAATTCTTCCAGAAGAGGTTTCACACTGGATATTGAGTATCAATCAATGTGACATAATATAATTAAGTCGAGAATTAAGCTAATATTATGTCCCGTTGACAAATTGATACTCAATATCCAATATGACAAATTGACTCACCTTCAAATAAAAATATGCATATTATACATTTTATTATATTAACTATCAATAATTAAAAAGATATAAAAATATAAAGTATTCTGACGCATTGAGTAAAATAACATACAACTAATTTTAAAATCAAAATAGTTATCAATTATGGTAATACGAGCCTGACCATTACCTATATATTTAGTTTCAACACCATCTTTCATAGTAGGGGTTGAGAACACAAAACCAGAGTAATGGTAGGGTTTTCCTGGATGAATTGGATTGTTTAAGGTATATTCTTTTGCGATAGCATTACAGTTTTTATAACCTGATATAAAAGAAGATCCGCCAGATCCAGATCCAACGCAACTTAGAACAACATTTCCTGCACCTCCACCATAATAACCACCACCACCTCCGGATCCATATACTTGATAATAAGGATTGGCACCAATTCCAAATGACCCATTCATTATTATATCGTGACCTTTATCATCTGACAAACCGGAAATTCCACCTAAAATATTGGTAGCACTGACGGAATTAGTTAAGTAGTATGGAGATGAACCTATTCTATGTTGTGTGCCTGAGTAGCCAGTTATTGCACCTCCATGTCCACCTTGGATAAATTTATAATAATATGCTGATCCAGCACCACCAGCAGAAACAATGATTCTCGATTTCAATGATTCCGTATCATTCCATTCACCAGAAATGTATCTCATGTCACTGGCTCCACCACCTGATCCTGCAGTGGAATCTCCTAATGGTGAATTTGAGCCTCTTCCTCCACCATTATAGGTTGGAGGGCCATTATTTTTTCCTTGTTGACCTAGGTAAAAATAAAAAACACTTTTCTTCTTCAGAGTAATATATCCTGATGTGTATGCACCATATCCTCCCAATAAAGGTTCAGAATTAGTGTATCCACCAGATGCACCCCATAATTCTATCAAATATATTCCTGGTTGAAATTCAACTTTATATGGAGTACATATATTAGTATTTTGATTGCAAGGATATTTAAGTATTGCAATTGTTTCATTAAATTCGGCAAATTGACTATCCACTGAGAAATCATTCAGTGTGATTGATAAAGTTTTATTTGCTAAAAGCAATGAGCAGTAAATACAAGGAAATTAAAAGGTACAATACACATCAATATATTTTTCATTGATTGCTTCATGTATCACGAGATTCCTCTTGATCAGAATTGTGATTTTATGGAATTACAATGCAAAATAAGTTTATTATGCACAAATTATCTATACTAATAGAGTTGGATGCTAATCATCCTAGAGTCATCCTTATATATAAGCAATAACATGAAATAATTTTAAAAACTCATTAATAAGGCATTGTTATTATTGTAAACTACTATAAACAAAGAACTCGTTAATAAATCATTCTAATTGAGGCTTAGAATACAATTTTGAATTCACAAACGATGATGTTACCATTGAATATCAAAAATGCCTACGCGAGTTATGCTTTATATAAACTTATACAGTACCAATTGAAGTATCTTTTATCTCTTATTTTGATGAATTACGTAATATTAAAATCAATAGTTTTATTTCTTTTTGTGAAATGAACTGAGTATAAAAGCACTTGTTCAAAGTATGAACAGGATGCAATTTTTCTAATATTTAGCTTTGTGCTTTACAATTGGGTGAAATTATAAAAAGATACCAATATCATACATAAAAATTTATATGTTTTGTAATACAGCATGATTTAATCAGTAAAATACGCACTATTATGATGCAAATGCATCTATAACTTCAAATTCTTTCATAAAAATCAAATTTTATCTCAATAATATGAATTAAAACAGGCCAATAATAAAATTACCTCATTAAAATCCAGAATTTAAATGTGGTGTAGTAATGATACCTTGATATTTCATAGGCCAAGAAATATGAAATTTAAAATTAGCCAATAAAGACCAAGTTTATCGAAACATTTTACTTTACACCATGTTAGTACAATATATTTAATAATAATAAGAACTAAATCGTTATTATTCTAGGAGTGCTGAACTTTACAAAAATAAAGTATTGAAATTAAATAACGGAATATAGATGTCTTCTGGTACGAAGCTCGGTGCCGAGAAATCAGAAAATCTTGTTTCGAGGAGGTCTAATGCAAATTTAGGTGCTGATGCACTTCAATCTCGTCGTTCAATGGCAAATATGGCCAACATCTTCGCATCCCACACATCAATGCGTTCCATGAGGTCTATGGCTTCAATGGGACTTCAACCAAATGGTGCTCCACTCGATCAAGCACATCTTACGCCAAAAGAACTTGCAGTTCAGCATACAAGAACATTAACGATTGGAGATCCACAAGCTCCAAAGAATGTCGTCCGCTACAATTTCAGAACACATGCATTCGATGAAATTCATGATCCTAATGCAACAATTATGTCATGCGAAAGAATTAGCCACATTGCTCCAGTATCAGCTCTTCAGAGCGTTATAGAGAGCAAGAAGGGCGGAGCCGGAGAAGAAGAAGAGGAAGACAAGGGCGAGGAGAAGGTCCTTCGTAACCAATTCAACTTCTCAGAGCGTGCAACTCAAGGATACGTTATTGAATACATTGACGAAGGTACATTGACAGAAGCTCCAGTTCCAAAGGATTCTACAGGATCTACCAACCAGCGTGATATCGCAGCTTACTACACAACTCACATGCAACAGCCACCTTTGTATCCAAAGCCACACGACGCCTCCGCAGTCATCCGCGTCATGGAGCGTGTCGTCAACCAGAACATGGATCCAAACGTCTGCTGCGACTTCAAATACTACGATGATCTTCGTGACTCAACAGATCCACAGCACAGCTTCACACTTCCTCTCTGGGAGTTCAAGTCAGACCTTGTATCCGGTTTCCAGGTCACAGCCCTCGAATGGAACCCTTCTGTCCACGATTTGTTCGCTGTTGCTTATTCCTGCTTAGCAACGGACAAGACCCCAGGCAGAGGATATGTCTGCACATGGACACTCAAGAACCACTCAACACCTCGTAATATTCTTGAATTACCTGACCGCGCCACAGCTATTGACTGGTGCAAGACACAGCCATCAATTCTCGCTGTTGGTACAGCTGATGGTAACATTTCTATCTACGATGTTCGCTCTCGTGGTACTCTTCCTATTTTCTCAACACAAAAATTACTCGATCGCCACCAGACAGCAATTACAGTCATCCGCTGGCAGCCACTTGACTCCTCCGGAAACCTCAATCTCGTTTCCGCAGGTCTCGATGGTCGCATTCTCCAGTGGACTCTCATTCAATCAGAAATGAAGGTCACAGAGATCTCAAAGATCAACGCCGGCATTGTATCTCTCGATTACTACAACGAATCATCAACACACTTCGTTGCTGCCGCTGATGACGGCCACATTTACGAAATCCTTAGAACAAGGACAACACAAGCTCCATCCAGCTTCCCAGCACATTCACCACCATGCGCACAGATCTGCTACAACAAGTTCCACAAGGACGTCTTCATTACATGCGGTACAGATTGGCAAATTAAGATTTGGAGGAACGGCCAGAAGAACACACCACTCCAGATCTTCGATTTCGCTCCCAACTCCATCAACGACATCAAGTGGGCTCCTCACAGCTCAACAGTTTTCGCCGCAGTTTCATCCGACGGCGTTCTTTACATTTACGATATCGCAATCAACCGCTTCCAGCCAATCTGCACAACAGACATCCTCGAAATCAACGAGGGCCAGCTCACATCTGTCTCATTCCACCCGAAGTGGCCAGTCATCCTTGTCGGCAGCGAGAAGGGAAGAGTTTTCTCCCTCAAGCTCTCTCCAAACCTCCGCAAGAACACAAAGACTGTCAAGGAGGAACTCGAGCGCAGCAAGATGACAAAGTCTTCTTCGAAGTCACAGTCTTCAAGAGGACTTCTCCCAGATCTCACACAGCCACCGGACGAGGACCAGGAAGAAGGTGGTGCTGCTGCAGGAGAAGAAGACGGAGCTAAGCACGAAGAGCTCGTCAATGATGAAACAGAGAAGTTCATCAATGTTATGGGCGTCTCCTGGATAAAGGAAGAGACTGCTCAACCTGTTCAGGACAAGAAGGCTGAAGAATAAAAAAATAAATCAGTTGACTTTTATTTTAAAAAATTAACAATTTTTTTATTTTAATTTGAACTTGTGAATCTACCAAGATATGCAAAATTTTTGTGGTTCTTATCTAAGTAGTTCACATTAAGGCTGCACTTACGCCCATCTAACTTTAATTCAAATTTTTGACAACTGGGGTGATACGTCATTGAAAATTAACTTCAAACATCTGAATTGAATGTCATGTCATGGGGGGTGTAAGTTCACCCTTAAATAATGTATTCTAATTTTGACTGGAGAGACTCCGCTTCATTTTGCCATTTGTAAAAATATAATTCAAGAATTGAAAAAGCTTTCCATAATGCAAAATCTATAGAGATTATTGACTAATGTCATGCAAATGCTATAATACATAGTTTTATTTTTATTTTTAATTTGTAATAAAGATTTATTTAAAAGATAAAAGCATGAGTTTTTTATTTAAACAAGATTTTCTGTGGCAGCATGGTTATATTCAATTGGAACTTCTTCGTTCGTTTCAATGGCTGTGATATCTGTGTAATTCCTCCTTGACTTCTTGCAACGGATGACAACAGCAGCAATAACGCCTGCAATGATGCAGACAGCCAAAACCGGGACACCGATGAACATTCCAAGTCTAAATGCTTTGTTATTCATGATTCCATTAGTCTTACCCGACTTTGAATTGGCTGTAGATCCCTTTTCTTCACTACCTGTATTTGATGAATCAGATGGTTTTGTTTCTGTTTTCTTTTCATCTCTGTGTTGTTTCTTGTCTTTATTTCCTTTGCGATCTTTACGATCACCTTGAGGTTTTTCATCTTTCTTCTTGTCATCTCTGTCCTTGTGGTCATCATCTTTCTTCTCATCATCTCTTTCCTTGTGGTCATTATCTCTCTTCTTGTCATCTCTTTCCTTGCGATCATTATCTCTCTTCTTGTCATCTCTGTCCTTGCGATCATTATCTCTTTCCTTGTGGTCATTATCTCTTTTCTTGCGATCATTATCTCTCTTCTTATCATCTCTGTCCTTGCGGTCATCATCTTTCTTCTCATTATCTCTTTCCTTGTGGTCATTATCTCTTTCCTTGCGATCATTATCTCTCTTCTTATCATCTCTGTCCTTGCGGTCATCATCTTTCTTCTCATTATCTCTTTCCTTGTGGTCATTATCTCTCTTCTTATCATCTCTGTCCTTGCGATCATTATCTCTTTCCTTGCGATCTTCATCTCTATTCTTGTTGTCTCTGTCATGATGATCTTTTCTGTCATGGTTTTCATCATGGTGATGATCTGGGATTTCCTTTTCAGCAGCAACTTGGCTGAACTTGACTGAACTGTTATCATCAGCAACATGGAAACGGAGATTCATGTGTCCTGGGTGTGGATGTGGACGATCTTTGCGTTCCTTCTTGCCATCAAACTTTCCGATTAAAGCTGGTTTATCTGTTTCATTTCTTGGGAAGTTTGGCTTCTCTGTTTCATTATGTGGTGGATGTGGGAAGTTTGGTCTCTGAGAAACAATGAATAAACCAGAGGCAACATCTGCTGTTGTAAGGCGAGCAACAATTGTTGTGGCATTAAGTGATGTTGTGTCTAAAACTGTCTGGCCATTTTCAAAGTTGTAATCATAAACTTCAATTGAGGCACTGGCAGAAGCATTGATTGCTTTAACTGTGTAATTTGTTTCGAATGGAGATACAAAAGCAACGCAAGCCTTTGTATTATTCTTTAATTCAACATCGTCGAACTTCTTGTTGCCAAATGTGAAATTCTTGTGACCACCAAAAACAAAATCAACAGTATCGCATTGGTTAGCTTCAATACCAAGAACTGTGTACTCAAGAATTGGTCTCTTATGATGGCGGAATGTAAGATTAATTTCTTCAACATTCTTATAAACTGGAGCTGGGATCTTCTTTCCATCTGTTTCAAATGCGAATGGATTATGGATTACGAAATATACATCTTTTTCATCTGTCTTCTTAGGAAGAACAATTGTTGTTGTGTTGATTCCTGTGAAGTTGACTCTTCCTGGGCCAAATGTAACTTCAGTGGCTTCCACTGACTGAACACTTGCAAATAGTGTGAGAAACATTCTAAAATAATGATTGATTTGCCAAGTTATCAAAAAATTGCCCGATTTTTTCATAGCCTAAAAATTTTTCATTTGAATGATTTCAAATAAATTATCGGTATTCAAATTTTTATCATCGAGAAATAAATATATAGAAATACCATAATTAGACAGAATTATAAAAAATTATTTTTGAAAACTTGAGGTTAGACGATTGAAAATAATCTCATATAATTTGTAGATATTATTGAAAACTTACTAGTCTCAGTACGTATGTTCTTGATGCCGAAAAAACCAATTCATATTGAATTTTTTTTCTTTCAAAAAGACTGTTTTACAAGTTAGCCTGAAAACAATTATTGAATATAAATTTATCGAAGAATCACCGCAAGTATTATTACACTGATAATGCAGTACTAAATGAAACTATATTGGGTCACGCTTTAACTATAGCTGAAAAGAATTTTCAATTAAATTAAAATAATCATTCAAAGTCAAAATTATCAATGCACTCTCTTAAATTCACATCCACACTTTCTTTTGTTTAATAATTCAAAATGCTATGAAGGTTTTCAATAAAAAATTATATATCGAAGCTAAAATTTGAGATTTGAAATATATTGAAATGACAAAATCTATTTCATATAGAGATATCAATTTAGAGGTACAATTTAATGGCACCTTTCTCATCATCTGAAAATCTTTATCGAAAATTTCTTTGAACAATACATACTTAAATGGATTAATGTATACATCTAGTGTATTTATATTGAATGAAAGCAAACTAATGTTTGTACAAAAAGAAAATTCAGATTAGACATAATTTCGCTTTTGGGAAGCCATAATTTAGACTGTCAACAATTGAATCAGAAAATATTATCAATGGGTATGCATTGTATCTCCAAACTCTATTCTTAATTGGAATTTTGGTGTATTAATTTTAAAATCACAAATATTTTGGTTATCTTAATGCATAATATATGTGTAACAAAACATACTTTAACTAAATATAGATTGGGCAAATGGTAGGACATTTGATTAGAGAGTATTGACTTGAAACAAAAATAATCCTGATATAAGATCAAAATGGATCAATGATGCATCACAAATAGACTATAAGATCGAATGGATCTAATTTGTTCTATCAATATCCCTTATAAACTCCTTCTTTTTGATGAATCGACAACACATATTTCAAAAAATTTACGATTAATTTCAATTCAAATAATGGAGAGCACAAAATTGAGACCTTAGAAAATTTTAAGTCCAATGACTGAAGAACACTCTGTTTTCTTTATTGCTGATGCAAACTTCTTCATTCAGGGCGGCGCTCAGGTTGACTGCCCCAATGTAATTTATATGACTGAAGAAGCAATGCAAGAAGTCCGCGATGCACGTGCCAAACAAATTTTGCAAAATTTCCAGCTTTCTCACGAAATCATTGTTAGACAACCAACATCCGAATCAGTTACAGCTGTTACACAAGCAGCTACAGACAGTGGAAACGCCGTACTCCTTTCAAAAACAGATATTGGTCTACTTGCTCTTGCTTTCGACTTCATGCCAGAAGAGCAAGAAGAAAAGCCAAAGAAAGAAACACAAGAACCACAGTTTGATGAATGGATTACAGCTGAATCATACGGTAAAATCCAAGATGATGACGATGTCATTCTTTGCACATCTGATGCAACAATGCAATGCGTTGCTCAGATTCTTGGCATTACAGTTGTCTCATCAACTGGTGCTCGTGTCGCTGAAGTTAAGAGATGGTTATTAAGATGTTCCGCTTGCAATACAGAAACATTAGATGCTACAAAAGAATTCTGCCCAGAATGTGGCCAACATACCCTTATCCGTTACGCTCTTGTCATGAGAGATGGCGTTGAGAAAGAATTACCGCTTCCAAGAAGATTTGAGCCAACAGCACGTGGCAAACGCTTCTCAATTCCAAAGCACGTTGGTGGCAGACATGGCAAGAAGGATATTATTCTATCAGAAGACGTTCTTAACGAGGAAAGAAGAAAATTCAGATGGTCGGGTGGAGCTAGAAAGACACCACAGGCTGAAGGAACATTCTTCGAGCCAAGAGCTATGCCACGCCAAGAACCACAGTATGGCTACGGAAATGTGAATCCAAACCAGCCTCGCCACCTTCTTGGAAAGAAGAAGAAGAGCAACAGGAAGTAATTGTAGTTTCTCAATGGTTATTTTTGATATATTATACTATGGAATTTTATTGTCTCGATTTATTTATCAAATAAAGTTATAGAATTTGCTTTAGAATTAATTCCAAACACATTTTTAAAATTAACATATGTTAATCCATAACTCTTTATCTGTGAAAAACCACCATTTGAAAATTTGAAGCTTATTTCATCTGATATGGCATAATTTGGCTATAAATTTCAAATCACTATAGCATATTTCTGCATCAATTTTCTGTAGTATTAGATTAAATAAAGATTTCAAATTACTATCATTTTAAAAATGAACGATTTTGAGAATGATTTAGTATGTTTCAGTTTTATTGTCTAATTACATATTTGTTGCTTTATTCTCAAGACCAGAATCTTCAAAAATCAAATTTCAAAATGGCACCAAAGTCTAAAGTTAACCCAATTGGCCAAATTCTAGAGTTCTTATTGGAAAGAAATAGACCATATAGTGCAACGAACCTGGTTGATGAGATGCATGGCGAATTTACTAAAACTGTAATTCAAAAAGCATTAGATCAACTTGTAGATGAAAACAAAATTACTTGCAAACTCGCTGGAAAGTCATCAAAACTCTATTTTGCTAAGCAGGAAGGCAAACAAGTCGCTTCGAAAGAAGAATTAGTTGTGATGGATCAACATAATGATGAATTATCACATAAACTTCAAGATTTACAAAAGCTAAGAGATGAACTTAGAGCTCGCCGCGATGTTTTATCTTCAACAAGGAAACTTGATGAACTTCGTCAATATCGAGTTGAAATTGAACAACAATGTGGCAAAAAAGCTCAATACCGTGATAAACTTATAGAATCTGCTCAAGGAATTAACCCAGAAGATATCGCAAAAATTACCAAAGATTATAACACAAGGTGCGAACAATGGAAGAAGCGCCGTGCTATGTGTATGGATATTCTTAATACTATATGCGGTCAGGAAGGAATGGATAAAAAACCTGCTGATATTATCGAAGAACAAGGCCTTGAGACTGATGAGCAGTATCATGTTAAGTTAGAGTTTAAGGATAGGAAATATACTATTGTTGATGTATAAATTATTGTTTGTTTCAAAAAATTTTTAAATATTGATTGAAAAATATGGAAAATGAGATCCTCCGTCAATTAAACATCTATTTGGCAACTATAGTTAGAATTGTTTCATTGATTGAACTGCAATATTGAAAAATAAATTTCAAAATAAGCTCTTATCAGCTTATATCGGCGCGCGGCATCGCCGCGCGCCGATAGATGCGCTATATAAAGTACTCACAAAATCTAGATTGAGAGGCGGTCAATGACTTTTGAGGGGAAATTAACGCATGGAATTTAATATTATTTAGGTTGATATTCTTGCTTATTATTTCAGAAAAAAATCTTAAAAATTTCAATATGAAAATTGAAAGCAATTCAAAAAAATTGCTAACATGTAAATTTTAATATCCTATGCATAACTTCATATTTTGAACATTTTTTATTTTTGTTTAAAACTTAAAATTTTGCGAATTTAATATAATTTATAAAATATAATACGTATATATATTTAAAATACACTAAATTTAATTGTTAATTGACGTTTTTGGGAATGAATTTTATCAAAACATGCCTGAATCCGAAAATTTGAAAGAACGAATTACACAATCATATATGTAGAATTCAAAATACAAACTTAAAGATTGTATACGTTTAAAATTATTCAGATTGTGTTTGATTTCCACTCATTCTGTTTCTTTTGAACTCTAACACTAACATTTCATGATGATTACATGATCCATTTATACATGGTTGAATTGTTCCAGATTCTACCAGAAAATCAATCCAAATTTCTCAATGCATTCATGTTGATTGGACACAATTTAAAATTTATCAGCCTGTTTCCAGAGAAACTCATATATTCCCTAATGAAATGTAATTTTTGCTACATTTATTTCAATCAAATTTCAAAAAATTGACTGCAGAGCTTGAAAAGGTGATGAATCATGTTGTTATTAGATGTACATATTAGATTTACTATTTCCAAAAAAATGCTCAAATTTGAATAGTTTTTAGAAAATTTGGAATTACACTCCTTACATTATATATAATTAAATGTTTAAATTTTATTGATTTTTCCCTTTTAATTTTATAACGTGCTCTATCAAAACTAACCTCTCAATTGAAGGCCACAAAATCTAAGTAGTGAGGGTACACAAATTTTGTATGGAGTACGGTTCAATTTTTGAGAGCCTCACTACTTAGATTTTGTGACTACCTTATATATAAGACTAAAAATATTTTTTTCGTCGTCTTTAATTAAATCAAATTAGCTATCTAAATTTCATATTTTCAGTTGCAATTTTTAATCGTTTTTAAACTAATAGCATTTATCAATTTGGGTTATATTATATTGTGGATTGATCCATTTAAATCGACAAAAATTCAATGATCAAATAATTTCGGGCTAGTGAAAAATTGGCGTCACAATGGCGTGGCATGTAAACTATTCAATTTTGAGTGTAAACTACTCAATTTTGAGTACCCCTGGCGTCATAATGGCAAAAATTGAGAAGGGCCGCGTCACATGTAAAGTGTCAAAAAATTTTTTTTTCTTGTACATCTGAGAAATACTGGCTAGTGCCCCTTCTGGTCTTTCATGTGCCGGAAGGAGTGGCTTTTGCCAGTATTGCCGCTCCTTCCGGCATAATCTTTGAATTTAGAAAATATGGTGGCAAGTGCATTCTGGTACCACAGGTGCACTTGCCGCGACCTACAATTGCGAGTGTCTGCTGCTCCGCTCCAGATTTGCAGCAGACACTCGCAATGCGAAACAAAGTTCGCCAGAAAGACTAGAAGGGGGTCCTTTCTCAAGGTCAGGGCCCCTTCGAGTCTTTCATGAGAAGCATTGTCTCTTGTCCAGCGCATCTCAGGCTCCGATTCTCTCTCATAAAAAATATGACAAGTAAATTACTTTGTAAATTATGACGCGGCGGTATTGAATTTTATGGCATGTGACGCCATAAAGTATTCAATATTGAGTACTTTACGTCATCACGCCAATAACACGCGAACCCTTTATAAACCTAAAGTACTCACAAAATCTAGATTGAGAGGCATTCAAACACTTTTGAGTGTATCTTAACGCATAAATATTAAAGATCATTTAATTGATATTACAAATCTATATTTCTCAAAAAAATACGAAAATTTTTACTTTATTAATTCAATGCATTCAATTTTTTTCATAAACCAAAATTTTTCATGTCTTATTAACAAAATAATGAATAGAACATTTTTACAATTTTTTAAAAAATTGATTTTTTCATTTCAAAATGATATTGCTGCAACACACATTGCATGTTAAATCTTAATTCGTTAAAAAATCACAAAATTATGATATTTTTTAAGATTTTTTTTTCATAAAATCATGATTAATTATTTGAATTTAGTATGATCTACTATCTAATAAAAATCAAATGTTAAATATAGATGCAATTTGATACTTTCTATTAAAAAGTGAAAAAGAATTGTAAAAAAGACTGATTTTGATGCTTATTAGCATAATAATAACTATTGCTTAAATTATATGTATTCAACTTTCAGTAAAAACATTGGATTTCTAAAAAAAACTCATGGGCTATAGCCCAGTAAAAAATTCTAAAATCCTTTAAATTTTCACTTACCTAGAGAATTGCTTCAATTCAATCTGCTCATGCTTTAGAAATTCCACTGCCTAAAATGCCATTTAATACAAGATAATGGCTCTGAGAATTAATTGGTATTCATTTTATGAGTTGGAAAAAGTACAAACGCAAACAATTGTGGAGATAGGACTAAAAAAAACACATTTTATTGTATTGCTGAAACAATATTTAATGCTGATTTGATGGATTTGAAGCTAATCGAAGTGTTTAAGCTACATCACAATACTATTTCTAAAATAGAAAAAACATTATTATGTTTAGAAAAATATAAAAAATAAAACAAAAGAAAAAAAAATAGAAAATAAAAACAAAGTTGTTTGATAGCCGGGCTTGCTATTACAAAATAGTATGCGCTTCACTCTTCAAAAGATTGAGGATTTGACAACACAAAATGTTTTTATAACGATATCATAGCACTCATTTCGTGTTTATCTTTCCAGAAACAGTAAATTCAAAACTATTTTGTAATCTTTCTTTCTAGCATTTCTTTGATATGATTTCATCTCATCTGATTTTGTTCTGATCAAAAAAAAAGGGAGAATATATTCAAAAGAAACTATTATGTGTTGACACAGGTAGAACTGAATCAAGAAACGACTGTTGTGAGATAAGAAATAATATGAATTTGAATAAAGATTCATTTGCTTTCAATATTTTGTCTTCGAAATTGCAATTTGACAGGTAAATACTTCATTTTGAGTTTTCATATTACCAGAAATAATTCTGTACGCTTTACACCCCATATCCGCTGCAATCTTTAAGGAATTTCTTGATCCACTGGAACATCTTTCATGAGATTACTTTGAATTATGCTCTTGCGTTCTTCACTAATCGACTCAAAGCAAACCCTTATTCTTCTATAAACAAGATATGCAAGTGTTGATGTATATATCGAAGAATGGAAATGTGGTTTATATGTTGTGACGAACTTTTTCATTTCGGTATATTTCATCAATGTTTGCTTCTGATCGTTGAGATATAACCAATCAGCATATTCTTCGCATGGATTTAATGAAATAAGTGTTATGAAATGATATCCCGTATGAATGATAATGCCGTTTAGATAATATTCGTGTGGAAATCCTTCGAGATATTTTATCTTTTCTATATCTAATGATTGATGCTCTGCATTTACAAATAGAAGCTTTGGCATTCTATCAATCGAATGCAAACCCCTAAAAAACTGAATTGAATAACTCTCTAATTTAGCAGCAAGAAATGGTTCAAACAATTTCCGATGGATTGTAGCGTCTAACATCTCATCAATTTTCATGAACAAGTTGAGTGGATCATTATATTCAGAATTGTCATTAATTAATATAAGAAACTCATCTACAAGATAGGGAGCCTTCATGTCTCGATACATAATATTTTTGAGTTCTTTTAGGATTGTAAAGGCAGCTGTTTTCTTCTCTTTATCAGATAAATTATCAATAAATTTATTAAGTCGTTTAATGAAGCAATGTGAGAATGTCAATATCTGTAAGGCCACATTAATGTGACAGTTGGAATGGTTATTTGATAATCCAAAAAAGATCTTTCTTTCATTTGCAATAATAACATCACTAGAAGATGCATATTGATCTCCTATGTTTGTATTAACTGATGTTGATGATTCAATTTCCATGTTTATTGTGCATATATTTGCACCAGAATTTGAAGGAAATTCGTCTCTTTCTCTTTGTGAAGTTGATCTATATTTTGAGCGCTTTACAAATGAAAGAGCAAGAGTGATTTCTGAAAGTGCAAACTCTACAATAATTCTTCTGCTTTTATTTAATTTATTAAATAAATTGTATTTAAATTTGTAATTTATAGGGTCATATGGAATTTTAGATGCTAATCTTGAACTATTTTTAATTGTAGCAACAACAGACTTTTGCTCATGATCAGAATTTCCACTAAATGTATCTTGACTATCAACATAAATAATATCATAAATACCAGCTTCACACTTAGCTGGAGTTTCGATATCTGAATCAAATGCATTGAAATAGTCATTTTCATTAAGAGATAGAATTTCCTGCGGTCTTTGTGTCTGCTGCATTGCTGCAACTTGCTGCGGTCTTTGTGTCTGCTGCATTGCTATAGCTTGTTGCGGTCTTTGTGTCTGCTGCATTGCTGCAACTTGCTGCGGTCTTTGTGTCTGCTGCATTGCTATAGCTTGCTGCGATATCTGCACCTGCCGCATTGCTTGTGCTTGTTGGTCGAATTCTCTCATCTGCTGCAACAGCATTTCATGGCGTTGCGCCGTTTCAGCTCCTCTTTCCATAAAAGCTTGCAGATGACTGCTACTTATTGGCATTCCATTGATGAATTCCTCGCTGAGGTGTCCATGCTGAATGCAGTGTTCTTTGTGGGGAAATGGTCACGCCAACTTGAGAATTACTTTCCATATTATTGTAAGAATTCCTGACTTCCATGTCGAAATATTGAATAATAGCTAAAATTCCGGTCGAAAAAGTTTTAAAAAATTCTAATTGATAATAAACAGCATTTGTGATTTCTTCCAATTTCAATGCCTGTCTTTGTATTTCTGGTATTACAACACCGAAGTTTTGATTAGTAATCATCATATTATTTATGCCGTAAACCAATCTCGATAACTTTTGATATTTCCAATCAATTGAACCCAACATATCTTGTAAAGTATTTATTAATTTTGCGGAAAAATTATTTATTACCAAACTATATGCGGTATTATAATAGCTATTTGCAGATGCCTGAATCTTATAAAGAATTGGTCTTAAAAAGTGAATATAATTTGAATAATAAATAAGGAACTGACATGTTGATTCAGCAAGGAATTTAAAAGCTTTTGGTACCGTGAAAATCAAAGAATTTTCTAAAGAAGCTCTGAAAAATTGAAGATTTGGCAATAATTGTGATACCAAATTATTATAGTGAGAAATTAGTGATTCTGTGTAGTTTGGAATCTGCTGCTGACATTCCCGCAAATGCAATAATTCAGCAAAGCATTTTTGAAAATAAAAATTAGCAAATTGTGGATCAAATCTTTGATAAGGAAACCGTCCGATTTGGCTTTGAACTACGCCACTGTGTTCACTCTGTTCAATTTCCTGATTCTGATTTTGATCAATTTCCTGATTCTGATTTTGATCAATTTCCTGGTTCTGATTTTGATCAATTTCCTGGTTCTGATTTTGATCAATTTCCTGATTCTGATTTTGATCAATTTCCTGATTCTGATTCTCGTTATTATTTTGGTTTTGATTGGCTTGCTGTTCTCTAATTTGTCGAGCAAGTTCCTCAAGGCCTGGAATTGAGAGTACGTTGTTCTCTATTTCATCAGTAATTGCTGGAAGTCTGTCTCTCCTAAATTTTGATCCTTTAAAAGGATATTCAGAATACATTCTCTTTATTTTAATCTTGCTATTTTCTTTACCTTTTGCAAACAAAATCAGATCTTGTAATTGATCCCAATTTTCGGTGCCAATATCTTTTGCTAATTCTTTTAATGAACTAAAATTGTTTATTTTGAAATTCTTTGCAACATCATTAATTTTCAATTCAGCATCTGGAATACGGGTAATATCCCCTTTAAGTTTTTTACGTTTTGCATTGTATTCATTTAGTTTTTCAGGTGTCAATTTTTCTGCAATCACTTCATTCATTTGGTAAGGTTCATCATCCATTACCGAATTAATAACATCTTGAATTTGATCAGGTGTCATCTTCCTTTTTTTTTTTCTGAGTTTATTAATTGCCTCGCCATTATTATCGTAAACAATTGCGCATCGCATCAAAAATGAATTGATAAGATTGTTAATGAATTGCTGCGAAATACATTCATTCCAAATTTTTGTCAATCTTTGCTGAAGATCTTCGACACTTTTAATTTTATCAATAAAATTCCAAGCATATAAAATTTTTTTACCCTTGCCCAGACCATTTCAATTACATTAAGATCTGGGCTATCAGATGGCCATTTAATTATTACACGCATTTTTGCTCTGATATGTTCAATGTTTGATGAAGTTCTATGTATGGTAGCTCCATCTTGCTGAAATATCGCATCAGAATCAACTCTAGCAATTTCATCAAGCACATCAAGTAAAATCTCTTGATATTCGTAACTATCCTCATGATTTGAGACAAAATAAATGTCACTTTTATAATCAAGACCGATTACACAAAAAAACATCTGACTCTTTGCATATTTTTCAGCTTCCAAAAAATTTTCAAGATCGATTTTAATCCATGTTACAAATCTGTCATTTTGGGAACTTTTCCGGCTTTCATCAGAATATTTGATATGAGGAATTAATTCAGGATGTGTTAACCAAAAGGCAGCAAATTTGACTCTTGCAGCCTTTTGTTCTTTTGATAATTTAGGTATTTTTTGTAATGGAGCAAATTTATAACGATTTTCTTTCAAAATCACACCAATTAAGGTATTGGACATTGTAATATTAAACTGATGTGACAGTATAATCTTTATTTGCTGAGTTGTAAAGAAATCTAAAGAATCTGCTATACTTAATACAATTGCAACATTTTGTTCATTGTTTTTGGGTTTTGGGCCACATTTTTTTGGTGTCCAGAAAGTTTGACTATCTTTGTATTGTTCTAGAACTTTTGTAATGGTGGAATAAGAACAATGACAATGAATTGTTATCTCTCTTTGAGAAAATCCAAGTTTTTCTAAGTAAATAATCTGTTGTGACTTTGTTTTTAATTCATCGATTGCTCGAAACTGAAGTCTGGCAAGGTCTTTAAGTGTTATCAATATCCGCGGTTCATTCATTTTTTTTTGAAAAGAGTATATCTGCGATATACTAATAAAATGGTGATTTTTTGTATAATGGCATAAAAAAATTGTGTAAAAAACGATTATTAAAAATTTATTGAGACAAGCACTGAAAGTTTATCTTTATGCGAGTAATTACGAGTTGAATTCTTAAAACTTAAATATTGCGTACGTTTAAAAATTTCACAAATACTATTGGCTCAATTAACACTAATCTGATGTTCCCTTATAAGACCAAGTAAACTTTGGAATACAACATCCGAAGGGGAATAGCTAAAACACAAAAAAAAAAACAATTAAATCATTAAATATTTGATCAAATTGTTTCATTTTTTGCATTACTTATGATGAAAGTTTTGCAAATCCCTCCAAATTGCGTAAAAACACATGATCACAATAATTGCTTTTATCAATTCCTACAACGAATTCAATCTGATTTACAAAATCTTGGTTGCGGAACTTAAAAAGTTAAATACTTACACTCTTTAGTGATGATGATAATGAATACACTATTTCCAAAAAATCCTCGATTTTTGAATGGATTTGTTAAATTTTAATATTGTGCTCCATGCACTGTTTTTATTATATTGTTAATAAACTATCTAAATTTTATATTCAAAATCCAGACAAACTATTTCAAAAATAACCTCTCAATTAAGGGCCACAAAATCTAAGTAGTGGGCACATTCAAATTTTGTAAGGAGTACGTTTCAATTTTTGAGAGCCTCACTACTTAGATTTTAATCATGCTCAAAATTCGATTTTAAGCAGTTAAATTTATTCCTTATTAGCAATATATATAATAGGGATGCGTTAAACACGCCATTTGACCGGGCGTACATTTTTTTTGTTCGCCCAAAAATTTCGCCATTTGAGAAATTCAAAAATTAAAAATAAAATTTTAATCTTGATTTTTTTATTTTCGTGATTTTTTTGAAACTTACATAAGTGATGAAATACTTTTTTTTAAGTAATCGTTTATTATATATAAATATATCTTAATAAATTTAATTCCTTAAGGTAGAGCGTGTTCAAATTTAAAATCTCATACAATATTTTCTTAATGGCGTATTTTTCTGAGGTCGCCCAAATAAAGGCGAATTCAAAATTGAGAACTCCAAGGCGTATGGCGAGTATTCAAAAAGTACGCCACTTACAAAATATTGAATGTGGATTATCAATTTTTTGGCGTGTTCAATTTCAAATTTTGATATTTATGTTTATTTTATTCAGTATAATGCTAAGAATTAAAATATAAAATTCATAGAATTTTTTCTTTGAAAATATTTTACATTTTTATTAGACCACTCCTAGACTAGTCATCAGGTTATCCTCAGATCATCCTCAGATTACTCCTTATCAGATTACTCATCATCCTCAGACTACTCCTTAGACCCCTCCTCATCAGACTACTCCTCAGATCTTCCTCATAAGACTCCTCCTCAGATCTTCCTCCTGAGACTACTCTTCAGACTACTCCTTAGAGTCCTCCTCATCAGACTAGTCCTGAGACTAGTCCTCAGACTACTCCTGAAACTACTCCTCAGATTATCCTCAAACTACTCTTCAGTCTAATCCTCAGACTCCTCCTCAGATTATCCTCAAACTACTCCTCAGTCTAATCCTCAGACTCCTCCTCAGATTATGCTCAGATTATCCTCAGACTCCTCAGATTATCCTCAGACTACTCCTGAAACTACTCCTCAGATTATCCTCAGACTCCTCCTCAGATTATCCTCAAACTACTCCTCAGTCTAATCCTCAGACTCCTCCTCAGATTATCCTCAAACTACTCCTCAGTCTAATCCTCAGACTCCTCCTCAGATTATGCTCAGATTATCCTCAAACTCCTCAGATTATCCTCAGACTACTCCTCAAACTCCTCAGTCTAATCCTCAGACTCCTCCTCAGATTATCCTCAGACTCCTCCTCAGATTATCCTCAAACTACTCCTCAGTCTAATCCTCAGACTCCTCCTCAGATTATGCTCAGATTATCCTCAAACTCCTCAGATTATCCTCAGACTACTCCTCAAACTCCTCAGTCTAATCCTCAGACTCCTCCTCAGATTATCCTCAAACTACTCCTCGGTCTAATCCTCAGACTCCTCCTCAGATTATGCTCAGATTATCCTCAAACTCCTCAGATTATCCTCAAACTCCTCAGACTACTCCTCAAACTCCTCAGACTACTCCTCAAACTCCTCAGACTACTCCTCAAACTCCTCAGATTATCCTCAAACTCCCCAGACTACTCCTCAAACTCCTCAGATTATCCTCAAACTCCTCAGACTACTCCTCAAACTCCTCAGATTATCCTCAGACAACTCCTGAAACTACTCCTCAGACAACTCCTCAGATTATCCTCAAACTCCTCAGATTATCCTCAAACTCCTCAGATTATCCTCAAACTCCTCAGATTATCCTCAAACTCCTCAGATTATCATCAAACTCCTCAAACTACTCCTCGGTCTAATCCTCAGACTCCTCCTCAGATTATCCTCAAACTACTCCTCGGTCTAATCCTCAGACTCCTCCTCAGATTATGCTCAGATTATCCTCAAACTCCTCAGATTATCCTCAAACTCCTCAGACTACTCCTCAAACTCCTCAGACTACTCCTCAAACTCCTCAGACTACTCCTCAAACTCCTCAGATTATCCTCAAACTCCCCAGACTACTCCTCAAACTCCTCAGATTATCCTCAAACTCCTCAGACTACTCCTCAAACTCCTCAGATTATCCTCAGACAACTCCTGAAACTACTCCTCAGACAACTCCTCAGATTATCCTCAAACTCCTCAGATTATCCTCAAACTCCTCAGATTATCCTCAAACTCCTCAGATTATCCTCAAACTCCTCAGATTATCATCAAACTCCTCAAACTACTCCTCGGTCTAATCCTCAGACTCCTCCTCAGATTATCCTCAGATTATCACTTTACATATATATATCGATAACTAAATAATTACTTATTATACTTTCTTTATTTTTTTTTAATTTTAAAATAATATTAATATATCTTTCTACGTTTAATGATGAAAAGAGAAAGAGGAGTAAAAAGAGAAAAGAGAAAAGAAAGAGAGAGAGAGAAAAAAAAAGAGAAAGAAAGAAAAAAAGGACGGCGATAATTTTGTATTGTTTTGTTATTCGGCCGAATGGCGGGTACTTCGTACCCGCCATTCGGCCCCAAAAATGGCGTATTATTCTATTTTTAAACGGTCATGGCGTAAAACCGTCGCATCCCTAATATATAATAATCTCATAAATCACATCGGAATGCTGGACTGCTTGTCGAAATAACGAACTTATTAAATTATTTTGCGCATGAGGTATGAATGTATGTTCTAGTTACCAGAAGCAAATAAAAATGAATTCCTTGAGAAAATTTCAGATAAAAAATTTATGCTGTTTGTTTTTCTTTCATTAATAAGGGCCGATCCTTTTGGCATCGATCCAAAGTTATCAGAAGACTACCGTCTTGCTGTAAATCAAGCAAATAATAGCTTTACTTGTTTAGATCAATCACTTACAATTCCTCTTTCTGCTTTAAACGACGGCAAGTGCGATTGCCCTGATAATTCTGATGAACCAGGCACATCAGCATGCTTAAATGGTCACTTTTTCTGCCATAATGAAGGAGGAAAAGCAAAATCAATTCCATCCCACAAAGTTGGCGATGGAATTTGTGACTGCTGTGACGGATCCGACGAGTTTGACAACCCACAAGCTCAGTGTCCAAATGTTTGCTCAGCAATGGTAAAGAAAGCAGGAGAATCTCGTGAATCTATTTACACAAAGATTCGGGCAGGCCTTAGACGCAAGAAAGAAAGCTTAAAAGAGACAGAAATTACATATCCACAAGCACAACGTGAATTACTAGAACTTCGTGATGAAATGAAGAAATTCCAACACGAATTAGACGTTCTCGATCGCAAGCGCCGCGAGAAAAAGCAAATCTGGAAATGGGAGAAGCGTGCTGCCCAAGGAATTACACCTGAAATGTATGCAGAAAAAGAAAGAAGAAAACACGATTACATTTACAAACCATCAAAGAAAGTTGAAGTCGAAGAAGAAGTACCAGATCCAGATGGACTCCGAAATCCATTCAATGAAGCCATGGACAACATTGATTGGGAAGTTGACGAAGGAATTGAAGAATTAATTTTCCACGCCACTCCAAGACCAAAACCAATCAAAAGAAACGATGTCAATCGCGATACGGGACATCATGGTTTCGATCGCGAGGACCACAGAATCAGACATCGCACAGAAAAGTGGAAAAAGATGAGAAAAGCCGAAAAAGAAAGACTCCAAAAGACAACAAAAGAACAGATCTCATTTTTGGACAAAGCCAAAGAAAGAGTTAAAGAAATTGGCTCTAAAGTATTTGGCGGAGACCAACCTAAATCATACCAAGAGTACATGGCAGTTGAACACGAGATAGAAGCACTTAGAAACCATGAAAGTGATACTCGCATTCAGATCATGCACTTAGAAGACAAATTCAAGCATTCAATGGGCAAAGACAATGTTTGGTGGCCACTTTCACAGGCAACATTTGAACTCTCTAAAGATGGAAATGACTACAAGATACAAATGTTCGGTGCAATGATGCACAGAAACACAGGAGCTGCTTGGTACGGAACAGCAATTGGTGAGTTCAAGAGATTCAATGCAACAGAGAGAACAATGTTGTATGAAGGAGGAAACATGTGCTGGGAAGGAAATCCAAGAAGAGCTGAAGTGTATTTGTACTGCGGACCAACAAACAAGTTCTTGGACATGGAAGAAATTGATAGATGCGTGTACAGAGGACACTTTGAAACTCCTCTTTGCTGCACAGAGGATTATATTGATTATATAAAGAATATGTCGGATTTGGACCTTGCAGATTTCGTCTCGCAGTGGGGCAACGCTGACTAACCAAAATAAAGGAAAATGTATTATAACAATAAATAATATTTTTGGTGTTTTAAATGGGGTGCAAAAAACTATTATTTACAATTTGAATCTGCATATTTTTTGCGTATTTTTTGTGCTTCAATAGAGATTACACTGACTATGCGATAGAGAGCAAAGTTTTATATTAAATTCTATTTTTCAAGATACACCCCACTAAACTTCCACTGATAGTTTTTGTTTGAATATTATCTCAATCAGATTCCAAAATTCTGTATTTATCTTCAACTTCTTTCACTTTATCTGACGAAGCTTTTGATCTAATAAGTGAAGCAGAAGCTTGTATTCCAAGTTTCATGAAAATTTCTTATGCATTTCCAGTGCATTCTCTCTAACGAGTAAAAGCCTGTAATCACTTCAATTTTTTTTGGAGGAGTGGTCAAAAGTTCATTAAATGACAAGATTGATTAAATGAACAATTGGCTTTGCAAAGTGAATGAGAATTACGATGCTTTGAGTAAAACATTTGAATTATTCATTCAGAAGTCATTAACTTCAAAGGGTAAATGATATTTCATTTATTAATTAGAGACAGTTGTGTTAAAAAAACAATAAAATAAACATGATTTAATGATAATATTTAAACAAAAAAACAATAATATAAATAAAAGTATTTCTATTTGATCGGGTATTTCTTCTTCAGTTGCACAATGAAATTCAACAACTGATTACTCATCCATCCGAATCTTTTTGAGAAATCAGGGTTCATCACGAGCGAAAAATCGAATCCGTGCTTTGCAAACAGCTCCATTGCGACGTAGTTGCAGTTCTCCATGCAGTAGTATACATCTTCTATGTCGTAAAACCCGTTTTTGATCAACATTTCGACACTTTTTGAACTAAAGTTCTGGTAGACGTATTGGAAGACATCCCAGTCTGTGTCTCCATTCTGCATGTCACCTTTTTCGTAATATTTGAGGACTTCGATGAAAATTGTTTCAGAATAAGTTTCAAAGGCCTCATTTACGTCCGGATATATCTTATTCTTGAAATTGAACTTCTTTGAGAAGTCCATAAGCATATTCAAGATGTTTGGATACCTTTCTTCGATGGCAAGATTGACAACTTTCGTATATCTGTGGTAAAGGTTGTCGAAACAGTCCTGAATGGCTAGTAACTGATCTAAGAAGTACTGTATGATAATAACAAAGCCAGATTGTATTGCACACTTTAAATATTTGATGATAATTTTTCCTTTTTCTATTGGTGTCTGCTCAAACTGCTCGATAAACAGCTTAAGGTCTCTGTATCTTAGTGCATAGTATGGCTTGTAGTTGAAATCATATTTATCGTGCAAATAATCGATAAAAATTCTGTCATGGAAAAAGTAGACGCTTTGCATATCTATTTCAGTGACGTAAACGTATTTCTCGAACTCATGGATGATCTCGCTGTTCTTTCCTCTGATTGCATCCGATAAAAACAATTTTGTTTTATCAACTTTTTTCATGATATCATTAACAATAAGGTATTTGAAGATGTTGATGGCTCCTGATCTGGCACATGATATCAGCAATTCAGTTGCATTTACTTTTTTGAAGAATTCATTCGTATCATTGATATAATTAATGAAATTACCAATATCATCATACATGATCATCTTCTTTAGGCACATTTCTTCTGTATCTGGTGGCTGTTGGTAGTTCTTGAGATGTTTGATTAATTCTGAATTTAAATTTTCTTGATCTACTTGAATTACTTTAGTAAACACTTGAAGAATCTGACAATAAAACTTACTGTGTTGTGGGCCGTTGACCAAAGCACTGTTTTCTATCAGATCGAAAAAATTCCTGACATTTATTTTAGATTTCTTGATTCCATCAAGAGCAGCATTAACTATTTCACTTGGGCTTTTGCTTTCTATGTTGAAGAAGGAATCAGTGAGTTCAGCCAGCTCTTTTATATTATTAGGAAGTTCATACATAAATGTCACATTTCTTTTATTTTTTGAGAGAATTTAGGAATACTTTAAATAACTCCTTATGGCGAATTAAAAACATCAAGTTGATGGCGAAAATTTTAAGTGGGTCATTGAAAATTGAGAAAATTTGTCATATAGAACTGGCTTGTTTTGAATCGAACCCGTAACCTTTAGTATATTTTGATAACTAATTGTCAGTAAAGACATCGTATCTGTTTATATCATTTAGATCAAACCCGTAATCAATTATATCTGTTTTTCTATCATAATTAAAGTTTATTTCCAAGATCAATGATTTCTGATTTATTATCTGCAGAAAGTCATGCTATGTGCTCACCAATAATGCAAGCTATCATTGAATTACCGTTGGATTCAATCATTAATACGCTCCAAAACTCAAAATCAATATCAACAAGAGATGCCATTCAACTTGCAGAACATGCTTCTGAAATGTTTGGACCTGAATCAATACGTATATTACCTTACATGCAAGTAAATCCTGAAATTTCTACTTCAGACATAATTGACATTTTGAGCAAGTTTAAAGATGTACCAATTCTTCAAAAACTCTCGAGGAACTTCATAATTGACCTACTTGATCAGGAAAATGCCGTGGAAGATGATGAACCCGAAGAAAATTTCAACATTTTCATGGAAATTGAAACGAACAATTTGAAAAACATACAAAAAATCATTGAAAGTGGAATAGATGTCAATACACGTACAGATGGCGATATTACTCCTTTGATGTATTCTTCTTTGAAAGGACATTTAAATCAAGTCGAATATTTACTTTCGAAGCATGCAGACATTACTCTTAAAGACGATGATGGATATACAGCATTGCACTGGGCTGCAAAAGGCCGCCATTCTGAAATTGTCAGAAAATTATTAGAATCAGGCGCAGATGTCAATTCAACAAATGAGAATGGTTCTACACCACTTCTTGTATCGTGTGGAGAAGGAGATCTTGAATCTGTGAAAGTATTTGTTAATTATCATGCTGATTTAACGAAATCTGACAAGTCAGGCATGTTTCCATTGATTCAATCAATATTAAACAAGCATGATGACATTGCGTTATATCTTATTGATAATGGATCAGATATTAACCAAGTTGGACCAGATAATAACACTCCTCTTCATTATGCTGCTTTAAATGGACTTTCTGATGTTGTACAGAAGTTGATTTCGAGAAATGCAAGCGTAAATGCTTTGAATTCTTTTAATGAAAATCCTTTGATAGCATCTTTGACTTCTCAGAACTTAGATATAGCGAATTTACTTCTTGATGTAGATGCTGATGTAAATATTCAGAGCACAAATGGTTTTACACCTTTGATTCTAGCAACACAGAATAATAATCTTGAAATCGCAGAAAATATCATTAAGAAGGGATTAAAAGATATAGATAGCAAGAATAGCTACGGAGAAACTGCTTTATTTATTGCTGCAAAGAATAATTTTAACAAAATTTTAGATTTATTAATTAAATCCGGTGCAGATATTGATACAACCTCAAAAGATGGAACATCTACCCTTGAAATAGCAATAGATAATAACAATGAAGCTTCAACATTCCTTCTTATTAATGCAGGTGCGAAACAAACATTTTCTGAGGAATAAGTATCATCTAATTCCAAATATACTTGATTTGTATTATAAAAACATATATTTATTCTTAAAAATTCAAAATTTTTGCATCTCGAAAATGCAACGACAGAATTCCTCGTAATTTTGTGTTTTTACGTACCTAATGATACATATTCAAATGACTTGAATATAAAAAAATTACTAAAATTTGAGGAAATTATTGCAAAAGTAAAAGAAAGTTGGCTTTTATATATAAGTTACTTATGAATTACAATAACATCTATAATTAATTCACAGTACCGCATATAATCGTTTAATTTTTCTGATTTCAATTTAAAACGTTTTGATTGGAATGTTCATAACTCATATCTAGACGATAGTTACTACATTTATGCTAATACAGTACGTTCCCATTCATCTGTTTATTTGTTATTGTTGAAATAATAACATTATAATTTTACTATATTAAAAAAGAATTTTGTTGTGGTAATAATATTTTTAACAACAATAATAGCATTATATTAACTCTGAAATGGGGTTTTTAACTTAGGTGTTTTTTTGTGAGTAAAAACGAGATCATTTGATGATTTGACTAATTATACAGTACTTTTATTTTCCAAATTTTTTCAAAATTGATTTTTTCAAAAGAAAAAAAAATTTTTGAATTTTATTTTTGATTTTTTGAATTTTTGTGGGAATTCGGAGTTGAACAATTAAGCAGAATGAGTAATAGGATTGCTTTATATATCTCAAAAAGTGATGAATAAAAGGTGAATCTTAAAAAATTATTTTAAATCACAAATATCATCCTCATTACCATTTATTCTAAAAAGAATAGTACTTAGAATTGATAAAGCATGATCTATATTAGTAAAATACATGAATGAAAAGAGTAAAAGCAAAGTTTTATATATTTTTATTTTAGATATAGACAAAAAAACTGCTTCATATTAATAATCCAGTTTTTTAAGCATTCAATAGACATTCTAATCTTGAATTTTATACAAATGTGATGTTTTTTCGATTTATGTTTAATTTTATTAAAATATCTCAAGATTTATTAAATTATAATTAAAGTTTTATATTTCTTAATTGATTAACAAATACATATTAAGCTTGCTTCACATCTTCTTGCTTGCTTGAATCTTCACTTTTTACCTCTGTCTTTGGAACTTCTTTCTTTTCTTCTTCTTCACTCTTTCCTTTCTTTTCATTCTTTGGATCTTTATCTTTCTTGTCGTCTTTCTTCTTTTCTTCCTTCTTTGGTTCTGGTTTGGGCTTTGGCTTGCAAAGAAGCTTTTGAACTTTCTCTTCTAAGTTTGCAATACGAGATTCAGCAGCATTTGATGTAAGGGGTGGATCAAGATGCTTTGGAGCTGTCTCACAATCAGCCTGTCTCTGTTTGAGCCAATCACCATAAGCATTGAGTTCATCACGTATTGGTTTTCTTTCTTTTTCTGTTATGTGACTGAACTTTTCATCCTTTTGGTCCAATCTTCTGATTGCAGCTTCTTTTCTGTCTTGATATGTAGAGACAATTCTATGAACTCCTGCAAAGAGATCCTTACGTCTAAGAGCAGGCTCACCAAAAGCATGAAGAATTCCAATTTGTTTTTCATATTCAACAAGTGGTAATCTATCGAATTCATTATCAGAAAACCATGCTTGAACTTCATCAACTTTAGCACGATCAGCATCTTTTGTCTTAGGATCGAAATACTCTGGGAAATCACGATCCATTCCATTCATCATTCTGAATATATATGATTCAAGATCATTCTTTGCGAAATCAATCTTTTCTTCAAGAATATCTTTCTTCTCCATATCAATTTCAATCTTCTTTAATTCTTCAATTACTTTATCAGACAATCCAAACGCTGGTGTATACTTTAAAGAAACAGGAACATTCTTCTTAACAGTCTTGAATTTTGGCTCTTCAACTTTCTTAGCATCTTCAGACTTCTTTTCTTCTTCTTTCTTTGAATTGTCTTTCTTTGAATTGTCTTTCTTTGTTTCTGGTTTCTTTTCTTCTTTGATTGGAATCTGTTCAGTAACAACAATGTTTGCATCTTTGACATCAATGACTGAATCAGGAGTCATACGGATTTGTACATTAACTGTATCTGGTTCATCTTTTCCTGTATCAATTTCGATGTTTCCAAGATCACATTCATCAGTGTAAATACGAACTGATGTCTTGCGAGCAACTTTGATTGAAACTTCCTTTGTTGATGGAACTTTATTGAATTGTTTGAAGAGAACAGGATTCTTCTTGTTTCCATCTGCATCTGTGTATTCAATCATTACTGTATGTGGAGCAACATCATTAACATTCAAGTTAACTTTGTATTTTGGTGAAAGAATTGCTGCTTGGAATCCAGCACCCATTGCGAAACATTCATCAGGATTGAGAGATTGTGTTGGATCTCTGCCAAAGATTTCTTTGATGTGTGCTTTGACAGCAGCAACTCTTGATGCTCCACCGTGAACTTCAATTGCAAACAAGTCTTCTTTCTTGACACCAGCGAGTTCAAGAGCTTTGTTGATTGGCTCATCAAGGCGTTTGACGAGATCAACAATTTTGGCTTCGAAATCTTCGCGTTTGAAATCAAATCTTACATCAATATCGTTCATGAGACATTGAACTTCGAATCTGACAACTGGGTTAATGGAAAGAACCTTCTTTGCACGTTCAACAGCGGTGTTGAAACGAAGCATAGCACGAGCATTTGTACGTGGATCGATCTTGTACTTCTTCATGGTCATTTCGAGTAATAATTCTTGTAATGCAGCAGTGAAGTGGGCTCCACCGAAATGTTGATCACAAGCAAATGATTTGATGTCAACTGCACCTTGGTATAACTGAGCAATTGAGACATTTAATGATGAATCACCGAAATCAATGAAAGCAACTGGAACTGCTTTATCCTTTGTAGCAGGAAGTTTTGATCTGTGATACATTGAGTAACAGATAGCTTGAGCTGTTGTTGAGTTGAGCAATTTCATAATCTTAACACAAGAAATCTTAGCAGCATCGAGAATAACACGACGTTGACGTTCACTCCACCATGGTGAGACAACAAGAACAACTTCGTTGCTTGTTGAGCCATTTAACTTAGCAATCTTAAGAACTTCCTTAAACATGAGTGCAAGGAGTTGCTCAATACGAAGAACAATTGGCTTATCACCATATGTGAGTTCAACACCGATATAGCCATCATCTAACTTAACAAGTTTGAGTGGTGTTAATTTTTCTACGATTTCGCGTTCTGGATCATCATATTTTACACCAATGAGACGTTTCAAGTTCGTGATTGTTCCATTTACGTTCTGCATTTGCTGAGTCTTTGCAAACTCTCCAGCGTATCTTCTGTCGTTATCAATTGCGACCATCGTTGGAGTAAGGCGCTGGGACGATTGATTGCAAACAATATCGACACCTCCGTTTTGGGGAAGCGCTATAACACAATTTTGATTTCCGAGATCTACGGCGATGACGGATGCCATAAGTTTAATTAAATTATAAATAGCCGACCAAAATCCGACAGAACACTTTCAATCTATAAATGGCCGGTTACTTGAAAAAAAATTGAACCCCTCAACATCAAGAAATATTGTAATCGTAGCATTTATTACAAATATACAAGAATTTGGAATAGAAATTTAACTTACGATGAGATTTTTTTTGATCGGAATAATTCTGAAGGTACTATCTTACTTAACCGACATAAGAATATCAATATAAATAATGAAAATAACAGTATTTTAAAGTGAAATCCATAAAACACATTTTTGGTAACTGATTTTCCAAGAATATGAAATCATCTACTTTGTTTTCATTAATGTTAGATCCATGAACATCTTTATATTCATGTATTAGAGCATTTTCTTTAAAATAAGATCCATGTTGGCATTAATATGAAATCGGAAATTTATAAAGAGGTAATGAAAGCAGTTTCAAGATAAACTTTATATTGACTCATGAAAAAATCGAACAAAAATTAATTTTCATAGTTAAACAACTGTCAATTATTTAAATAACAAACAAATTCAAGAAATTTGCAAATAAAATATAAATCAGAAGAATTCTTCTTCATCAAAGGGATCCTTAAATTCTTCTTCCTCTTCGTTTTTCTCAGTTTCTTCGGGTTTTTCTTCTATTTTTGGAATTTCTGGTTCTGGCTGTGGAATTTCTTTTGGTTCTTCAACTTTTTCTGGTTCCGGTGGAGGAACTTCTGGAGCTTTTTGAGGTTCCGGCACTGGAACATCAGTAGGCGGAGGAGGAGGCGATGCAGGAATAAAAGTTTGCATCTGATGCTGTCCAAAGCTTGATTCGGTCATAATTGGAGAGTTATTCATAGGAGAATAACCGTAGGCCATGGTAAACTGTTGATTTGCGAAAGAAGGAGAATTCATATTATTATAAAACTCAGGAGCATTGAATTGGAACATCGGAGATGCTGCAAACTGTGGAGAGACGGCCATTTGAGGCTGTGCTTGACCCATCATCGCTGCAAATTGAGGCATAAACATCATATTCTGATTTTGCATGAGACCAGGGTTCATAGCGTACATCTGTGCAGCCTGAAGGTTATTTTGCATCATCTTAGGTGATTGATTAGCTGCAGAATTCATTGTTAATCGATAATGAATGTTATTAACGATTGTAATCATATCTTGATAAGAAGCGCACTTGAGAAGAAGTTTTTCTCCATTGTTGTATTCAATTTCGAGCTTAAATCCGTATGTTTCGTCATAAATTATTGGTTTACAATTTTGTATGTTTTCAAAGCTTATTTGAACGACATTATTTGTAGATCTTTGGATATTAAGACATTTGGAATCAATCGAAATAGATAATTCTTCTCCAATTACTGTTGTAGAATTATCTATGCAATCAAATGAAATTTGTTCATCAACTTGTCGATATTGCATATAGTCTTTCCAAGCTTCTAATGCTCCTATGTAGCCTTTGCAAAATGCAAGAAGATCAAATCTATTTTTCGAAGTTAAACAAATAGAAGAGCCTTTTTGGAAATCTGTAGTTTCAACGATGATGCTATTTGATGATACATTCGCTTCGCCTAAGTTTTCTAATTTTATAGTTGAAAGACCTAGATTTAAAGATATGAAAGGAGAATCATCATGCCTTTTAGATATCATTAACCAATGATCTTTGATCTCTACCCACATGAAAGCTTTATGAGGAGAATTCGGTTCAACAGGAAGATACAAAAACCACCCAGTTCGAATCTTTTGATTATATGACATTAATAAAAATGATATTTCATTAGTACCATTTGATTTTACTCCAATATTACAATCATGTTGTTGGTTAAGATTTCATTTTTCCATTAAGTTTTTATATGAATCTTCAAGATATTTTCTCAAAGATGAAGCAGAAAGCATTAGAAAAGCAAATAAAAGAATCAACAGAACTCCCAAACGAGGAAGAACTTAAAAAGGTAAGGAAAAATCTCAAAAATTATTCACGAAAAATTGCAAAAGAAGAAATAGTCGATGAAACTGCAGGCCAGTTAGTTCCATTTGAGGAACCAGAAGCTCCTGATACAAATGATTTTGAATCTAATCAAGATGAAGAATACGCTTTATGGGTAGACAGAGAAGTGGAGAGGATTCGCAAAGAGAAAAACAATGATGCATGGACTCAATACGAAATTGCCAAAACTAATCAACGAAAACACATGTCAAGCGAACAATTAATTGAAATTCATCAACAAAATCCAAAAGAGAAAGGACATATGAAATTTTATCAGAAATATTATCACAAAGGTGCATTCTCAATTGATGAAAGTGAAAAAGCAGAAGAATTACTCAATCGTGATTATCTAACACCAACAGGTGACGATTTACTTGATAAAACTGCTTTGCCAAAGGAGATGATGGTTCGAGGTGATGATTATAATAAACGAGGCAAAAGTAAGTGGACTCATTTGTCAAACGAAGATACAACAACAGTTGATTATCGAAGAATGCAGGCATTGCTATCCGGTGAACGCCCAAGAAAGAAGGATAAAGAACAACATGATCAACAAAATTAATCTTTTAATTTTATTCAAATTTTTAGCCAACTAGCTTTGAAACATTACACGTTCTTTCAAACGCCAAATATATCATACAATAGTCCGAAAAAAATTAAGATTTTGCAAAATATTTTTTCTAATCATGAAAGAAACAATATATTATATATTAAATTTGTTTGTTATTGCTAAATATATTAATGAATTTTTAACAAAATATGAACGATCTTTTTATTTCGAAATTTTCAAAAGTATATTTCAATAATTTAGTTGAAAACATAATTCTATGAATGAAAAGAGTTTGTTTATTCATTATAAAAGAATAATTGGTATAAAAGTATTAAATGATATGATTGAACTATATACTATATACAGACAACTTGGGTTAGATATCCTTAGATAAATACCGAAGATATCCAATTCGCGCATTGATCCAGAAACTAAATTATAATTATCTTTTAAGAAATTCACTCTGATTCTATTATAAAAGTGTTGCTGTTGATACTCGAATAAAATGAGCTCATTTTGATGATCAAGATTCTTATATGAAACAATTTTTTCATATTTTTTTCCATTGTTTGATCCAAGAACCTCAAAATCTGTAACAAATGGATGGTCTATGAATTCCATTACTAATCCTGAGTAATTGAAAACTCCTTTGAATATGAATTCAATATAAGGATCAGAATAGGTTGTATAATAAAATGAGGATGAATTTCCATCAAATGCATTCTCAACTCTTCTCTCAGGGTCATTGTTATTATCAGCTCCAGGAGTTCCTTCAAAACGGAAGTAATTATTAGAGTATAAGGATTTTGACTTGAGAACAGTCCTTAGAAATCCACCCTCATTTAATGATGGATAAGTTTTTATCGATTCTAAGACAGAGATTCCGCCTGAAGTAATCAGTTAAATTTGTCACTTTTTTAAAAAATTAAAATGACAGAAAATCCTCCATTTCATCCAGTTCTAATAGTTTATCATCACAAACCATTCGAAAAAGGCAAAGAATTGGAAGAAGAAGCACATAAGAACAGTGAAAATATATTATTCATTTATCCACAAAAATCAGATCCAGAAATAACGGAACAATTACTTTCTGTTTTCATATCATTAGATACATACTCTAATTTATCATTAAATAGCAATCATATCGACTTTTTATCGCTTCATGAACAAAAAATTGCAATTGAATATTATGCAAGGCCTGACAACTCATATACAGTATTTATATTATGCCTATCATCAAGTTACGAAGATATCGCAGTTAAAAATGCTACAAAGCAACTTATGCGTGGAGTATTTTTCATTTTAGGACCAGAAGGCATTTGCAACTCTCAATTGATATCTAATGTATTTGTTGCCGAAGGTGAGAGAATGATTAACCTTGTTATTCCAAAAGATGGAAATTCGATGAACATTAGTTTTCCTTCTCTTCATACAGCAGAAAAGCATCCATCAATGCTTCCAACAGGATTAACAGAACTATACATGATGAATACAGATCCTAGAATTTGGGGAATCTCATGCTTTGTTGATGAGCAGTTATTAATCTCAATGTCTCCTCCATCCATCGTCAAATTATTCCAATTTTCATCACCGATATCTCCACAAGATAAAGTTTATCTTACAAAAGCAGACAGAGAAATAATTTTAAACGAACAAAATTTCAAAGGAAACATACCAGAAAATGACGTGATCGTTGCAAACCTTATGCGATTCGATAAACGATCAGTTACATTTTTTGTTCTGGCATCTGAAATTTCAGAAGATTTGTTACTTAAAGTATCTGATACAATAAACAACAAAACGATACCACACATTACTAGTATGCAGCCTAAGCGCTCCAATTATCCAAATAGTTTGCTTATGTACGATAGAGATATGATGGTTGTCCATTCTGGTCAACTTTCAGCAGATTCGGAACAATCGGCCGCATTTTTGCACTCAATGTTCATTGATGAAAAGCGTCCTGCAATCGATGGCCTTGTTGGAAACTTTGACGAAATTGTTATCGGTTTTAATACACATGGTCTTGAAAACTATACTACGATTCCCAATGATAACGAATGTACTTTCGAAGAACTGTACTCTACAGCTATTCACCAGTCTCCTCAGTTATCCAGATATCTCTCTAATATCAAACAATAGATTCTTTTTAAATCTTGAACATTTTTGTATGTTTTTATAAAAGTAAACTTTATTTGTTTGTAAACTTATCATTTTAACGTTGCACAATTTTCCTTGTTTCAAAATTTTTACGGTTTTCTTCACAATTGAAAATTTTCTTTCAAAAAGCAAAATCTTTACATTATTTTATCAACCTTTTAAGTAAATATAGGCTTTAGAATGTTAGGATTTTTAATTGATCGCAAATTTGAATAGTTTAATTTTGAAATAATTTTATTTTTTTATTGCTAACGAACAATTTGATATTATTGGCTTTTTACTGTGAGTTTTGTAAAGTTAACAATAAAAAATTTATTTTTATAGAATGAATTTAGTGACTGAATGAGCGACATTTGGAATAGATTTTTCAATGGATACAGTTATAATAATCATACATCAAATACACAAGTTCCTGCTTCATCAGGAAATTATCATATTCATCACGTTTACTTTACAAACCTTAATTCACGAATTGTTTATTTTTCTGGGAGTAATGAAAGCAAACTTCTTATATCATTTTGCGTTTTTGATTCTAATTCTGGCAATAACAAAGGCGTTAATATTTACCAAGTAGAAGGCCAATGTGTTCAATATCGAATTTGTAGTTACAGCTCAACAACAAATAATAATTATCCACACTCATATATTAACGTAACAAATAATCAGGAATACAAAAATTACTTAATTGAATCAACAATTACTTTAAGTAAGGGAAATTCAGGCCCAATATATCAACAATTTGGTGATATTAAAATTCATAATGTGAATATTTCAAATTCAGAATCGTTCCAACATGATTCAGTTTACTATTTATATGCATCTCAGTTAACTGCATCAATTTCATATTCGACATTCTTTAATAACACAGCCAAATATTATAGAAGCTTATGCCATCAATATGGCAATATTAATATCAATTATAGTAATATACTTTCAAATCAATGCCGACAAGTTTATTATACTGATAACGGAATTATTTATGCATCTAGTAATTCTATAGTTACTGTTGAACAATGTATTTTATCAAACAATAAAGGCTACTATTTATTCTGTACAAAAAATGCTGGTAAACAAATGATTATTAAATTCTGTTACTTTCCATCAAATGAAATCATTGAAACAGCTTATGGCCCAGTAACTACATCAACTAATAACTCACTTCAAATTAATAATGAACATTTCAATACAGCAATGTGTTATGCACCAAATCCATTCAAATCAATTACACTTCAATCAGTTAAACTCGAAAGAACAGAATACTATTACAAAATTGACAGATATATCAATGTTTCCGGAAATGGAAAATGCGATATAAATAGTATTACAATTTATTGTATAATAGATGGTTATGATGCATATGAATTAAATAATCGTACTTTATCTTATCAAGAGAATGATATGACATATAGCTTCACAGGATTTTGTGAAATTCCAAATACTGTTAATGAACCAGGTAATCATAGTTTGTCTGTTCATGCCAGTAATGGTATAGATATCTCAAAATCTGTAAGGTCTAAATTCTAAATCATTCGTAATACTCTAAAGATTAAAATTATAAAGCAACCAACATTCCCAATTTATCTCAACAGAACCCGTACTATGAAATTCATATTATCTGTCACAGATCAAGATGGCGAAGGAAATGTTACAATTAATCATGTTCTCAATAGCATTAATGGTGAAAATCCTACAACTGTTCAAATTAATAATGATACTGTTCCATATAATGTTCCATATAATGTTTCAATTCCAGAAAATTTCGATGTTGGAAATTATAAACTCAGATTTACTGCGACAGATGAACACAATCTTACTTCAGATATCAATATAACAGTCACATTTGCTAATTTTCCTACTGAAAATATCAATATTGTTACATTTCATAAATTCTACAAACGTTAATCACTAATCATATTTATCATATTCTATTTTTTCATAAAATTAATAAAAACATTATTTCTAATTTATAAATTTATTTAATATTTTCAATTTAGTGATAAAATTTTATTTATTTATTTAGAAATAGATATTAGTGATAAAACAATCAAAACCTCTACAAAATGTGCATTTGAGAAACAATTAAGAACATACAGGAACTGAATTATTTTGAATTGATTTCTCTAGTGTAATTTATAATCTTTATGTTTGTCTTATAGATCAAATCTTATTCTGTTAATAAAGAGAAAGCTTATTGGATATCTGCTGACAGTTTTACTCTTATTGAATAAAAACCCTGACACAAATATAATAAATATTTGTGGTTATTATATGGCATTTGAAAGTGTTTGGGGAAAGAAAGAAATTAAAAATTATATTTTGAAAATAAACTATCAAACAGTATTTATTATATAACAAATTAGTTACAAAGTTGAAGTAATTGCTTCTGGAAGTTGTCCTTCTCTTGTTGAATAGTTCTGCGAACGGAATCAACTTGTTCTTGACGTTCAGAGATGATTTCAACGCTTTGTTCGAATAAAATATTGATTTGGTCATTCTGCTTTATTTCATTGCGAAGCTGGATCTCTTCTTTTTCTAAATCAGTTAATTGTTTTGTCAATTTCTTCCATTTGATGAATGTTGATGGTTTTTTGCCTTGTTCAATAATATCATTCGCTGATTTAAGTCGTTTCTCGAGGTCAGAGCGCATTTCGGATTTCTTTCTCGCCAATGAATTTAATTTCTGAGAATATTCATGGAAACTGAGTTGTTTCTTAGTTAATTCGTTTTGTTTTGCGGCTGTTAATTGCTTTGCCTCCTCAAGTTTCCTTTGCGCTGATTGAATAACTTCATTTGAATATTTCTTTTTGAGATCTTCAATTTTGTTCTGTAAATTCTGTATTTTATCCTTTGTTTCTTCTGTTGCATCCTTCTCTTCCTTCAAATTTTGAGAAATTTTGTCAGATTGTTCCACAAAATTTTCAATTTTTGCGTTATTTTCGGCTATCTCCTGTTTCACACGTAGAGAGAACGAGTTCCAGTTGTTTTCACTCGATTCTATTGTGAGTTTGAGGGAATCAATTTGTTCTCTCAGCGGGCGAGTGATATCTTTAAGAGATTTCCTAAGGGAATCCATCCTTACATTTAGTTGTTGGTTTTCTATCCTAGAAACATCAAGTAAAGCTTTGAATCTACTTGATTCATATTCAAATTCGTCTTTTTGATTTGATTTGAACTCCTGGAGATCGGCAATCTGTTGTAATAATTCTTCTTTATCTTTATTGATCTGACTTATCTTTTTCGATGTAAATTCTTTCATAGCAATGGCTTTTTGTTGAATTTTATCGATTCTGACTTGTTCTGCTGCTTTGTTTGAATCAGATATTTTATTTTTCAGTCCATTTATCCTCTCATGTAGGTTAGCTTGTTGTGCAAGAAAATTTGTTTTTGTTGTTTGTTCTTTTCTTAGGTTTATTGAGAGGATTCCGCATTCATTCGATAAGCGTTCATTTTCTTCTACCAATGGCTTAATTCTTTCTGTAATGATTGGTATTTTTTTGTTGATTTTTTGTTCATCAGATTTGTATTTCTCAAGTAAAGCTGTATTTCTTATAATTTCTTGTTCTAAATCTGATAGTTTGTTTGTGGTCGATGATAATTTTGCCATTGCTTCGATTTCGTCTTGTTGAATTTTTAAATAAAAACTTTGGAATTCGTTTGCTTGATTTGTAACAAGTTCTTTTTCTGTTTGTACATTAGTGAGTTCAGATTGATGAGGCATTAGCTGTTCAATTTCTTCTTTAAGAGATTTTTCTGTATTTGCAATTTGGTTAATTTGATTTTGAAATTCCTCTTTACGCTTTTCATATTCAGTAAGACAGCGCTCTCCATCTGTTCCCATTTCTTGTTTTAGTGCGATTAATTTAACCTGTTGAGAATTAAGTTCTTCTATTTGTTTAACAGCACATTGAATACTCTCTATTAATAGCTTTTTCTTATTTTCATCGCTCTCATTCTCTTTGAAATTAACATGAGAAATATCATTGTCTGAAATGTCCTCAATTTGAATGCTTTCTTCTTGTTCTTTCGGAGGAGCTTGAGGATTTCTTGCAAACTCTGCATCTATGTCCTGTTCAAACTTAGAAACGAATCCGATGACTCGTCCCCAAAGTGCCATTTTATTGCATTGGCATAAAACAATATTTCATCAATAGAAAGGTATATCATCTGCTAAAAACAACTAAATATCGGATACATGTGTTCCAATAGCTACTAGCTTTAATCGTATATTGACTCTATCAAATGTTTTTTATTCAATATTGTAAGATTTTCATTAAACAGTGTTTGTATATGATTATGTATGAATCAAGATAAGTTTGCCGTATTGTATGAGTGATTCAACGATCAGTATATTTAGTTAATCCAAAATTAAATTTTCCAATAATTTTTGGGCTTATTTAGCTAGATAAATGCATTTTATTTTTCTTAAATGCATATATGAGAGTTCTCGGATAAGATTATTGAACAATTATAAGAAGGCTAAAATTGATGGGATAACACGCTAACAATAAAATGATTCTAATCATTAAAATAACAATTTATCACTATGCAGAATTAATGGTGAGCATTGGGTACAATATAACTTAATAATTTTTATCACAATTTCATAAAAAGCGATATGTGACAGAATTGCAAGTATTTCTATGTTTTAAAACAGTAAATTAACATAGCAAGTTAATTTAATATTCATATAACTTGATTTTTTCTTTTCAATTAACTCTTGGTTTCTTATTTTTAGTGTTCTTAAACTACAAATGCAAAATAGATGAGATTTTTGCAAAAATTAAATTGCAACATAGAAATCATCTTTTTGTTTTCATAAAAAATGCCCTTAATTTTAATGGTAGCATGAGATACATTTTGTATGTCCTATAACTAGATCAATTCATATAAAATAAATGCAAAAATTATTTCAATTTCAATAAAATATTTTGAAAGAATTTTTTACAATTATTCTAATTATTTGGTTAACATGATGAAATATGAGCAATTACAAAAAATCTCATTTAAAATATTTGAGACCAAACAGTTTGACGTTTTTCATTTTTATTCTAAATTTAATGATAATTACGAAAAACATAAAATTTAAAAGTTTTATTTTTAATTCAATTTTTGCTAAATGGTTATCTATCGATTTTGAAAATGTTCCATCTTCAATATATTTACATTATTTAACGTTTTTCATGCTAAAAATATTTTGAATATTTGAATTTGTGTATTGCTACAATCTTTAAAACTTAAAATATTGAAGAATATCATAATAGAAAGGAAATTCCCTTTACTGATAATATGTCATATATTCAAAGAATTGTATGACCATTTTCAAAACCTACTTCGAATTCAATTCTTTGAAAATCTATTTTCAATAAAATGGATAGATTACTACCTTCAGGTATCCCGCCAAATCATGGAGCGATGGGTGTTAAGTCAAAATTCACGCCAGATGAGGACTTAAAGCTGAAACAAATAGTCGAATCGCAAAAAGGTCCATTTTCATGGAAAGAAATTTCCAAGCTAATGGTAACTAGAACTCCCAGACAGTGCAGAGAAAGGTATAAAAACTACTTGAGTGACGATATTAAACACGATCAGTGGTCACCTACGGAAGATAAATTAATAATTAAACTTTATAACGAGTATGGTAACAAATGGAATATTATTTCCAAATACATTAAAGGCAGAACAAGCAATGCAATACGTAACAGATGGAAATATCTTATTAAAAACGGTTGTAACCAAAGTTCGGCGCATTCGACTTCAACCGTTGAAGATTCTGAAGACTCAAATTATGGACCTGTAGAAAAAGTACAAGAAAAAGCTGATAATCCCTCAGATATTTTTTCAAATGAAGGTCTCATGGACAGAATGATCAATACAATTTTCCCACAAGGAAAGCCTAATAATCTTTTTGAGAGCGATGAAGATCTAAGCATATTTGTCAGCTAAAGAAGATAAAACTTATTGATTGTTTGTTAAATCTTAAATTTTCATTTTAATAATTTTTGTATTTCTATTATAAAATCGATATAAGCATAATACCAACGAAAGTTTATGTGGTATTGCTGCTTATCATATAATTTTTTGTAGCTTGATTTCCATGAGATAACATCAGTTAGTTATATGATTAACAGGAAAAGGATTTCCAGGTTAAATATCTAGTAAAATGTAGTAGTTATATTTATTAAACGATTTTTCATATATCTGAAAAATATTAATTGAAAATGATTTGGTAAATTCATTAAAATATATGAAATATAAACCTGCAATATGTAATATAATTATTTGCAATCTAATAATTGTTAGGTTATGATTTTCAAATATTTCGCACATAATTAAGTTTCATTAGTTTGTTTTGAAGTCAGTAACAACACATTAATTCATGAAAAACAAAGGACTTAATATTTTGCATTCATCATCAGCTCTTAAATCTTGCTACATATGTTGAAAGATGAACTATATTTTAAAACATCATTAAATAATTCGAATGACATTCAACCAATTGTAAAAGAAGCATTAAACCCATATTGTTTATGTATTCAAATATAATGCTTAGTTTGTATTGTAACTTCCTTTCTATCCTTACATATAATAATTCTGATATGTCCATATTTCCCATGAATTATTAGTGATTTTTTTGTAAAGCTTTAAATTAATATATCTAAAGTACAGGTTGAAAAAAATATGTATCAACAGAAAGGGGCTACTATCCTTCTTCAAAGAAATCATTTGCCATATAAGTATAGACATGATTACGCAAAGAAACATATGTGTATAAAATCCATAGCTTATATAAGCCAATATATATCAATTTCTGGAACTTGAACCTTTAACAATTAATATTATACCAAATTTCATATATAGTTATGCAATGTAATGGCTTTCATTTTAGGAGAAACAAAAATATCTCTTTTTCAAGCTCATGATCTGTAGATACTAGAAATCAATAAAAAGGAGTAAATATCTTATGAAAACAAGGAGGGTTTAGTATAAATACCAGTATTTTGGATGCTTTTAAATTCAAAGTGAAATTCACAATCAAATAAGAACAATATGGTTGAACAAGATTTGATAATTAGCTATGTAATAGCTAAGTAATATCGTATAACGACATTATAGAAAATTGGTCATTTTTTGGGTTAATTAACATTTCGCAAATTGATTGGAACACTATTGTTTGATTCTATATAAAAACATATATACCCAACAGTTTATATTGTTAATAAATTCACTTTATGTATGAAATGTTTCTTATCAGAAATATGAAAAATAAGCATTAATTGAAGTAATTTTGGAAATTTTTTAATATAATTATGTTAGGAAATTGATAATAAAATATGTTATATTGGAAAAAAATAAATTTAAGAGATAACTACATTTCGATTGTTTCGATAAAGTACAAAGCGTTTAAACTGAAGTGATAATCTATAAGAGATAATGTTAAATGGCTTATTTATATAAGATTTCAAAGAATTTATTAATAGCAAATTTTAGTAGTATATGTGGACGGGTTGTGTGACTTTTTTTGTAAACGTAAGAATTCATACAATATTGAACGATTTTGTATCATTTTTTTTAACATATGAAGTAAAAAATGTAAGATTCTTACAGTTTTTATTCTTACGTTTTTGAATAAATCAAGATTTAAAAATTGACTTCTTACGTAAAATTAAAACTAAGTTAAATTTATTTTTTTATTTTTTATTTAATGATAAATGAGTATAACAACTAATTCATTGAAATCTTTAAAGTTCACTAATTCAGAATTAGAAAATATTTTAGAAAATTTTGGAGACGGTTCTTATCCAACATATATGCAGAATGTGAAAGAGTTTTCCAGATTGTTGAATGAATTTAAATATAACGGACCAATTACTAAAAAGGCTATAATGAGATATTTATATCCCAAAAAAGTTGAAAAACAGGAGAATATTCCTCTTTATGGTCCAGAGGACCTGGGCTCAGAGAGCCTTGAAACACCCCTGAATATTTTGAAGAAAAAATTAAACAAGATGAATATTATAACGATGAGATTGAGAAATTGGAACAATTAAGAAATGAAATAGATGAAAAAATTAAGGAATTGAGAAATGCTGAGAATGAAGTAGAGGGTTTAATGAATATCCCAGCTTCAGAATCAGAAGTTCAAAAATCACATGAGGAAAGATATAAAAATTACTTTTTGGAATCTACTAAAAATTTATTAGATGGTGATATTGACGAAACACTTTCAGAAGAAGGCACAAAATTTATTCATAAACATAAGTTACAATTTATTGACGATGGAGATTATCCATGTATATTACTTTCACCTCCTCTTGATTCTGAAAAATTCAAAAAAGCACTGAAAAATGTAACATATGCAACAAATACGATTAAGAAAGAAGACCATGATATTTACACAAATTATTATTTAAATAAATGTACAGGTGTTGATAAAGTTTTTGATTTGTTAGATAAAATATCAAAAGAAACAATTGGAACTATAAAATTTTATGTGATTGTGGTTTCATTATTGAAGATACCAATAATGTTTCATATGAAAGAACAGCACCGAAGGAAGACGAAGTTGAAAGGTCTATACCATTCGTTATTAAGAATATAAAAGATATGAAAACTTATAACATTATATTTATTCATTTATTTCAGAAAAAATGGAAGCAACCCATAAAACATCATCTCATCATTTTATAGCTATTCATACATTCCTTTTCAAAGTTGTGAAATTAAATAAGACAGGAATTAGATTTAATGTATCAGGGTACGCATTCTTGAGTAAATTAAAATGTATTCGTCACGTCGCAGATGATAAAAATTTATGTGTTCTTAATTCATTTTATGGACTTTAGCCCTGGACTCTCTGAGTCTCGGACTTTAAAAAAATAAACTTTATTTTTATTTATTTTTTAATTTTTATTCTTACATAAATGAACAAAAATGGAACAGCTAAAATGAATGATAATCAAATAAGAGCCGAAGGTAGAAGGTTATTTAAACGCTTCTATAACATTCCTGATGGTGTTAATCCTAAAACTCGTAGAAGTTATTTAAATGAAGCCATAGATGCATATGAAGGATTTGACATTTCATCAGAAAGTGAGAGGTTAGCAAGAATGTTAAATGTTAATATTGATTTCTATTATTGTGATCCTCAACCAGAAGACGTAGACATTAACAAGGTAGACTTTCCATTAGTGGATTCAATAATGATAGATCCAGAATTTGAAACAGTAAATATTTTATTAACACAGAGTCCATGTGGAAAACTTCACGCTGACAGAATAACAGACGTTGAAGCACTCACAGGATATAAAGTTTGCCCCTTTTGCAAAGAAGAAGTATATTCTATCCGTGATGATCCAGAAAGGAAAAACCAAAGAAGATTTTTAAAACATTGTGAGAAATGTAAAGAAAATAATGGAAGATTAATTCAAGACGTTCAATTGCAAAACACACAACAACCATATGCACCACATATACGAAACAGAAGATATATCAATGGCTATTAGCACATAATTTGCAGGAATATTATAAACCAACAAGATATTATATTACTTTTGACTTCGAAACATTAGAGACTAAAGAAGAATTACAACTTTCTGAGTGTGCAACTTTAAACGCTTACTTAAAACCATTCATGGTATCATCAACGGTTAAATTAAACGATAAAACATATACGAGGAATTTTTGCTTAACTTCGAGTGATTCTTTTATTTCTGATTGGATTGAGTTTTTATTTTCAACCTGTTCATTAGTTGCTAAATCAAATATTGAACAATATGAAGAATTAATGAATACATTAAATGAGAAACAAAAGGAAGCAATGAAAGAGCTTTTAGATGAAGAATTTAATAAAGTGAATATCATTGGTTTTAATTCAGGAAAGTTTGATTTAAATTTAATTCTTCGTGATTTAAATACTGCAAAATGGAAGATAAAATCAATGCTGGGTTCTTCTTCTCAATTTAAGCAAGTCATAGTAAAGAAAACAAACTGTCCATATGAATTAAGATTTATTGACATCAGAAATTATATAGCGGGTGGAACATTAGACCAATTCACTCAAGATTTCGGAAACAATAAATCACGTGTTAAATCCTTTTTCCCTTATCAATTCATCACATGGGAGAATTACGAAGATGAATTATATAAAAAGGAACCATTCACTCAAGATTCATTTTATTCAGCATTAACACAAGAAACAATATCCGATTCAGATTATCAAATATATCTCAATGATGCTAAAAACTTTAAGAATAGATTAGAATATTTTATTCATTATTGCAATAAAGATGTTGAAATTATGATTGACCCAATTGATAAAATTATCGAAGAAACATTTGTTTATAAAATTGACATGCTTCATAATCTTTCTTTATCATCGAATGCATCAATGATTCGTTACGCGTTAGCATATAAGAACTTCAATCCTAACGAAACATATCCAGAAGAAGAAAATGTGGAATCAAGTTTTGAATTAACAAAAAAGTATTGGAAATATAAAATTGAATCATATAAGAAACAAGATGAAAAAGCAGAAAGGGATACTAAAAACAATGTTTCAATGGATGACTATCAATACTATCACGATTTAATCCTTTCATCTAAATGCAAAATGTGTGGTAAAGCGTTTACATATGCAAATAAACCAACATTGGATAGAATAGATAATGAAAAACCACATACCAAAGAAAATTGTCAGTTAATGTGTTGTTATTGCAATGTCGTAAAATCAAATAAAGATGAAGATGTTCAACGTTTAAGAATCAATTTAAGAAATTATGCATTAAAAAATAATTTACCAATGACTTTAGATTCAGTTGAAGCTTATCACATTCTCCGTAATGGAATTACTGGTGGTCTATCAAATGTTCAACATCGTGTTAATCTTAAAGGAATCACGCACATTAATAAACTTTCATATAATCCAGAAACTAAAACTGTATCAAATGAGGACACCACCAACATTATGACTCATTTCGTTGGAGTTGACTTTAATTCATTATATCCTTCATCATTTTCATCTAATCCTCATGATTTCATTCAATATACTGACCATAAAATGTATATGCCGGGAAGATTGAATGGTGTTATCATTTGTGATACAGCAACAAAGAAAGCAAAAGCACTGGGAATAATTAAGAAGAAAAATACTTTATTCGTGGCTGAAGTAAAGGGTCACATTGATGAAAAATACATTAATGATTACATAAACTTTTTACCGATAATAAGAAACTTAGATATTATCACAGATGAAAAAACAATTGGCAGTTTTATGTATAATTACATGAAATCAAACAATCTACCAGTTGACCAGAAACAGAGGAAATTAACTCAGTTAGCATCAACACACAACCAATATCAACCATTTTCTTCTTATTATCTTTGGTATCTAATAGACAGATTTCATTTTATCATTGATGACATTCAATCAATTTTAACATTTACGAAAAACACTTGTTTTAATGAATTTGCGAACAAATTTATGAACGAAAGACAAAAGGCTGAATTAGAAGGAAATAAAGGAAAAAGTTTATTTTGCAAGATTTCACTTAATGGATCATATGGTTACGATGCAATGAATACACAAAATTACGCAAAGACTAAAATAATGAATGCACAGAAGGCACGCGTTGCATGTATGTCAAATAAGTTTAAAAACATAAGAGAAATAGGTGAAGATACATATCAAGTGATGCTTAAAGATAGATTTTATAGATGTGATACATGTTTACAAGAGGCATTCTTCACTTTAGATAATGCTAAATACTGGTATTTGGTTTTCATTTATGATTTTATGTATAAATGCATGGATGTTAATCGTTTTCATTTCATTGAAGGTGATACTGATTCATCTTATTGGGCAATCGCTGGCGACCCAAATCTTCCTAACACTCAAGCATTTCAAGCAATTGTTACCGATAAACAATTTTATGATAAAAACATTTTCAAATTCGCACCTTTTGATTTCTTCTGTTTTGATGAGAAATTTAAACCTAAATTAAAGAATAAAGCTGAAGAAAAAGCACATGAGAAGAAGTTATTGGGTTTAGCAATTGAGAAACAAGGTGATAACATGGTTGCTTTATGTCCTAAGTGTTATACATCATTCAATGGTTCAATTGATGGAAGTGATTTTAAAAAGATTGCACAAAAAATGAAAGGTGTTAGTTTACGACAAAATAAACAATTAACACCTAAAAATTATTTGGATATAATAAATGATAAATTGATATTTGATGGTCAGAATATTAATTTACAACTTAAAAATGGGTCAATGACTCGCTTAACAATTGGTAAGACTGCATTAACAGGAGCACACACTAAGGCTGTATGTTGTGAAAATGGATGTTGTATGCCATTTATTTAATAAAATACCACAGAAGAGACAAAAGGAACCGTTAATGATGGTTTTGATACTTGATTCAAAGAGGTGGGCACCCTTAAAACATTGATTTTATTTTTATATAAATGAATAACACAGATTTAAAAATTTTAATTGATGATTTAGTATTTAATCAAAATTTTCTTAATTATTATGATTTAAAAGCATATCTCCAAAAATATAATAATAATATAACGGGTGATGATATGGAATATTATTATCCATATTATAAAAATGAAATTTTGAAATATCATAATAAAATAATTTCTGAAATTAAAGACAAAATTAAAAATAATGAATATATAAAGGGAAAAACTAAATCACAGCTTAAACAGTTGAAAGATTTCAAAAATAAAGTATTAACAGAAGAAGATATTGATGAATTATATAATTATATAATCCTGAGCCACAAAAACCAAAGGAACAAAACACCCAGGTCCTTCAGACCATAAATGATGCACAAGCTTTAATTTATGATTCATTAGTTAAACCATATTCAGCCCGACTTTTAAATGAAGATCAACTTTTGGAATTCATCCTTCAACATAAACTCGAAGCGGGAAAGTATATCAAACCTTTATATACAGCATATTTAAAACAAATGAATAAATACATCCAGAATTAATGAAGGAAGGAATGAAATCCAAAATCAAAGCAGATAAAATTAAACCACTTACAACACCAAAACCTCCAACGACAGTACCTCCTCCTCCTTCAGTTAATCCTTCATCATTCACTTTATTATATCCATTTCAAACATTTAAGAAGCAAAAAGATTTTAAAAAGGATTTCAAGATATTAAATAAACCAATTGACCCGAAAATTCAACCATTAAAGGAAAAATTTAGTCGACCTTCATTTGCTCCATATCCATATTCATACGAAATCGATCATCTGGAATATTCAAAAGGAAACGTTACTTATTTATTTGCCATTAACATTAACACTAGATATTTATATTGCATTCCGGTGAAAGGGAAAACAGAACAGGAAACAAGAAGAGCTATTCAATACTTACTAGATCATGAAAGAGTAGATAATATCAGGGGTGATGGTGATAAAGGATTTCAGGCAGCTATGACTCATTATTTCCCACAAATTAATTTTTACTTTTCATCCTCTCCATATACGTTTCATAATAAAATAGTTGATGCGGTAATGAGAACTCTTAGAGATGCGTTAGGGGTTAACGGTCAGATATACTGGGATGGAAATCATGACTCCATCATACAGCAGTTAGTATATTATTACAATAATACATGGCATAGAACTATAAACATGAAACCAGTGGAAATGAAAAATGATATTTCAAAAGAATGGGAATATATTAGAAAGCAAATGGAAAAGTTAAATGATGTTAAACGTGAACAAATTAATTCGGGGCTCATGAATTTTAAACAAGGATAAAGTTTTAATTCATCTCGATTATGGAAAAACTGATAAATCAATGACAAAAAGAAGACGAAGATTTGACACAATAGCTGAATTTGTTAGATATATTAACGGCAATGCATTAGTTGAAGTTGACAAGAAATTAATAGAAATTCCGATTTATTTTATTACTCCATTATATTTAAATAATATTTAATTTTTTTTATTTCGTAAGAAATGAGTGACAACAAAGCAGTCAAGAGTCCAGACAATGAATATAAAAAGAAACTAAACAGAATTAAATCAAAAATATGCTATTACAAAAAGAAGCCACAATGCAGTGGGTTGAAAACGATAAAGAAATAATCGAAAAATTAGAAACTTACCGTTCAATCATTAAACTGAGTGAAGCAAAAATAAAAGAATTTAATAGAATAAATAAATTGATTGGAAGAGATGAATTTAATAAAGATGAATTTTTAAACTCAATCCAAATTTAATTTTTATTCCTCTTCGACAACATCTCTCTTTCCATCATTACTGCATAACCACATTTTCTCAATTTTAGTGGTTTGTTATTTTTAACATGTTCTTGCATCATTTTTATCATTTCCTCCCTTGTTATGATTCGTGGTAAATTTTGAGCTTGTGGGGTATTCATTTATGATAAAAATAAAAATTTAAATTATGCCGTTCTAAAGTTTGAGACAACATGACATTTTGACAACAACACAGGAGGAAGGCAGTTATGACTTATTTTTGAAGAACTGAAGGTGTCACCATGTCACCAGGTAATTTAACTCATGACATTTTGACAACACAGGAGGAAGGCAGTTATGAATTATTTTTGAAGAACTGAAGGTGTCACCAGGTCACCATGTGTCACCAGGTCATTTAACTTCTCTGAAAAAATGAGACAACATGACATTTTGACAACATCACAGGAGGAAGGCAGTTATGAATATTTTTGAAGAACTGAAGGTGTCACCATGTCACCAGGTAATTTAACTCATGACATTTTGACAACACAGGAGGAAGGCAGTTATGAATTATTTTTGAAGAACTGAAGGTGTCACCAGGTCACCATGTGTCACCAGGTCATTTAACTTCTTTTAAAAAATGAGACAACATGACATTTTGACAACATCACAGGAGGAAGGCAGTTATGAATTTTTTTGAAGAACTGAAGGTGTCACCATGTCACCAGGTAATTTAACTCATGACATTTTGACAACACAGGAGGAAGGCAAAAATAAATTCCAATCATACTTTATAAAGCATCATTTACAGGTATTTCATCGTCAGTAAATGAATCCTCATTATCGTTTGGTTCAACCTGTTTATATAATCCTTTCATTTCTTCTTTCAAAACATAACACCATGTTTGTTTACCATCTATTCTTACCTGTTTCCTATCACATTTATCCTTAATGCTCATTTGGAAATTCTTGTCTTTCATGTCTGATGGTTTGCAGAATAGAGCATTTTTACACGTCATACCTGCACACAATTCATCATAATGTGTATTTATCCATACATCTAAAGGATTTGTTGATAACTCGATTAAATCTTGTTTGGCTTCAGTCATCGGAATGATTCGTACATTAAATGATGAAAGGTCATATTGCATAAAATATGTTAAAAGGTTATCATAAAATTCCTTTGTGCATGAATCCATTAAATTCTTGAAGTAATCAAATTGACCCTTGAATTTACCATTAACTCTTAAAACTACGTATCTTCTGTCTCCAACTTCAATTTTGACAGGGTAAACGTTATTAGTTACGAAAATGAAGTTTGCAACATTCTGAGCAGTTCTTCTGGGTTGATTCTTTTCATTAATTCTAATCTCATTATCCGTTATAATTGATTTCAAAGCGTTGAAGTTTTGCGAGTCTGTCTTCACCTACATTCTTGAGTTCATTAAGTACAAGAAACATTTTATTTTCAACTACTGAGTTGAAATTACCCGTTAGCTCACTTATTTCAGTAATGTTTTTACATGAATAACCTGCGAGAAGTTCAGAAATAATGTCTGTAAATCTGTTTTTACCTGTTCCCTGAAGTCCTTTCAAAATAAATTGCTGTTTCATTCTTGATTCCAGGATGTTGAATCATTGATGCAATCCAGCCGAGAAGGTATTTATACACTTCATCGTTATTATCACAAATGGCTTCTTTAATGAAATTCATAAACATCTCAATTTTTGAGTAATCAGGCTTTTCAAGAATGTTGTATTTATAACCCTGAAACGTTGAGAAAACATCGGGGGAATCAGATTTAAAGCAAACACCCTTAACGGTTAATGAAGACAATTGATTTAGTAGTACATCCCATGCTGTTATGGTTTTACCTTCTTCTTTAAATAATTTAATCATTTTGAGTGACTCTTTCATGTTTGATTGAAGAACGAATGATATTTGATTCATTTTGTCGTGTATGTTGTAATCTTTCTGAATGAAGTATTTATTTCCACAATCTACAAAACGGATTACACGTGATAAATCCTCAATTACTTCAGAACTGTTTTTATACTGATGATTTTCAGCCTTGCGTCTAATATCTGTTATCAAAAACGAGTCATCAAGTTTGATATCAAATGTTATTTTTGGCTTACGTAATAAAGGTAAAACATATTCATCATAATATTCCTTTTGATAAAGTTTTAGAATCTTCACCAAAACAAATGGAGAAGTCATTAAATGTGCATATCTACTACGTGCTTTTTCAAAATTACTTTTTGCATTTTCTGTTAAGCTGCAGAAATTATAAACGTTATCGTATGCTTCATTAATTAAATGATTAGGTAACGAATTAATTGCTTGAAACAGTGTGAATAATGTAACTTCTTTTTCTAAATTCATGTTTCCACCATCATTATGTACTTCAAAATCACAGATGCCATCAACTATGCTCTGGGCAAGTTTATCGTCAATGTTTACATCTTTGTTTTCATTCATTATACTCTTTATTTCTTCGCTCTTCTGTTCAACTCTTACCTTAATATTCAAATCATTTAATATATCGTTTACTGTTCTGGTTAATGTTGAATCATAACTTCCACGAATGAATGAGTATGTATTGATTGGTTCTGATGCATTCTTGCGAACTCTTGAATCAGCCATAACTACTAATGAACGCTTTGAATCATCAATAGAAGTCATTATGTCAATATCATAATCATTGCAGGAATAACATTTAATCATTCTGTTCGAAACTGCATAGAAGAAATTAGTGTTGCAATAAATGTGAAGACCTCCTGAAGCGGTTTTAACGATAACATCTTTATCCGAAAGTTTTGATAAAATGTCTTTTCTAACTGTTTCTTTAAGTTCATCATTGTATGATTTATTGATATCAACATCTATAATCGTTAAATTTGAAATTTTATTTACTAATAAAGCTGTACCAGTTTTCATTCCTCTTCCTCCATCATGTTTGAGGTAGTTATGTAAATCAATCTTGTTTTCACCAATTCTTTTGTTGAGGGTTTTAGTTTCTGTCACAACTAATTCCTCAGCTAATGAATCAATAACTTGTTCATCAGAAACGATATAGTTGTTGTTGTTTGTTGCTGTCATTTATATAGGAATAAAAAAATAAAAATAATTTTAAAACTAACTTTATTTTTGGGCTGCATCAAATTTTCGTAAATGTTGTCAAAATGTCATGTTGTCTCATTTTTTCAGAGAAGTTAAATGACCTGGTGACCTGGTGACATGGTGACACCTTCAGTTCTTCAAAAATAATTCATAACTGCCTTCCTCCTGTGATGTTGTCAAAATGTCATGTTGTCTCATTTTTTAGAAGTTAAATGACCTGGTGACACATGGTGACCTGGTGACACCTTCAGTTCTTCAAAAATAATTAATTATTGAATAACCTGTGTTGTTGTCTAAATGTCATGAGTTAAATTACCTGGTGACATGGTGACACCTTCAGTTCTTCAAAAATAATTCATAACTGCCTTCCTCCTGTGATGTTGTCAAAATGTCATGTTGTCTCATTTTTTCAGAGAAGTTAAATGACCTGGTGACACATGGTGACCTGGTGACACCTTCAGTTCTTCAAAAATAATTAATTATTGAATAACCTGAAAACATTAACATAAACATTAACGTAAACATTTATTTCTGTAGTTCATCCATTACTTCATTACCTAATTAATTACAGACATAAAATATATTTAGTTCATTCATTGAACTCTATACCATGCGTAAACTGTCATGTAAGGTGGCATGTATTCTTTACTTTGTCCCGTTGTTTGTGTATATCCTGAAACGTGATGTGTATGGTTTCCTTCTCCCTGAGTGTCATCCCAGTAACAATTTATAGCAAACTTAACGTCGTCTTTAACATCATATCCTTTACCTTTTGTCATTCCTGACCAATCCCAATATCTATGCTTATGCCAACCTGCTTGAGATGTACTTAAATCTATGTAGTGACTGTGTGCAGGTAAATTTTCACCCGAAATCGTTTTACTTCCCCCTGTTTCCTTTGAAGAGTTTGCACAATACAAAAACCTGTCGACTATTTGTTCCCATGCACCAACACCAAACATTACTTGAGGACCTCTTGCATCCATAGATGTATAAATAGAACCTACTGGGTTCATTAAATCAAACATATGAGATATTATAGGATTGTCTCTTTTGAACTTAAAATATAGTGTAACTATTTCAGGTTTCTTCTGGTTTGTGTCAGAATATTTTTTATAATATAATCTTATGTTTTCAGGGTAGGTAAAATCTTGACTATAATATTTATTTCTGTCATCTGTATAATAATATACTATTCTCGTTTTTTCTATTGCATTATATCTTTTATATCTATAATAATCTAAATATAATGTTAACTTTTGTTCATCTACATGTGGTGTTCTGACATCATCTCCATAGTCATAATAATATGGTGCTGGAGCTGGGTCAGGCAATGTCATATCTACCATTTCATAAACTCTTAAATATTTCTTTTGTTCGTCTCCATATAAGTTTAAGTAGCAGTTGTTGTCTAATGGAACTTTAACTTGTGTGTCATCATTCTTTTTATAACTTACATACATTTCATTGTTATTTTTCGGAATGAGTTTCCACCGTATACCATTTTTTAAGGAGTGTACAAACTGCCATCTAAAATATTTATTTTCTTCATTGACAGAAAAGTCGCCAACAATAGTTTCAATATTTTTCGTTGTTCCTATCAAACTTTGGTATATTTCGTTAACATATTCCTTATCTGCTTTCTTCTCTAACTTAGTCTTTAATTCATCATTAACATATTCCTTATCCGCTTTAAGGTCTAAACATCCTGAAACCCATCCTGTATCAGCTTTAGTTTTTAAAATCTTTGATGTCCATTCATGATACCATTCAACACTTTCTTTAATTTCATTATCTTTTTCGTTAACATATTCCTTATCCGCTTTCTTCTCTAACGCAGCAGCAACATATTCCTTATCCGCTTTAAGGTCTAAACATCCTGAAACCCATCCTGTATCAGCTTTAGTTTTTAAAATCTTTGATGTCCATTCATGATACCATTCAACACTTTCTTTAATTTCATTATCTTTTTCGTTAACATATTCCTTATCCGCTTTCTTCTCTAACGCAGCAGCAACATATTCCTTATCTGCTTTCTCCATTATGTCATTTAGGAAACCTTCTATGAATTCCTCATTTAAATTAAATCTTCCAATCTTCAAAACTTTAGGAAATGCATTTAATGCGTAATATCTTTGTTCTTCTGGTGGAATTGATGTTATATCATCCGTTATTCCTTTAATTTTTGAATTCATAAATAAAATTTCTTTTATATTTGATATCACTGCACCACCCTTGCAAACGAATTCGAAATGGTCATTTTTCAATACTATCTCCAAATCTCCATATTTCAACCTTTGCGTTTGTTCTGCCGTCTTTGAATTATATGCATATATGGCGTATGTAATGGTCTGAGGGACCTGAGTGCTTTGTGCCTTAAGTTGTTGTGGTTGCTGTTGTTTAATCATTTATTATGATTTAAAAATAAATATTTAATCCGTTATCTCATCACCTATTTTTTCTATTTGAAATTGCCATAATATTTCATTCATGAATTCTAAATCACAATCAAATAGGTCAGTTACTCTAAATTTAATATTTGATAAATCTTTTGAATGAAGAATAAATGAATTCCCGGATAATTGAAACGGATATGATAAAGAAAATATGTTTAAGTTGATGGATAAAATGTTTTGTATTGATGGGTAAGAGTTAGGGTCTAATGTTTGATGTGAAAATCTCATTGGGGTATTAACTTTATCACATTTGATTAAAATGAAATTGGAACCAGTGTCAGAATACAAAACATCCCCAACATCTTTTTCAAAATTTAATATCCCCAACAATGAACGAAAATGAGGAGTACAAAATTTAATTTTCAGTGGGAATTTAATAAGGTTATTTATTTCATCAAGTTCAAAAAGTTTATCAGGTTTTGATTTAAAATTTTCTTCATACCATACGATAAATGATTCATTTAAATAACTTAAAATCATGTTAATATCCCATTTCGCTATCACATTATTTATATACATATCATACGTTTTTTCATGGTCATCTTTAATAAATGATATATAATCTGAAGGGTCTAAAAGAATGGGATTAAATTTACCACTCACAGAAACGAGAGTAACATTATAAATTCCGCTAACTGTTAAATTTAATTCACAGTTATTATTCGAAATAATATTGATAATTGACATTTTTATTACGATTAAAAATATGGTAAAGCGTTATTTTCCAGTGATAAATAAAACTAGGATAAGATTACCTCAAGAATTCATAAATTCAACGAATAAGAAATTCATTCATGTTATAAATTTTAGTGTTTTCAGAAAATATGAGTCAATGTCATATTCATCATCGGGTTATATTTCACTTCATTCAAATTTAGTTCAATCAAACCCATATAATGACCATTTCATAAGATTTTCAGATGGTATTAAAAATGTAATTGATAGATTAAAATATGAACAGATTGACAATATCGAATTTTTGGAATTTTGGTTTAAATATCCTGATGGAAAAAAGATTAAAGTTAAAGATAAAGCTGATACTATAACAAAAACAATTACAATGACCGATCCAGATAGTGGGGAACAAAAAGAAATAAAACAAACGATAGAAACTGGTGAAAGGTCAATTATTATTGATTATGATTCAAAGGATTATTATTCAATAATGTTAATGCTTGAATATTAAATGGCCTTAACAAAGAATTTTTCAAGTGATATTTTATATTCATCAACTATTTTATTATAAATATCATTATATGTTAAATGAAGTTCAGTTGTTGTTCCGTTCTTTGATATCTTAATTGTGCTAATATCCTTTATAGGATTTATTTTTGCAACTGTTCCAGCATGAAACCTCATCATCTATGAAAAATTGAATCTTAACGTCTGAATCTTGAACATCACAAAGAATGGCGATAATGTGAATTAATGATTCATAAGGTAAAATAATTAAACCGGATTGGTCAATTAAATTTATTATTGAATCATAATTATTAATTATTATATCACGGTAAATTTTCATTAATTCAGAATTAATGTCTATTTTATATGGGTTATCAAGAGGTGAAGGGTATGTTGGATAAGTGGGAATTTCAACAGGTTCTTTACCGGGTTCAGATAAAATGATTGGGTCTCCATTCTCATGGTTTTCTTCATTCTCTTCATTCTTCGGTAAGTCACGAGTTAATAAATTTGGTTGAGTTGCTGACCTTGTTAATTCAGGACTAACATTAACTTTAACATTTTGAATAATTCGTGATTTATCATCATTTACGTTATAACCAACCGTAATCTCTGCTTTTGCGTTAGTGTTCTTTTGACTTGTGAAACGTCTTCTCATTTATAATTGAATAAAAAAAAGAAAAATATATTTAAAGTTTTATTTAGTTGTTACGGTAATATCCCAAGGTTCATCATTGTTTGCTTATACTTTCTTTGTAACTGCACCAATTATGTTATTGATATTGCTTTGAGTTTCTTCCAGTCTTATTTTATCATTTACAATATCTTTAATCATTTCATTACATGCATTCTTAAAACCATCTGATTTTTCTAATTTACGTTTATCACTTTCTTTAATTAAATCAAAGTTATAACCTTGTTGAGAATAAAGTGGTTTCTTTATCAATTCCTTGAACGCTTCTGAAAGTGAAGATGAAGAAATTCTTGCCACTTGAATTGGTTTAAATTCTGCTTTCATTGCTTCTTTCTGTTCATTGAACACTGGATCGAATAAAGCAACTTTAAAGAATTTCTTAGCTGAAATTTCAGGTCTAATATTTGCATATTGACCATCAAACTGATTAACATATCGTGGTAATCCATCCGGTCCCTCTTCAACAGCATTTAATTCTTCATTGAAATAAGAATATGGATTATAACGGTATGAATTAATTGGACCATTTTCACCTTCTCCAATGTATTGTTTAACAGCTTTTCCATTTTCATCAAATTGCATAGGATAACATTCATTATATGCTTTACGTTTAGGATAATCAGATACAGTTAATTTATACCCATTTATGACTTTAATATTACCTTGACCATCAGTAACGAAAACTTCATTTATACCATCAGGCTTTCCATTTGGACCCGTAATGTCTGCTTCATGTGCTTCCCAATTTGGTCCATGACGTTTGGCATATGCTTGAGCTTCTGGTAATGTTAAAACGTTTCTCATTTGTTTAACATCTTTTTGAAGACCAGCAACAATATGAACTAATTCTTTCATTCCATCTGGAACTTTCATAGTTCTATTATATATGCACCCTTTTGTTTGTCCCTTGTTTTAATGGAACCTGTAGAAGATTTGCTATTTCTGTCATGTTTAATTATAAATAAAAAATAAAAATTAATTATAAAAAGTTAATCAAATTTAACACTTCCTTTATTTAAATCAACTATTATTTTTCCATGTTCACCTAATTGCTGATATTGTGTGTAAAGTTCATTAATGCTCATTGGTAAATTCACTTGATAAAGCATAACGTTCAACTGTTGACGACTAAACCCACTGAAAATGAAAAGTGTTGATAGATTTGATTTAATGTTTGTGCTTAATGCTTTGAAGTATTGAACAGCCATGAAGAATGAACACTGAATGTGTCGACATTGAGTTAATAATTGATTAAAATATGATTTCTCATTTGTTATTAGTTTTGATTTCACTGCATCATCTAGAAAAATGAGTGAATGCAAAAATTCTCTATCAAAATTTGAAATAGAAAGTGTTTCAAATAATTCATCCCGTTGTTTATCAATAATTTTATCCTCTAATCCTTGCTTCTTGATTGTATTATATAATTCTTTATACATTAAAAAGTTTTTTAAATAATCTTCTGCTTCTTCTTGTGATAAATAAATAATTGGAATTTTGATTAAATGCTTTAAAGATTCAAATGTATCATCTGAAGGTGAACCTGAACGGTTGATATAAATTAACACATGTGAATGGGGGAAGTGTTAGCAATAATGATAATTTGTTTTAATATCGTTAATGTTTTACCTTTATTTTGTTTACCAATTGCTGCAGTGATTGAATTTAAGTAACATTCAGAATATGGAATTTTCATTAATTTTTCCTTAGATAGAGCATTTCTATTATCACTCAATGCTTCATTAATCATATCATCTATGTATGTATTATATACTCCTGCTAATTCTTCAGAATTTAAATCCATTTAATCAAAAATAAATTTATAATTTTAAACATTTCTATTCATCAATATTTCATCATATGAACTTCTATACTGTGGTGGTGTACCTGTTGGATGATATTTCAAACCTTCATCCGGTGTCCATGTCCAATACGTAGTCCTAGTAAACCAAACCTGAGGAGGATTTGTCACTTTGAACAGTAAGTGTCATTTTCACCCTGAATGATTGGATAAGCTTTCACTTGTACTGTAACTTGTGAGTTGAAAGTTTCTAATCCATCAAAGAATATACCCGCTCCATCACGTTGAACTGGAATAGTGCATAAGAATGAAGTTTGGTCTTTCCATGTTCTAGCTAATGGCGTGCCATTATCATCATTCAGTGGTCTAGTTAATGAGTCCTCGTATTCTTCCGTGCATTCATTCACTCCATCTAAATCAGAAGCTTGAAGCATACGTGTAAAGAATATGTCGCCCACTGTGGTCATCGCTTGATCGGGGAAGTTTCTGGAATCTATAGTGACCTGAAGACCTCGAAGCATTGGATTTTCTAAAACCGTTCTTTGCATTGCATTCTTCGGAAATGTTAACACAACATCTGTAACATTATGAAGAGCGTATGAGAAATCTGAGCTAATACCTTCAGGAGTGATGCAACCTCCATTTAGTGAACGAACGTCAATATGTTGAGCTGGAATCATGAATGGATCTTCCTTACTGAATAAACGTGGTATTGCTTTAACTGATTCTTCAATTAAACCGTATCCTGGTGTAATGCATTTATCCTCTAAAACTTCCATCTTTGTGCATGAAATAATAACGTCATCAACTGTTGCGTCAGCAGATGTAGCGGCTAAGCTTGTAATTAATTTGGCAGGAAGTCCGATTTGTTGGAATTTGCGATCATATTTATAAACATGATTCATAATCTTTTCATAATTTTCATCAGTTATCTTTTCATAAACGTAATTTTGTAAATCAGCAACTCTTAACGGGTCAACCTGACAAAATACTAAAGTATCCCTGAAAACATAATATTTAAGAATGATATCACCAAATGATTTAGGATAATCATCGAACGCCTGAAATGCTAACAAATCATTTACCGGAATAATCATATCAAAAGTGATATCAACTTCTTCATTTGCTTTCTTGAAAACTTCTGAAGGGTCAATATATTTACCACATACTGAGTTATCATATTTTTGAACATTATTATATAATGAATGAACAAACTTTTTAACTTTCCTTTCTGATTTTGGTTTATATGTTGCAAATGCGAAAGATTCACGGGCGCAATCCATCTGAAGATAACCAGCATCACCTCTTTCGGTTTCTACTTCTAATTGTTTAAAGCTTTGATTTGATGATTTGTAACCAACGAATAAACGCATGCATTTAAAAGCGGCATCACATGTGAAAGCTTTATTTGAAACTAGAGTTGCTTTAACTTTGCGTTTAATATATGTGTCACCTAATTGGTTCACATCATGAGCTGGATTTGTAATTCTTAAATGAGTTTGTTTATCATCAAAATATGGAGTATCAGAGTCATAGCATGAACTTTCAAGTTCTCTATAATATCTTCTACCATCATTCTTTGCAAATATTTCATTTATCTTTTCGAATGAATGAAATACATTTCCATTAATCGGTTTAGTGTTTGGCACCAAATAGTTAGTCGTCATTTATTATTAAATAAAAAATCAAAATTAAAAGATGAAAATGAATTTTTAATTTTAATGAAATAATCAACTATGGCTGCAGGTATATTTAAGAAACTGTGGGATAAAGTAAAAAGAGGAGCGCATAAAGTTTGGGAAACAATGAAGAAAGGAGCAAATTGGATATTTAAGAATAAAGAAGCAATTAGTGACATTGCTGAATCAATAACACCAAAAGCCGCCCCAATAAGAGAAATATTAAATAAAGGAGAAAAAGTTTATCAAAGACTACAACCGATACTAAGATAAAAATAATATTTATTTTTCCACTATTTACCTCCTATTTTATTAAGTATTCCTTCAGCTATTCCACCAATTGCGTTACCTGCTTGTGCTCCCATCGCTGGATTACCTGCTTTAGTACCTAATACTCCACCTATGATAGTTCCTGCCGTTTTCGCTACTGGTGCCAAAAAGTTTGCAACAGGTTTAATAACCTTTTTATAAACCCAACCCGCAGCTTTCTTAATTCCATCCCATAATTTTTTAAAGAATCCTGCAGCCATTTCTGATTTAATATTAATTAAAAAATATATTTCATCACTTATATTCTAATTTTTATTTAATGATAAATGAAACCGATTTTAAAAATAAATAAAACAGAGGAGGAAGAAATAAATGAAAGTGAAAATGTTCAACAAAAAATAAACGTTGTTAAACCAATTACTGAAATAAAAATTTTTTCATCTGTTGAAGAATTTAATGACTATTATGCTAACAATAAAAAATTATTTGAAGAATTGACAACATGTAAATTGAATAAAATGTTTAAAGTTGATGGATTCAAAATTTCAAAAATAAAAGGAGTGGTTAGTTTGAAATCTATTCCTCAATCAAGAATCACCTCATTAATGAAAATAGATGATTTAACAAAAAGAATAGAAATTATTGAAGAGCGAATAAATCAAATTATTGATTTCATAAATCATGACTCGTTGAGCCCGGGTCCTTAAAACCCATCACTGAGTTCAAGGTTATATTCATCAAATATTTCATTATTAAATGCAACTTCTGCTAGTTTATTTATTTTTTCAATACGATCATTTGAAAGTCTATCGTTTAATTTTTTCTGAAGTTTTTCATTTTCTAGTTCTGAAACTTTATTTGGATGATATTTAAACTCGTTAAATTCTTTTTCCTCAGTTTTGATCATTAATTTACAAAGAACTTTTGTGGTTCGAATTCGTTTAAACCATTTATCATTAATATTTGTTATAAATTCAATATCTGGAATTAATTCCCAAATTTTTGCATTTTCAATTAATTTATTATCAAATGCAAAAGCAATGGGTTTAATATTAAAAAAAAAAAAAAAGGTAGCGGGGCTTCCAGGCACTTCGTGCCTTCTAGCCCTAAGAATTTTTCCCAAGACCCAAGAGGAGGACCGAACCCCAGCCGACCAGCCGTTGATTTTTTTGTCAAGACTTCTTCGTATATGTTTTGTCAAGACTTCTTCGTAAATGTTTTGTCAAGACTTCTTCGTAAATGTTTTGTCAAGACTTCTTCGTAATGAGCGTAAATGACCCAAAAATAATGTTTATGTTAGAATGTTAGATCTAACACGTTTTCTAACATGTTTTCTAACATCGTAGAAAACTCATGAATTTCTTCGTAAATGTTTTGTCAAGACTTCTTCATCGTAAATGTTTTTTACTTCACTTAAAATGCCACGTAAGCTACGTAAGAATATACGTAAGAGGAAGAGAGCATTGAAACATCCAATAGTAAGACTGACACCACAACAACAGTTGCAACAACAAATGCTGAATGACCCCACTATGTTGCAACAAATGTCAAGCAATCCTATGCTTTTAAACCGAGTCATTGGTGCACAGAGTGGAGGTTTAAGAGCGGCACTTTTAGCGAAAATGGCAGGCTATGGTGGAGCTGCAGACGGAACAGCATATAACCCTCAAAGTCAAATGAATTTGAGTTCACTCAAAAATCAAATAGCAGATGTCAAAAAGTCAAACATAGACATACAGAAGCAAATAAGTGAAAACGAAAAGAAACTAGAATATGACAGACACACAAAGAAACTCAATGAGTTAAACGTAGAGAAAAAGAAGAAAGAAGAACAACTGAAAGAACTAAGTACAGAGGAATATGCGAAAAAAGTGTCAGAAAAAGCAGCAGAAGTAGCAAAAATGGAACAAGATGTCATAAATTTGAAAAACCATACTACTCAATATAAAATACTGAAAGATGAAGAGATAAAACAAAAAGCCCTGAAGACATATATGGATAGCGATGAGTATAAAAAAGAAGTTGAAGCAAATGTAAAGGCAGAAAAACTTTTACAGTTGCAGAACCAAACCGTACAGTATGAAAACTTAGCACAAGAAAGTAAAAATAACGACGCAGCCATGCAAAAGGCAATGAAAAGCGCAGAATATATAAAAGCTAACAATGACTGGTTAGATGCCCAAGCCAACGCTAAAGCAGCCCAACTCATAGGGTCAATAAGGACAAAAATACAAGCGGATGAAGACAGTTCAAATGAAACTTTAACAAATGCTGACTTTAAGAACGCCTTCGAAGCTCTTCATAGTAAGGTGAAACAAGTGAACGACTTCTCATCTGGAAAGAAACTGAAGTCTGAAGGTTTCGACAAAGAGTTAAAAGAAGTAGCACAAAATATGACGAAAATAACAGATGCAGCAACGAGACAGGCAGTTCAAAGTGCCTATGACGCCGTTAGAGCAACTGTTGTGAAAAGTCAAGAAAAAGAGTTACAACAGACCAAAACAGACCTAGTAAATGCTTTCTTAAGAACGAAAAGTCAGGTAGGACATTACGCTGCAGATGGAACATATGTGCCAGCTGGTGGAATTTATATACCACCAAACCCTCCAAGAGAAGCACCTGCACCAGGACTACCTAGAACATTTACATCGTCACATGGACACAGACACAGGCATGCACCAAAACCAACACAACAACCAACAGTTCAAAAACCAGCACAGCAACCAACAGTTCAAAATCCAGCACAACAACCAACAGTTCAAAATCCAGCACAACAACAACCACAAACAGAGCAAGGACATAAAAGAAGTAGAGAACAAGGAAACCAAGAATTCTTAAAAATGCTTAAAGAAGAGTGTGGTTTCCCAGATAGTATTGACTTTAGTGACAGATATAAAGAAGCTATTGGAAAGTTCAAGGATGGAAATACTGACCCGAACCTATTTAGCTTTATGGCTCAGCACCAAAACGGATATAATCTCAAACCTGGAAAATACAAGCTCGCTAAGGGATATGATTTAATAGCATATCATCCAAATGACATGGATGAATTTACTCCGAGATATTTGATGTCAGAGCTAAATGACAATTCAACTTTCGTCATGAAACGCGTAAAAAATAGAGACGGAACGAAAGAACAAAAGCTTATGAATGCGGATGACGTAGATAGGGAAATTGTTGAAAACGGTCTCGGAATATATGAAATGCCAGCAGATGAGGTACAAGAAACTCCACAGGAAGAAGTTCAGATACAACCAGACATGGAAGAAATAGTTCAGCAACAACAGCTAGAAGAGCCTGAAGGAAACGAACAAGTCCTTCCTTTGGAAACTAACTTCACAGAACTAGATGAAGATTTGGAACAGCCGAAAAATCTTGACCCTCAACAAGAGTATGCGGAGAATATGGAATATTTCCAAGAGTCTAAAAAAAATTCGGCTGACATAGTAGAAGAATATCGAAAAATGTTTGCCGACATACAAAAGACTCCAACACCAGATGAAAATATTCAGCATAGAATGGAAGTACTGAAAGAAAATGTACACAAATACAACAACCCTTTTTACTTACGAGCATTTAACGTTCAATCTTCGGATGAACTCGGTGAAAATAAAAGGTTAAATTTCAAGAAAACATATAGAAATGAAACATTGTTTAAAGTTCATTCAGAACCTAACCAAGATGGAAACAAACCTACTTTTGTTTCTGCAGACGATGGAACTACAATGAGATGGGGTCATAAAGCTAACCCGGATAGGTGGTTCATAAACTTACAACCACAATTCCAAGAAGTTGTAGACGCAATGGAAGTCAATGGTGAACGAGACATAGCTGGTATTTTAAGCGCGGCTTTAATGCCATTGAAAGATATGAAAGATGCAGATATTTTGGACCAGTATGAAATGAACATGGCTGATGGAAATATAACACCTGACGTTCTAGAACATTTATCTCAAAGAACTACACAGAACCATAAAGATGGTATATTTGGTGAAGAGTTTAGAAAGAAAGTTAGGGAGAGAGAAGGAAGAGAACCTATTGTACATGACCTTGCAAACGAAAGTTTACAAAATGTCATAAAAACTTACTTTGCAGACGATGAATCGAGAAGGGATGAATATTTAAGAAAACTCAAATGGACAGTACCAAATGAAATGTTAGTATTGAAAAACATGTTCCTTGACAAAATAAAACCAACTACAGAAATAAACGACGCAAGACTGAAAGATTGGGTAAAAGCTTTCCCATTCACAAAAGATATAGTTGGTAACATGGAAAGAAAACCAGAATGGCTACAAAAACATATATTTGGAAACGAGCTTATTCCATATGGACAGGCACTGTTTGAAGCGCTTGAACCGGAAACTCAGGAAAGAGTCATGCAAACAATACGCGAAGACTCAAATACAGACTATGACAAACTCTTTCTAGGATATAGGTTACCTGAGATGGGCGACCAGAGCCAAAAGGCAAAAAGGACATGGGAAATTTGCAACATACTAGATGAACATAATGCAAAGATGCAACAACTTCAAGCAGAGGGCAATGAAGGAAAAAGAAGAGTTAAAAACTCAGTCAGGAAGAAAGTAAAGCTTGGTCCACGTGGGTTCTATTATGACATATAAATCCAACTATTCTATATTTTTACTCATATGAAATGTACGCCGCTCAGAATATAACGCCAACAGTTTTGGATGCTATGAATGGAAATGTTTCCGAATGGTATAACGAATGCGACAATGCCATTAGAAGGTCAGAAATAGTTCCTGGAACTTACGAATATACAACTGCTGTTTCTTATGGAAACGTAGGTGAGTTTGGAGAAGGTTCTTCAACAACAGTAGATATTGCTTGCGACAGGTTTCATATAATTTCTATTGACAACTCTTTCTTATACGTGGAACAAGACATTGAAATAAAACCTTCTGCCAAGTTGTCTGACAAGAAAGGTTGCAATGGAATTTTCTATGTCGGATACCAATATGCTCCAGAAGTTTTCATGGGATATAAGATATATTCTAACTCTGACTTAGTTCAAACAGTAACATGGGCAAACTATGAATGGTTCGCTTTGAGAAACTCAGTACAACCACAAGCTAGAGAACAAACAGACCAGTATGCAACTATTGAGAAAATAAGAAGACTTGACCCTAACGTTCCAGGAGTTTATGTTAACCTTTCTGGACAAACTGCAGCAGCAGTAACCAAAGTAAAATTGAAACTTAGAGTTCCTTTGTCATCTTTCCTCATCTTCAGGTTTTTAAGATACTTGCCAAACTGGGCAGGAAAAATTTCTATCGAACTTACTCCAAGCAAAAATAACTTAGTCATTGCACCAACACAAGACCCATTCACTCTTACAGAAGTAGTGGGAACAAATAAAATGTCATTCGCCGACTTTTGCAAAAACAAAGTTGACTTAGACTTTGGTTTCTCAAACCTCAACACTGAAGTAAACTATTATTTCAATGCTGCTGGAGATGCTTGGGACCCAGTTAAGTTCACATGCGAAAAATTTGAATGCAAGAGAATAGAAAGCAGACTTGCAGTCTATATGTTGGACCCAGATATTTCAAATGCTTTAGCTGCCAAATATATTGCAGTTCCACTTATGTTCCCTATACACCAAATATCTGTCAAAGACTTTGCAGGTGAAGTTGGAAACCAAAGTGCTGACCCAGGTGCAAGAACAGATATTGCCTTAACAACTGCAATGAAACATGCAGATACTCTGTTTGTACTGTTCAGACGAACTATAAATGACTATTCTTGTTTCTACAACCCCGGTATTAAATATCATATAAACATAGATGGCAAATACTATCCAAGAGAAGAATATTCTACAGTTGAGGATATGAGGTCATACAACTTGACATTAGATGCTATGAACTTTAACAACAACTTCACAACAACCATTAACCCTGAAATGCAAAGTTCTATTATGCCATATGTGAAAGTATGGACCCATACAGGAGCTCAAAAAACTCAATATACAAATGGAGACCGTTCAAACTTTTGGCTTGGCATTCCATTTGCTGACTCAGAAGACTTTATGGGTGGTATTTCAACTGTTGGTACAGTTCAAATACAATATACTGGTGACAGAGACGGTCCAGATGAATTGAAAGCAAAGAAGTTTACAAAACCAATAGCACTTTTCACGGAAGATGCTCTTTTGAAGATTCGTTCGATGAAACCTGCTGGGGCTCCTCAGATTGGTATAACGACAGCTTCCATCGAGCAGATTTTGGCAGCAGGTCAGTAAGTTGTTCTTGAACTGACTTCTCTCCGTCAAATATTGACAGTACGCCAGTTTACATAATATTGTATTAAAACTTACCTTTAGAAATATCGGTCAGTTTTGTTGTTATATTTTTGTCTGCTTCAAGAACTTTCACCATCTCGGTTATACCAACTTTCTTTGCTTTATGAAAATATTTTGGTTCAGCAAAGACTGCTATTCTATAACATTTTCCATTGTTTGTGTAAAGAACTACTCTGTCAATGAACTTGTATTGTTTGTGTGTGTAAACTTTGTTTTGCTTCAATTCGAAGAGATACTCAAATACGTCCATCTTTTTATTCTAAGTAAAATGTCATTTCCGAAAAATAGAAGCGTAAGTGTTTCAAAAGGTTTAATGGCGGTGGCAGATGTGAAGTTAAATTCACCAACTCAAACAAACAGTCAAAGTGTTGTTGTCAATGTCAAAGAAAGAGATGTTGAAGTGGGGAAACCATACGAAGACGAAGATGGTATAACAATAGTTCCTGTAAAAGAACCAACATACCTGAAGTTAGCAGAGACTTAAGTTCTGTTGCAGATATTCGAAATGACTACAACAACTTAAAGACAAACTTAAAACTCAGGAGAAGATTTGTCAAGCTTTGGTATAATGTTAAACTTGGTTGAGCACAACCCTGTAAAAGTGAACTCATATGTCATCGCACCTCATGAAATTTTGAAAGAACTATTGAAACTTTTGACAGAGGCAGACGATATAAACATCAAAGAAATAGAACCCGACATTGCTTGCTGTGGTGTTTCATACAATGTCATTGACAAGATATACGTTATGAAAGGAGGTGAAACGTTGAACTTAAAATATAGTTTCCCAGACGTCATAAAAATATTTGACGACCACAACATTTCATTAAAATTTATTTGCTAAGTAAATGGCAGAAGACATAGTGGTTTATACTATTACGACTAAAAACCCTGAGTCATATAATTCTATAACAACAAACTTACAAAGTCCTCAAGGACGATATTGTAAACTAACCTTAAACACAATGACGACTAAAGCCTGTTTTGCTCTTTTGACACCAGAAGACTTTATTGTTGTGAATGGTAAAAAATACTTCTTTGAAGATACTTACTCAGATATACCACCAACAGGTTTTGTTGACTTATTTAATACTTTAAGGACGAGTGTAACATGTGCTGCAACTAGAGCAGGTTTCATTATGTTTGGATGTCCGACTGAGTTTACTATAAACAATATGAGCTATAATACAAAACTTATATCTGGTTTTTACTACCAACAGTTTCCTATAACAGGAAAAGGTGTCATACAAGGAATGTCTGTTCCATTGACTTTAAGTACACCTATTTTATATATTGTTTCAAACTTAGGTTCAAAGTGCTATTCGAATGTTGACAGAAACTACTATGACCAAAAGATACTCATGCGTATAAACAACACTTTTCTCTGCTGGTTTGCCTATTGTTCATTCGAATGCAGAGTTTTCAGCTTTAGTAAACTCAAACACTTTAGCAAACATAAACTTAACCTTAGTTGACGCAAACTTTGTTCCTGTAAAACTTTTATGTCCTATGTATTTGTCAATGACGGCAGAAAGTTTCGAATTGGAAGATGCAACTGGTGAAAGTATTGTACTACAAGAACAACTTCAACAACAAATAGCTCAAGAACAACAAATGCAACAAATAGCTCAAGAATAAAAAAAATATTTTTTTATTTTTATAAAAATGTACAGAATAGATGTTTCAGATTTTTATGACTTCCAAGCCTTCAGAAATATGTGTCCATTTAGAGACTATAACAAAGCAGTCGAGAATTTGAAACGTTTAGTCATTTATGTCGACTCTGCCCCAGAATGTTATGTTATGAAAGAATGGGATGTTGTCTTTAACAAACCAAGAGAACCATAGTTTCAGAACAAGAATGTAGACAGAAAACTTAAGAAAATAAAAGTTGTACAAGTTGGAATGAAGATGTTAGATGCTTGGATATCTTATTGTCAAAGTTAGAAGATTTTTCAGTTCGTGGTATAAATTTTATACACCATCTCCAAACTTCTATTCTATCTTCACTGGATATAAATACGAACAAGTAGAATGGAAAGAAAATGTTATAGAAGCTTGGTTAGACCATGTCAAAGAAATTATATGCAATGGAAACGAAAGAGTCTATGAGTATATCTTATGTTGGTTTGCAAACATCTTACAACATCCAAGTGCTAAAAAATGAAACTGCTCTCATTATAATTTGGAAAACAAGGAACTGGTAAGAACACATTCTTTACAGATATCTTATGCAAACTGTTAGAGGGCTATTCGAACCCGAATATGACAAACATAGAAAACAATCTGCGGTAAATTTAACTCTTCAATAGAGAATATGAAACTTATAGTATGTAACGAACTTCAAAGTATAGATACAACAAAAGTTTTAAACTCAGATGCTTTGAAGAGTCTTATAACAGACAAAGTTGGAGTTGTTGAAAGAAAATATAAAGACCAAAGAGTTTGTGAAAATGTTGCAAACTTCGTCATGGTTTCAAACAATGCCGTTCCGATGAAGTTAGAAAGTTCTGACAGAAGATATGTAGTTGTCAGAACGTCAGATTCTCATATGCAAGATACAGAATATTTTGACGCTTTGTCAGAAACTTTGACATCTGACTTTTACAACCACTTGTTCTCATATTTCATGACATTAGATATTTCAAAGTTCAATCCAAGACAAATTCCACATACCGAAGAAAGACAAACATTGTTAGAAGCAAACAAGAGTGTATATGAACTGTTTATAGATGAGACTAACTTTGAGTGTTTAGATGAAAGGTCATTGTACGATGAATATAAACAATATTGCCAAGAGTATGGTTATATGACAGCGTCTAAACGAACATTCTTGGCAAATGTCAAAAATCTTTTAGATGTTCAGAATGGCGTATATACAAAGAAAAATTTTTATGAGTAAATTTTAAAAAAATATTTTTTTATCCGATAGAAAAGATGGCAAAATTCATCTCAGTAAACAAGTACATGACAGAAGTCAAAGAAGAACTAGACCCATTCGCATATTTGAATGTTTACTTCTACCATTTTGAAAAGTCTACATTTGACAAAGTTTGGAACATCGAACCAGTTAAGTTTGCTATTGTGACTAAAAATGGTGCGAAATTTGAAGACTTAGACATTGACGGTATGTTGACAGTCAAAGAAAATTTTGACAGAAAGTTCTCAAAACTCGAAGAAGGCAAAGCATACAAACTTGTTATACCTTATGAACCAAAGAAAGCAGACGACTATGAATATTATGAGTCTAAGATAGTTGAAGTTCAAGGTAAATTGGGTAAAAAGATTTTAGAGTCTAAACCAGTGTTTGCTCCTAAAGAGGAAGAGAACATTGACATTGACCCAGAAATGTTCTAAAAATAAAATTTTATTTTTACATGTCATATCTCACCTTCTCTGGAATTGGCTCTGGTTCTTTCTTCTCTTCTTCTACTTTCTTTTCTTTCTTCTCTCTCTTCTTCTTCTTCTCTGGTGGAGTTATGTCAAACTTCTCAGAACCATATTTTTGTAAAAGGTCTTTGTCCTTTAATAGCTCTTCTATTCTGTTTTCTATTTCATCTTCAAGAACAGCGCATGTGTCTTCTTTGCATTCTAAGAACTTTTGTTGGACTTCAGCTTTCCAATCGGCGTCATCTCTGTCAACAAGTCTGTCATTGACAAATTTTAAGACTTCTCTGCTTAATGTTTTATGGTTCTTGTCATATTCCCAGAAACAGAACTTTAGAACAAATTCACCTTTCTTGTTTACACTATGTAAGATTTTATGGTCTACAGATGTTTTGCTGTCGAAAAGCTTGTCTCGAATATAGATAGCGAAATCGCTAGACATTTCCTAAAAGATAAAATTTTTAATTTTTCTAAAAATATGTTAGAAAAAAAGTTTGCTGACATTGACAAGAAATTTGAGAATGTTTTAAACAAGAACAAGAGGAAGTTGGAAAATGCTCAGATAAAACCCATACATGACAAGTTCTTATTTGCTCAGAATGGTATAACAGGTCTAATTGCACCACCTGGGTCGGGTAAGACTTTCACTTATCTTAAAATGGCTGCACAACAACAAGAACTAGATGAGAAGAACCCATTCTATGAGTTAGTTGTTATTTGTAGTACTTCTGGTCAATTTGACCAAACCGTCAATTCGTTCAAAGATATTATAAAGAAGTCTAAGTTAGTATGTATAAAAGACTCTGAGTTGTTAGATTGGATAAAGAAGTACCAAAGAAGGGTTTTGAAGTACAATGCTATAAATGAGTATATAAATTCTAAGTTTAAAGACCCAAATGAGGAAATGCAGAGAATATTAGAGAAGAAACACTTCAGAAACAAACAGAAAGAGATAGAATACATTTCGAAGAAATTGCAATCTTACGATTGGAAGACTTACCCTCATAGATGTCTTCTTATCTTAGATGACTTTGCTTCTCATCCTTTGTTAAAGAATAGAGAACAAGACATGTGTCGAATTCTTAAGAAGCTCAGACACTTTAACATCTCAGTCGTAATATGTGTACAGACAGCAAAGAGTTTAAGTAAGGATGTAAAGAGAATACTTACTGACATTGTACTTTTCCCCGGATTGTCCGAAGACGATTTCATGGAACTTATGAAAGAGTCCATGGCAGGTAAGTTTGACAGACATGAACTATGGGAGAAGTACAAAGTCATACAAGACCCTCATACTTCTTTCAGAATTCATATCTACGCAAACAAAGTTCAAATTGTAAAAAGTCAAGCGTAAAAATAAAGAGTGCAATTTACTCTGCTTGTTTGAAGTTGTCAAAATACTCTGTTATTTTTTCCTTTAACAATGGCAAATCTTCTTTGAAGGTAAGAATTGTACAACCTTTAATATCATAGTGTGTTTGAGGTAACGTATCTTGAACTATTTGTTTCACATCTTCATTTGGTGTCATTGAAATCGGTAAGTTTTCGCGATAGAACCAATTTCTGTCAGATTTGTAAATCTTAGCAAGGTCGTAAAAGCTTTTGTTGTTTCTTCTGACTAAATGCAACATAACCATATCTCTGTCTTCTTCATTTTCCATCTCTTCAGTATAAATCATATACTTATAGTTCTTTTCCTTTCCTTTTGGTACCGAACGTGGTATTCTTTTCTGAAGGCTTTTGTCTTTTGCTTCAATGACTTCATCTTTTGCTTGAAGTTTCTTTTCCATCTCTTCACGTTCTTGTCTATGAATTTCGTCAAGAAGTCTGTAAATATACCAAGCATAACGAGGCGAAGCCCACATTGCAACAGCATTTACAAGAAGTCTATGTACATACCAACCTCTCAAACCATTTGGCAAATTTTTACGATTTTCATGAGTTTTAGGCGACCCCGAAAAAAGTCGGTCTCGCTGTGCTTCGCTCAAAAGTTCTTGTGTGCTTTGGTTTTTGAACCAATCGTCTGTATGTTTGGTATCTGGAGCAAAACATGCTGTCAAAATACTTTGCATTTGGTACATATCGTCTTTGACCGAACGAATGAGACGGAGTTGTTTGTTAAACTGAACCCACTCATATTCTTCATTTATAGCTTCATGGACTATAACTGTTGTTGTGTTCTCTGTTGTTGACATATCTGTCTTTACATACAAAATAAAAAAAATATTTTATAAAAAATTAGCGTTATTTTTTCTATCTTAAGGAAATTCACGAAATTTGGTCATTTTTCAGCAAAAACATATTTTAGGGTAGAAGGTTAGATCTCACCTGTTTTTTCACCTCTTTTTTTCACAAGCGTTTTACATGAATTGTACGATGTATATTTGAAATCCTAAACAGTTTTGTAGCTTCTATTTCTTCTTTTAGTACATCGAATGTTTTAACAATGCCGAAAGTTTCTTTATATTTCTTCTTGACGTCAGATAGAAGGAAATCTTCTGCTGTTGGATAGTTTTTGTCAAGACTTCATTGTAAATGACCAAAAATAATGTTTATGTTAGAATGTTAGATCTAACATGTTTTCTAACATGTTTTCTAACATGGTCTAAAACATACAAAACTCATGAAATTTCATACGGAATTCAGCAAAAATAATGTTTATGTTAGAATGTTAGATCTAACATGTTTTCTAACATGTTTTCTAACATAACTATTTACAAGCGTTTTACATGGTATATGTTGCGATGGTTCATGACTCTAAACAATTTCGTAGCTTCTATTTCTTCTGTCAGTATGTCAAAAGTTTTAACGATACCGAAAGTTTCTTTATACTTCTTCTTGACGTCAGATAGAAGGAAATCGTCAGCAGTTGGATAGTTTTTGTTCAGAAATTCTAACATGTTCATTTTATCTTCTGCTGGTTTTTCTGCTTCTTTCTTTAAATCTGCATAGTCGTTTCGCATACGTTCTATCTCTTTGACGGAGTAGTTATATTTCCTCATTGCTGCTTTACATTTTGAACATTGCGGATTCATTTTTGCGTTATATTCTGAAACCTTACCTGCTAAAACAACTAAGGCGTCAATGGTTTTCTTCATCTCGAACATAGCGGGTCTTATTTGTTCGTTCCATACCTTACCCCTACTATCTTTATCTCTTATTTCCCAAACACATTTTGCAACTAATGAAACAAAGTTGTCGTAGGTCTTAAACTCCCCAGATTTGTATATGTCAGAGATGTTCTTATATACCATGTCGCAATCTTTGTCCATGACTTTGTGGTTGCAATGAAATCCAAGAAACTCATAGTTAACCTTTCGTATGAACTTCTTTATTTCTACTGAGTCAGTTGCTTTGACTTCTATTTCGTCAAATTCGGGAATGGTTAGTTTTTGTTGTTGGATTTCAGGCAATTTGGGTAAATGGTCAATAATGTCCTGCATTTCATAAAGATACTGTTCATTTGTTTCATCTTTCGCACTACAGTCTAAATTACTTGTTAAAAGTTCTTGCTTTATCTTCTGGATTTTTGTTTCGAAAGTATATGAAGAAGGAATGAAGTTTTTCATCTCTACTAACATAGATGTTGGATTCATAACTAGCGAGTTTGGTGCTGTAGTTGTTTGAATTGTTGTTGTGCCGATTGTTGAAATCATATCTTTTATACAAAATAAAAAAAATAAAAAAAATAAAACTAATTTTATTTTTTATTTCGGGAAAATTCATGAAAATTCAAGAGTTTTAGACCATGTTAGAAAACGTGTTAGAAAACATGTTAGATCTAACATTCTAACATAAACATTATTTTTGGTGTAAATTTCATGATTTTCGAGAGTTTTAGACCATGTTAGAAAACATGTTAGAAAACATGTTAGATCTAACATTCTAACATAAACATTATTTTTGCTGTAAATTTCATGAAAATTCATGAGGTTAGAAAACATGTTAGAAAACATGTTAGATCTAACATTCTAACATAAACTTTATTTTTGGTGTAAATTTCATGAAAATTCAAGAGGTTAGAAAACATGTTAGAAAACATGTTAGATCTAACATTCTAACATAAACATTATTTTTGGGTCCGGGAACAACTTTCTCTCAATAGGGGCTGTAGCGTACTCTTTGCGTAAGCGGTTCAGACCTTCTTCGAACTCTTGGGCTCTCTTCGATTTGTATTGGAATTGGAATTGCTGGGGTGGAGCTTGCTGGAACATCCAAGGGTTGGGGAAGTAAGGCATAGGCTGAGGAGGGTAGTTCGGGAAGCCTTGTGGTGGGTAGTAACCTTGAGGTGGAAATTGGTAGTAAATCGGAGGTACTTGCTGGAACTGAGGTTGCTGAGGAGACTGTTGTGGTTCTGCAGCTTTCGGTTCTTCTGGCTTTGGAAGGCATTCAGGAAGAGGAACGTCAGTCATCCGTTTGTGTCCTGTCGGAAGGAAAAATTTTTCCTGTCGGAAGGAAGAACTTTTCCTGTCGGAAGGAAGAACTTTTTCTGTCGGAAGGAAGAACTTTTTCTGTTGGAAGGAAAAACTTTTTCTGAAGTTCGACCAAAAAGTTCTCAATTTTCGAAAATTTGAATGGTTTACGGACGGACAACTGGAAGAGTTCTTCCTGTCGGAAGGAAAAATTTTTCCCTTTGTCCGGAAAATTTTTTCCAGTTGTCGGGAAAATATTTTCCTGTCGGATGGAAGGACTCGGAATGCCAGAAGGATTTGACGAGGCAATTTACCTTATAGAGATAAATGAAGTTGTTAAGCAGTACTTGCGCAGGGTAATGAAGCCCAAGGTCAAGTTCACCACTATTTCTGGAAGGTCTACACTTCAGCTCGAGACTTCGACTGGAATTCCAATTCAAATACCAGACGGGACAGCCTACGATGGCATAAAGGACGCCAAAAGAGAAGCTCTTGTTAAGTTCCTAAACAAACGTCCTTGGATAAAAATACCAAACAAGGAGAACCCCCTACCCCATATGAAATTGGCAATTCAGTCTCTCCTTCACTTCTCGGGTCAGCCGTTCTACATAACCTGTGAAGGCGACATCCAACCAGTTCAGTAAACCTTAACGTTTAGAGTAAAAACATTTTTTTTCATTTTTTGAATGAAGCAAGTTAAATTCGTCCCACACCAATCTCAATGGACCGATGAAGAGTTTCAAGCCATGGTTGAAGACGTTGAGAACGACATAGACGGCGAACTTGAAGGAGCTCAAATCACAATTGCAACCAAAATTGCACAAGTCAAGGAACAGATAGCTCCACTTAAAGCTACCAAAGCTACTCTTGACCTCATGGATAGTTACCGTTTAGATGTCAAGAGTGGAATAAGACATTTAAAATTAAAACTTCTAAACTACGAAGCTATACTCCAAAAGTTAGCAGAAATGAGAAGACTTTACCAGAGCTACTTACATGTAAGGGACTTACCTTCAAGCAGTCCGACCAAAGATGAATTTTCTGACATTGTCCCAATTTTGTCCGAAAGTCAGCTCAGATGTTTCGAACTGCTCCCAACATATCCAGAATATGAACGTTTGCCTGAACTCTTCCGCAATCTCAAAAAACGTTTTTTGGTTCTCATGTTCGAAACTTTTATCGGAAGAGACAACAAACGTTCAGAAGAAGAACAAGATATTATTTTAAACTTGTTGTATGACTTAACCGTCATAACAAGCTTTTTGAAGTAAAACCGTCATTCTCAAACCACTTCATTTTTTCGATGTCCGAACAAGCACCGAAGCCAAACTCAATGGAAGATGTCCTTTCAAGGTTGCCAGACAAGCGCCCAGTTCAAATTCAAATTATGCATTTGAAAGCTCATCTGACAAACACCGTTAAGACTCTCCAAAGTAGTCTTATGGAAGAGATGAAGGGACTTAAAGGTGAGTTCCTCATGAACCAAGCTTCCAATGAGAAAGTCCTGAACGATTTAGCGGAAACCTTGCGCATTTACGCGAGAGAGAACCGAGACCTTGCCAGACTCATCTACCGTTTCTTCGAAGAGATAGACGCCATCTGGAAGGTACTCGGAAAGGACAGAACATGCAACACCGTACTTCGTGAGTACCAAATTGAAGAAGGAATTGTCGAGGAAGAAGAGGAAGAAGAGGAAGAAGAGAAACACGAAGAAGAGAAACACGAAGAAGAGAAACACGAAGAAAAGGAAGTTTGGGCAACCCTTGTTGCCGATGACGCTTACGAAATTTCACAACCCTACCCATACAAAATCCGCAACAGGGGGACCGGCAAGGTTCTTACCCCAGTCCTCAACAACTTGGGACACTTGAACTTTACCCTTCGGAATTACGGTACAATTTCCATGGGAAGGCTTGTCGGTATGCAATGGGTTCCAAATCCAAACAAGAAGACGAGGGTCAGACACATTGACGGTGACAAGCTCAACAACCGTAAGGAGAACCTCGAGTGGTTCTAAGAGTAAAAAAAATTTTATTTTAGGGGGAAACCCCAAGTAAATTTAAGTTTTTAGTTGCGTAAGCGGCTTAAATTAAGGATAATTTGGACAAGTAGTTCCTGACCTCTGAATAGGACTCTTTCGTCATCCCAGTTGCGTAGGAGGTCGTCCCAGAGGAGTTGGTAGAATTGCCAATCCAAGGACGATTTGTCCTCCCAGGCATTGAGGATGTACTGCTCGTAGAGTTTCATGACCTCTGCCTTGCACCAGACACCCTCTCCCTTGGAACGTAAGGCTTCTTCGAAGTGCTCGAATGCGATTGGCTGCTTGACCATCCGAAATGACACTTTTTGTCCGTTTGGTCAATGTTCGTGTCTCGTGCCATAGTCGACGAAAATACAGACAAACAGGTTATATATGAGTTTGAGACCAAGAATGGTGTAACTCGACCTGTCCGATTCAAAGACTCCGAGGGCGACCATGAAATTAAACGGAAATTAGCTAGGAAGGAATATAAAATGGACTGGTTGCCACCACCTCCACCTCCACCACCTTTACCTGTTCCTCAAGTAAATAAGCCTTTCCCGTTCCCAAGAATTCCCACATTTTAATTCAAATTCGAATAAAAATTTTTTATTTCATGCAATGTTTTATTTCTGTGCCGTCTTCAAGTATGCCCCAGTACTTACGCTTGGAGAGGACATGAACTTCGGTGAAAATTTTGTCCAATTTGAATTGACCCATCTTCTCACCGACCATTCCCATTTCAATGAGTTTGTTATACCCTTCTTCGTTCGTCATGAGTGCATCGATGTTCTCGTAGTAAACCTTCACTTTGGATTTAACCTCTGAGAAGAATTTGTTGTACTCGTCAAGGACTGCTTTTGCGAACTGAGGGTAAGACCAATGTTCGACAATAGGTTTTAATGTGGTTACTAAGCCACTTTCACCTTCGGTAAATTCGTATTTCAAAACAAAAGGAGAAAACCTTTCAACAAAGTTGTCGACCTTCTCATAATGTTTACTCTTCATCTCTTGAGGTTTTTTAATGGAATATCCCCATGTCGAATTCATAAGCAATTTGAGTGTCATTGCAAGTTTGGGGTTTGAAGCTTTCCTAATATCATACAGTTGTTGTATGACTTTTCCAACTGTATAGTTCCTTCCCGGGAACTCGCCATCTTCGTTTGGAATTCCAGTTGGAATATATTGGACAAACCTCATGTACGCAGCGTTAAGGTCAACATAGTATATCTTTTCGTTTGAGTCGAACTTGTCGCATCCAATCGGTCCAGTTCGTGGAAATTCAAGTGAGTCTCTTATCTTCTGAGAAACTTCTCCTGTTATCTCATAAACATCGTCAAAGCAACCTGTTTCATATAAAACCTTCTGACCTAACTCAGAAGCTCTCCAATACAATTTGACGTCGATTGGATGTCTCAATGGAAGTTTGTTTATAGCATCTTGAAGTTCTTGCAACCTCATTGGAAGTTCTTCTGGTTCAGGTTGGTATCCGAACAATCCAACTCCTTTTGGAGCTGTGTACTTCTTTTGTGCTAGAACTTTGTCTAGAACGACTTTTGGTCTTACCAACAATGAAAAGTTTGTTTCGTCTTTTGGTACAAAAGTTTCTGTCAGCTTGTCATCTGGAATTGGTTCCAACAAACCTTTCTCGAAAAGAATGTTAACAGCTCTGACAATGTTGCACTTACCTTTTCCGAACAATGGGTTTGTAAGACTTTCGTTCAACATGAAGTGGTTGTGGACAATTGCAATCTTCAACCATGGTAAATTGAACTCAACAACATAGTCGTCATGTGAAGAACCTTTAGCTGTAGGTATGTTGACTCGGATATTGACATTTGCCAACGGTGCAATTTTTGCCAATTGACCTCTGAGAATGTACCTTGTCTTCACACATGACTCAAGATACTTCATCTTCTCATCTGTAACAAGACCAGAGTTCCTGAGACATGTAAGAATACAAGGTTCATTGACAATTGTTTCAATTGAATTGTAAATTCCATACCTTGTCAAGTCAATGTCAGACTTATTTATGAACGGGAAGTATCCAGCATGTTGTCTGACTGCTTGAGGGTTAGGTTGGTACCATTCGAACTTGACACTTGCAATTCCTTCAATTGCATTCAAAATGTCTGAGTCGGAGTCAACCATTTGTTCTCTCTTTGTAGTCTTGAAAGCGTCAAGAAGTTGTGCGGCTGTTGTGACATTGCCATGTGCATAGTAAATGTGACCATCCAAATCTGTTACGGTTAGTCTGAGATTGTATCCTTTCTTATTTCCATCTTGTATGGCAGCAAGTACTCCCATGAAGCCTTCTTTGTTCTTTCCTTCGTCAAAGTTTACTGTAAAGGTTCGACCAGATGTAATTTGACTTCTAACTTCACGATACTTCTCATATGCATATCTTGTTCTTTCCATGGGAGCATGACCATCCTCTGCACTACCTTTTTTCCTTCTCAAGGGATGCAACTGTTCGTTATGTTTCCAGTAGAACCTGGCAAAGCCGTCGTGTCCTTCAACTCGAGGTTCACTAACATCGAAAGGCATGTCCATAAGACGTTCTTCTTCTAACCTCTCAAGTCTGTTTGGATAATTGGCGCGTGCTGTTTCAAGGTCCATTTCGTAGGTCAGACCAGCCAGTTTGTCATAGACTTTTATGGTCTTCCCTTCCTATATTTAAACTTCTTTGAAACTCTCCAACCATATCTTTCTAACTCTGCTTTTATTCTAGCAGACCTTCTATCCATTCTATATGGGGGCATTTTTATAAAAATAAAAAAATGTTTTTTTCTTTACTTAACATAACCGCCTGCTGCCATAAGTCTTTGACGCCAACCCATACCAGCTAATGAAGGTTGACTTGGTTTAGTTTCCAAACTAAACTTTGGTTTTGGTTTATCTTCAGTTTTTGGCTCCCCTTCTTCTATCGGTCTTTCGTCACTTTTCGGTTCACCTGACTTTACTTCACTTGCAGGAACAGTTGTGTCGTCAACATCTTCATAAATATCATATGCCATTTGTTTTTGTTTTCCTTTCAACTTTTTGTGTTTGTTGTAAAGTTTAGAATATTTCGACTCTAAGTCAATGAGATGTTCTATAATGAACTGTTGGTCAGTGAAGTAAACTTTTCCATCTGTTGTCTCGAAAGCTCCTTCAGACTTCAATATTTTATTTGTGAGAGTCTGTTTCTTTTTTGAGATACTAGCCGTTCCATTTCTATGAAAAGTGACTTTATAGTTAGGGTTTGTATTTCCAGACCTGGCACTTTCTATTATTGAATTTTTCTCTTCATCTGTAAGTTCTTTGACAGGTTTTGACAATGGTTCTGAACTTTTTGTTTGTGGTGTCAAATCTACCGTTTCAACTTCTTCGGTCATTTCATCTCAGTAAAAAATTTTAGTTTGGTTTGTTTTCAACTGGTTGTTGTTGTTTTTTAAGTCGGTCTAAAACTTCCTGAGGTATAGGAAGAACTTGACAAACACGTTGTGTAACTGCTGGAAGTCGACAAATCCATCTTGAACCCATT